AGTCTGTAGGCAGGTCCAGAACAAACTCAGAAAAGGAGACTCCTCTTCCCCTAGCAAAACCTCTAAAGGAAGGTCTCTTGGCTTCCCAGAAGGCTGCATGTCCCTCCCTTAATGCACCCAGGCCTGCAGGGACCAGCGCAGTGAGGTAGACAGCACATTCCCGGGAGTCCTGAGGCCTGGGCCACAGTCCTCACTGCAGTATGCACCAGCTCTGTGGCCTTGGGCTGGTCCCTCAGCCTCTCTGGGCCTCGGCTTCCCCTTCTGTCAAACTGGGGATACACGTCTTGCTCTGTCTGCCCTGCAGGACTGCTGCATAGCCGAAAATGAATTAAAAGACATGAAAGCAGGTGTCCTTCCCTCCACCACTCAGACCAGAATGACAGGGGACTGCTGTTGACCAGGCTGAGTGGGGAGGAAGAGGCCGTGGAAAAAAGACAATGCTCCAAACAACAATGGGTGGAAAAGGAGCCTGGATGTGGTGTCTCCTTTCCCAGAGGCTGGAACCTGAGATCCTACATTTAACCTACAATGAGAGAGAGTGGGAGGGAGGGAGGGTGAGAGAGAGAGAGAGACAGAGGGAGAGAGAGAGAGAGAGAGCAGCCAGCAGAGGCCCCTGTCCTGGGGACACCAGGACAGACACACTGAGCCTCAAGCCTACCTTCAGCTCTAAGACAGGCCCTGTGGACTGTCCCTTTAAGGATGCTGCCTTGCTAGCAGGATGGTTCTAGACCCAGTCAATGAGCTAGGTCAAAATAATCCAGGTCATTCTCCAACCTGCAACAGGGAAAGCTTACTGTGGAGTTCTAGATCGTGGCACTGATAAGGTACAGAACTCCGCCATCCTGCCAGCACCAGCCAGATCAAGGCCAGGAGCTGGTGAACCCCATCATGACCCATTATGACTCTATGTGCCCAGGGCTCCTCAGACCCCACCAGACAGAGGTTCCTCTCCCCTCCTCCCTCCCTAATGTCAGCTGCCTTACTTCTGACAATATTCCTGTCACAGGCTGCAATTTCAGGTCTCTAGAACAATCCAGAAGCTCCTAAAGGACTGGGAAACACTGGGGCCACAGTGTCATGCATAGAACCTGGCACACAGAACGTTTGCCCCTGAATGGGGCTTGCTTAGGACAACCTGAGGGACTTGTTTGGCTCAGCTACTACCTAGTTTCCTGGAGCGTTTGGAGGCTGGTGCAGAATCAGATCTTAGATGAGATTCAGGTTCTCCTGGCCCAGTCTCTAGGCCACAGATTTTCAGGGCACCTCTAGAAATAGAGGGCAAACCCTCAGCTGCTGTGGCCTCAGGAAGAAAATCACATCACTCAGAGAGAGGCCCTCTGTCCCCAAAAGCCACCTGTCATCCTTATAAGTGTCTGTCCCCAAGGGCACAGGCTCCTGGAACTACAAGAGCCATTACAATGCACTGCAATGCACTACCATGTCGATCAAGCACTTGCCCTGTGACAGGCCCCGTGCTGAGTGCTTCTCCCCAAGAACAGTCCAGTGGCCATCACCCTTTCTTCACTGAGGTGTGAGAGATGGGCCAACCTGCCCAAACTCACACCGCCAGCAAGGAGCAGCCCCGTGCCACTTGAGTCCTCTTTGCTGAGTGCCTACTGCATACTAGGCACTGTGTAGATGCAAGGACATCAGTGAGGGAGAGAGCTGGGCCGGCCACCTCTGCTCATGCCAGAATTGCTCTGAGAGCCACCATCAAGCTGGCCCTGGAGGAGTTTTCTTGGCATGAACACAGGGAAGAAATGGAGCATAGGGTGCTGCTTTATGTTAAGGAGATACCTGCCACCCAGCCCTGCCAACGGGATTCTGATCCAGAGAGAGCCACAGGCAGCCTGGGGGACATCATAGTGATCTAGTGCCCTTAACACACCACCCCAATACTCAGTGGCCTCAATCACAACACTGTAGTGTTACTCCTGATTCCGCGGCTGGGCTCAGTGGGGCAGTTCTGCTGGGCAACCAGCAGGGAGCTCAGTTGGCGCTGATTGTTGAGTGAGCATTTTGGGCCTCCTGTGGCCTCTCCAGCAGGGCTGCCTGGGCATGACAACTAACTTCCCAGAGGGGCTGGCTCTTAACTACTAAGCTAGACTATTAACTAGTTTAATTATTCTTTGGGCAAATCCCTCCTGAGCACCCTATAAAGTGGGGATTAAGTTATATAATATATGTAAAGTGCCAGTGTCTTGCAGCTTAGTCAGCACTCAAGAAATAAGTGTTCCTGTTGCCAATAATCTAGAAGGATAGTTAGGGCCTGAGCTGCACCCCGCCTCTAAATTCAGCCTGGTTTCAGGAGAGGGTCCCGCGTAGTGAATTAAGCCTGAGCTAAGCATCCAGAGACTGGCGTTCAAATCCTGCCTCTCACCACAGGCTGTGGTCTCCAGGAGAAATATCACCCCCCTCAGTGCTCCCCACTTACAAATGATCACATCTTGCCATGTGGCTGTGACCCTCGTGTATTTATGAGAAGTACCTAGTTATGCCCAGATGTGCTCCCAGCTGTACTCTCTGGGTTCTGATGGGGGGGTGTGAGGCCCCAGGAGCTCCTGAGCCCCCAAACCTGCCCATCAGGCCTTGCTGCATCCCCTGCCAGTGTCTATGCACATCACTTTAACTGGTGGAAAGGAAACAACAGCAAAAATAAGGAGACTGTAAGTGAAATTTTTCTGATGAAAGAGAAATGGGAAATTGCCAGACCAAGGCAGAAGAGGCGGTGACCCGGCACTGGGCAAGCAGGAGCCCAAGCAGCTCCCTTCTGTGGGTGCCTGTCCCTTTGCATTCACCTACCACATGATGCTGCTCCACACCCACGCCCTCTAGCCCTCTAACATGCCATTCCACTGTTACCTCCCTCCTCTGACTCTTTGTCTCCTTCCAGCGCCAAAAGCCCACACACAGACCTTCGGGTGGATCAACCCCTCTGCCCCCTCCATCCCCAGAAACTAAAATTTTGCTCTCCCAGTCCTCTCCTCAGCACATGGCTAATGAGTTAGGCCTTCATGAGCTGTTTATTTCCCCAAAGCCTAGTAGAAGCAACTTCATTAAGAAAACCACACACTCGGCTGAGCTGGAGGCCTCAGACAGCAGGAGCCAAGCTGTTTAATGAGGTCTGCAGCCACCAGGGCTGCCCTGCTCCCCTCAGTGCCCCTCATCCCTCCCCTCTTCCTCTGCATCCAGGACTGCCCAGCTCGCCAGGCTGGGGTGTGGGGGGACTCACCCTCTCACCCCCCTCTGCCTCTTCCTCCCCCATCTGCCCCCTCCAGCTGAGCCATCCTGGATTTGAGGGGCCTCCTGGAACTGGGCCAGCCTGCAAAGAGGGCACATGAGCGCCATCTTTTTGAGATAGGCCCTGCCCACATGGGACAGTGACCTGCCAGGCTGCCCAATGTCCTCCAAACCCCTGAAGTCTGAGAGAAGGAAGTACAGGTTTGAAACGGCAACCTGTAGGGTGGGCTCTCAGAGGCCTCCCCAGGACCTGCTAAGCCACCACTGAGCCTCTGAATCAGGTTACATTCTGAGCGCTAATTTTTCTGACTGTCAAGCAGAACACATCCCAGCCTCCTGGGCTGCAGTGAAGACTAAGTGAATTAACGTAGGTAAAGTAGGTAACGTAGGTAGCCTTCAGACTCCTGCCTAAGAAGTGTTCTCCATAAATGGCAGCCATACTACATGTCGTCATTATTACTATTATTATCACTGGTCACCAGTCTGCTAAGCAGTTGGAATTTGGTGAGAACTAAAAATGAAGCTTAAAATTAAAAGGTCACTCCTTTCTACCTGCTTTGTCAATCCCCCCTCACTCTGCCCCCGCCCCCCATGGTCTCTCAATGGCATCTTGAACAGACCTCAGAGCTTTCTGGTCATTTTCAGTTATTTGAAGTCCAGTGTAGAAGGGCCGCCTCCTCTGGTCTGGCATCCTGTTGTGCCCAGACTCCCTTATCTCACTTGTGACTCAAGGCAGGGAGCAGGACAGGGCCCAGGGGACAGCCTGGGCTCAGGGGACAGCGAGTCCCCAGGGAAAGGTCACTGGGACCTTGCCTGGCTGGTGCCACCCCCCCACCCCACCCGTGTGTGCCTCAGCCTGGAGCTCATCTCCCAGGAAAGTGCCCGGATGTGATGCTTTTCACTGTCCCCCCAGCCCCCATCTTCTTTCTCATTCCCGGGAGGAGGGTTGAGGGAAGGTTGGGGGTGGCAGGCCTCTGAGGAAGCCCCGAGGGAGGTGCGCCCCTCACCTGGTAGCAACTGTTGGCAGATCTCTTTTAAGGGATGGGGTACTTGGCACCTTTGACCCCTATTTTGGGCCCTTGTTGCCATTTCTAGGGAGTCAGGAAAAGTCCCACTCAACTTCCTATTTACGTTATTATTGGTTCAGACAGAAGTGGTGAGGGTAACCTAGAGATGGTGGGTGGGAGACGGGCGGTCCGTGGGCCTACCCCGTCACACTTCACTTAACAGCTAAAATCTGTCTCCAATGTTCCCATGGCCAGTGTGATGCATGAGGCCAGGAGTGACCTGAATGGGGGAGTCTGAGGCCATCACTCAAGACAGAGCTTGAATTGGTCAGAACGACCCTAACAGGAGTGAACCGGAATCTTACATCTCCACTCGCACTGAGCAAAGACCAAGCTCAGAGTCCGAAAACCTTGCCCTGGAGCCTGCCCCACCCTGGTGGCAACACCCATTCACAAGGGCCCCCCAGTATGGGAAGGCCCCTGTGAAGTGGTGGGAGGAGAACTGAGCCGAGACTCAGAGGTCCTGTCTGCCGAAAGCTCTTCCACCTTCCTCCCCTCTGCGCCCTGGCCTTGGGCTGGTTGCCAGGCCTCTGCAGAGGAGTGGGCCGCGATACCCACGCTGGACGTTCCAGGAGGGAACTTTGTCCCTGCGGAGTGCAGGGCCAATGTGAGGGCCCCCTTACTAAGGACCCCCACTCCCCACACTCCCCCCGTCCTTTCTACCTAAGGCCATGTCTGTCCCTCTGTCCCCAGACCTTCCGGTGGCCGGTGGCTAGCAGCGTTGACAGCAATGAGATGCTCGAGATTCAGATCTTCAACTACAGCAAAGTCTTCAGCAACAAGTAAGCGTGGGGTCCAGAGGGCCTGCAGGCCTGCCCCGGTCCTTGGGCTGCCTTACCATGTGAGCACTGTTACTACTGGGGGTTCCTTTCTGGGTGGCAAGCAGAACTCCGAAGAACTGGAACGGTATGGAATGGTGGCTAACTAACATAAAGTCCTGCCTTCAGTCCCAAAACCACCTGCTTTATACAAGCTAGAGGAGGTCATGGCTGAACTTCAGCCTGGCCACATCCCATATTCCTGCAGGGCCAAGGAACCCTCTCTGCCCTAAAAACGCTAAAATGCCCACATCCCACACTCAGCCGAGATTTTTCAGGCTCCCAATAAAAGCTGCAGAATGCTTGGATCCCATGTAGTTTGGCTCCTCCACAATCTCACGGCCCACTCTCTGTGCAGATGGGGAAACCGAGACTCAGAGAGGACATAAGGCCACATGGGTAGACAGTGGGGGGCTGGGGTTCCAATACCTGTCTTTCTCCCCCTTCCGAATCCTGAGCTCTCAGAAACCAGAGTGAATGAGCAGTGAAGGTAGAAACCAAGGATGGGGGAAAGACTGGAAAATCCTTGGCAATGAAAGCCGCTAGCCCCAACACCGAAATGTTGGCAGCACCCTGCAAGCATCAAAACTCCTATAATGAACAAATCAGAAGCGTTTGTTAAATTGTTTGGGAAACTGACTACCATGACAGTGACTATACTGACATTCAAGACTACATTAGTTTTCTTTTTTTTTCCTTAAAGATATTTATGCATACAAGAACTGAGGCACAGGCCAGAGGTGCAGGGGGTGAGAGGATTCACCAGAGATAGAGCGGGGAGCAGAACAGGCAGATCAACTGAAATACACTGCTGAGGGGAGCAGCGGGCGAGACAGGAGAGGTCTGCTGGGCCATGTGGGTATCTTCCTGGCTGGAGATCCAATTTGACTGTGGAGCTGGAATGGAAAAAAGGAGTGGCGAGCAGAGGGCCCCCCCACACACACAGCTAGGGGATAGAAGGCGAGTGCTTGAGTCAGGTGGAACTGTGGCTCTGTTTCTCAGAACCTTAGAAAAGACCCCCCTGGTGTCTGCCTGGACCAGGCCAGGGAGGCGGCTGAGGTCACAGCCCTCCATGCGAGGTCACAGCCCTCCACGCCCAGCGAGGCGAGGCTCAGTGACCCGTCTTTCTCACAGGGCAGCTGAGTGAGGGCAAACCTCTGGGGCTCGCACTGGGCTTAGCTACCAGCCAAGCCTCTCTTGCTGCATGGCGGGGCGCCGGGGGAAGAGGTGCTGGCACCAGCAGACCCCTTTGTCTGTGGTGTGAGGGGATGAGTAAATGCCCTGTGGGTCAGGAGGCAGAGTTGACAGGGTGGGCAGGTCTGGGAGCAGGAATCCCAGTGGCCCTTCTTCTCTGGAGAGTTCAGAGCACTCCAGGGTGAGAGCTGAGTCGCATGACTGAGTCATTTGGGGAAACTGAAGTAAAGGCAGCTGGTATGAGAACTGGAACCTATGGGCTTGATCCCATCACCATCCATCTCAGAGAAAGGGATTTGTTCTAGAGGCAGCTTAGAAACTGCCCCTCACCCACCGCTTCTGGGGTTTCCCAGGACAGGATGTTAGTAGAAGGGAAGCGTGTCTTCATCAGGGACCAGGAGACCCCCGATCTGCCTGCCTCGAATGAGGTCCTCTTTCAGGCACCTTGGGTATCCCTGTGAGGCCCAGGGGATCTTGTACGTCCACTTATCCTGGGTGTCCACCTGTCCTGGGGCCTCCCCAGGGCCCATGATGGGGGATGGCCTGCTGCAGGCACCCCGTCTCCTGTGGTCCCTGAATAATTCATGAACCAGGAGCACAAGGGAGGCCTAGCCAGGCCTGAGGCACTTGACACCAGCTCCCAGGGGATAAATTATTGACAGGGCCTGGTGCCTGGTTGCCACTTTTTTGTAGTCAGTCTGTGTCCTCCCTCCCCCTGCACCTGAGCCCCCACCTCCACCCCTTGCTGGCTAATTACCCAGGAATCCTGCACCTGCCCAGCCACTGTATATGGGCACTGTGGGCTGCCCTTTTGTGTCTGCGGCCTGGCTGGGTCACACAAGGGAGGTGGTCAGAGGACAAGTTAGGTCCCCTCACCTAGCCACCCGGGTGAATCTAAGGCCCAGAGAGGGCCTTTGTCCCAGGTCACCCAGCAGGGTGAGGACTGAACCAAGTTCTTATCCCAGACCTCCTGACCTGGAGGGCAGCACTCCTTCCTGCAGAAGGAATAGCCTCGCACTCCACGTTCCAGGGACAGGACCCTGCTGTCCATGGGGCATGACAGCCTCTTCCTCAGTTGCCCTGAGCAACCCTGCAGCCCTGGCACAATGACCCACCCAGGAGGAGCAGGGGCAATAGGTAGACCCCTGATTTGCAGCCAGATTACAGACAAGGAGGCCAAGCAGGCCAGAGCTAGGTCTTCCAGCGTTTTTCTGTAGTCTACACTGCCTCCTGTTGGGGTGATATTTAGCCTGTGTGTGTAGGGCTTGAACCAGGGTGTGCAGAGCAGGGGGTTGCCAGGACCTCCTCTTATGTGGAATTAAAGCGGTGGCAGAATGGACGAGCTGTGAGGGGAGTTATGAAGAAGTGACGTCCCCATCGCAGGGCGTCTAGCAGGGGCTTGAGAGCCATGTCAGGGAGACTGCGTGAGGGGCTTCCTCTCGGACAAGTCTCAAGTCCCTCCAAAATCTGAGATCTGAGACACTGACTTTAGTTAAGCCAAGGTACCGGGTTTCTCTGAGCGTTTCTCTGCAGGGGAATAGCTACCTCCTGCCCCCTGGGGGCATCTTGTCACATTGCACCAACTCATCATCAATAGCTGATCCCAAGGACACCGCCCTCCTTACACCTGGGCATCCTCTAGATGCCTCGCGGAGGTTTAGTGCGTCCGCTGGGGTTAACAGGCCTGAAGGTGCAGTCGGCAAAGGACAGCAGTAGAACAAGACTCCCCAAAGTGTGCTCAGTGTCATCAGCATCGCCTCAAACTTGTCAAAAACACACATTCTCTGTTGCTGCTGCCCCACCTGCTGGCCCAGACCCCCGGCCCTCAGGAGCAGATGTGCACATCTGTCCCCACTCCAAGTTCAGTGGCTTCACATTGGAAGCTTGACCTTGGCCATGGCGGGAGTATTTACAAGCTGGAAGCTGCAAGTCAGCACCACCCTTATCCTCTCCGACTCAGTCCTGAAACATTCCCAGCGCCACCTGGGCGGTGGGTCCCAGTCATCTGTGTCTTAGCAAGCCCTCCTGATGAATCTGTTAGGGCTGAAGTCTGAGAACCACTGATTTAGAACAAAACTAAGTGAGAGAGATGAACAGGCCAGTGTGTTTTTCACGCCCCCAGTCCATTGTCAAGTGTCTCCACCTTGCAGAAGCTACGCATCCACCCCCTCATTTTCTGCAGCAAGGTGAGACTGGGGCAGCAGCTCCAGGTCCCCTGGCCTAACCCTGTATTTCTCTCAATCACAGCCCAAGGGGGAGAGGCCAGGATGCAGCTACAACTGGGAGGGGGCTTCCAGGGGCTAGGTCTGAGAAGCACCAAGCTCCATCATGCCCCTGCCCCAATGCGTACACCCCCCGGGGGTCCTCACTGCCCTTGAGTGCTCCCAGGGATGAGTCTCACACCTGTAACCATTCACAGTCCTGGAGGCTCACCTAACATCCTGGATTTGCCGCCCTGGCAGACCAGCCCTGGCTCCAGGTCACCGACCCCACGGCCAGCCTGGGGCCGGAGCGAGCCTTCCCTCTCTCCAGCCTAGGCAGTGACAGCTTCTTGGGAGGTCAGCCTTGCTCCTCATTCTGCCACGCCCCCTCTGCCATCCCCAGGCTCATCGGGACCTTCCGCATGGTACTGCAGAAGGTGGTGGAGGAAAACCACGTGGAGGTGACCGACGCGCTGATCGATGACAACAATGCGATCATCAAGGTGGGTGTGGCCCGAGAGCCCCTGCTCTTGTCCATCATGGTCGCCCACGGGCCTGCTTCATGCAGGCTCAGCCTAGAGGTGCTGGCCTGGCTTGGGCAGAGCAGGGTCTGCTGTCAAATGGCAGACACAGCAGCTCTTCCTGCAGGGATGGGCAAGAGGAGAGCAAAGGGGGCACGAGAGGTCCTTCCGTTTGGATGCCTGCTCAGGAATCGCTAAAGAGGCTTCTCATCATCTGAGGGCCACAATGAGCCCTGCTGGCTGCTCCAGGGCGTGACCTTCGAACACGGCCTGGGCTGCTCCTAACCAGCCGTTCCGTGGGGGCGGGGACCTCTATTCCTCTCATCCCATCCCCTCCTGCACTTTCAACACGAGCACAAGGAGTGATGCACAGTCTCTGGGCACTTAATACGTTTTAACAAAGGAAATAAACCGACCTGGATGCCAGACCTCAGGCTCTGCTCTGAGGCACGGTCCCCTAGACAGAGCTGACCGCACACCTTTGGAGGGCACTCAGGGCCTGGCTCTTCTCCGTTGGGCAGCCTCATGCCCTCACATCTCCAGTGAGCATCAGGAGTAAGGGGTGATCAGCCCATTTCAGGCAGACCAGCCCTCAGCTTCGCAGGCAGCCCCGGGTCAGACAAGGGGGTGGTCTACTCCCTGGAGACACTGACTGTATACAGTGGACTCAGAGTCCACCACGCCCCTTTGGGTTCCAGGATCTGGAGTCAGAGCCCCTTAACTGACTGAGTCTGAGCATGTCAGTCTTTCCGAGCCTCTGTTTTCTCATCTGCAAAATGGGAGGGGGTTTAAAAGCTCTCGGTGACCCCCGGCGAGCAGCAGCACACACAGGGTCATGGCTGCTGTTGCAGCCCCAGCTGCTCACTCCCCGCCTCTCTCCCTCCAGACCAGCCTGTGCATGGTGGTCCGGTATCAGGCCACAGATGGCACGGTGGGGTCCTGGGACGACGGGGACTTCCTGGGGGATGAGTCCCTTCAAGAGGAAGAGAAGGACAGCCAGGAGACAGATGGGTTGCTCCCCGGCTCCCGCCCCAGCTCCCAGCCGCCAGGAGAGAAGAGCTTCCGCAGGTAACAGGCTGGGCCTTCTGACTGCCCACTGCCCCCAAAGACACAGGGAGGATCTGTGGGCCCTGGGGCCCCCAGAAGGCCCCTCTGGGTGGTCTTGGCCCAGAGTCCAGGGCTGAGTTCTAAGGGACATAAGAGGGGGGCAGTGGTTTCTGCAGCAGTGCCCCAAGAGGGCCCTGGGCTCTGCAGCTCACTGGGGAGGGAGCAGGGAGACTTGTGCCTGGCTGATGGGTCAGGCATCTCCCTCACCCCGACCAGGAGAAGCAAAGTCTGTGAGGTTGAGCCCTAACATCGGGGAAGAGGCTACCCTCCTTCTCCTCAGAGAACGGGAGGCACAGACAGGAGGGGGGCCTGTCTCCTCTCTATTTCTGGTCCCAGACCAGGCCCAGGCAGCCTGGCCTCCACCTTGACCCAATGAAGGCCCAAGAGGGGGAAGCCAAAGGCCCTGCTCTGACCAGCCTCTCTTGTGTCGAGAGTCTCACTGCAAATGTCCTGCCACACATGGGGACAGGGGCTGGGCAGTCCTGCCCACTCCCCACGCACTGTTCATACCCCCAGAAGAAAATGCAATTGCGCAGTCCTTAGAGGCCAGAGACATAGAATCTAGGCTGGCGGGTGGCTGGGAATAATGTGAGGAATGCAGGTAAGTCCACGGTGCAGCTAAAGGACCAGGAAGGTTTTAAGAGGAGAGGGCGCTCCCCTCCCCTTGAATCATCTCCCAACAATCTCCTGCCACCTGTCCTTTCCAAGTACAGGGAATGCAGTGTCTGCTCTGAAAAAGACACACATTCTAAATCAGTGTGAATGAATGCATACCTTTGGATTGGGCAAATATTTTTCCTCTTTGCACCTGAACCCCTCCCCCCGCCCCCACCCCCCAAACACACAGATACAAGTTTAAGAGACCTGAGAAGCTGGTGAAGGGAGGAATAGGAATAAGGGCGAAGATGCTGCCCTTGGCCACCAGGCCAGCAGGGGCACGGGCAGCATCGCCAGGCCACCCTGGGGCCCGTCTTCTTGGGACTTCAGGCCTGGTAGGGCACAGCATGTGCAATTTGGCCTCAGGAAGCCCAGGGTGCACCTCAGCTCAGCCTCCCCTTAGAGAAGGGGTGAATCACTAACCCCAGTGGTGTTTTGTTCTTAGGGGCACAGGATCAGGGTTCTGGGCCCTTGCATGTCAGTGTACATCTACCCCGTCCCTGAAGAGAGAGGAGACCGTGCCCTTGAATGCACATGCATGCACACACCAGTGCGTGCACACACTCACACGCGCATGATGCCAGCGAGTGGCACACACCACTGGTTTCTGGGTCTGCTGCCATGCGGTTGTAGGGGAGGCACATCTTATAAAGGACAAAAGAGCCCCAGCTTTAATCCTGCAGCTGCACTACAGAGATTGGGGTTTTCCTGAGTATTCCCTGAATTCTGCCCCCTTCTACCCGCTCTCCTTCTCATTTTCTCCTCCTGCCTGTCCCTCCTGTCCTCAGGGCCCACCTCCTTCTGCTACCCATCTCCACTTTCTGGTGTCCTGGGAATATAAAGGTTCCTGCTGGGCCTCTCTGCTGGGTTTCATCTGGGGAAAGGTGGGGGGAGCACTCTTCTTGTTCTCCTATGTATCATCTTCCATTCCATGGAGACCCAGGGGGCCAGCGCCCTCCCTCCTACGCCTGTGGTTAGGGGGAGCAGGGCACAAGTACCTCTCCCACAGAGCTGTGCGTGGAGTGTGTGCCACAGGGCATGAGCCAGAGTTGTGCATCGGCAGGTGTGCATGGGGTCAGGACACCCAGCTTGGCCCCCAGAGTTCTGCTTTATCAAATCCCAGTCCCTCCCCCACCTCCCTTCACCTGGCTGAGCTCCAGGGCAAGCAGCCCAGAGGAGCCAGGGGCAGGGATTCGGGGTAAAGTGATACTCAGGAGACATTTCCCTAACCGAGCCACTTCACCTGAGGTTGGGGGTCCCCTCCCACCAGTTCCCCAGCATTGAATGCCCAGGGGAAGTGCCAGGGTCCCAGCAGGCCACCATATTGAACCTCTCACCACATGGCTGCTTTTCCCAGCACCAGGGAGGCATGGGAGGGCAGCTTGAGGAAGATACGAGGAGAAGCCAAGGCCCAGGGTGGGGCTAACAGAGAGAGAATGCTGGGAGGGAAATCAAGTCCATCCAGGGCTTCACAGGAGGTCCCCTAAGAGCCAGAAGAGCCCAGAAGTCAAACCCCAGTCCACCTGCTGCTGAGTGGCTGAAGGGAAGCTGAGCCTTGGCACCACCATTTGGAAAGTAGGATGATGATGATATCCACCCTGTGAGACACAGAGATATGACAGGCTGAGGCCAGTTCTCAGCAGAGGGTCTTGCCGTTGTTAGTAAGGTTGGTAGTCATCGAAACAGTGCTCGTAGCCAAAGTCACAAGAGTATTATTTTCTACAGTCCTTTTCCCATCTCCCTGGCCCACTTCCACACTCAAAGTGTGCATCTGTGTGTGGGCCCTTGAGGACACAGAGGCCTGGAACGTGGGTGAATGGGGTGAATGGTGTGCTATGCCCAGGTTGCAGGCACCTGCTGTGCCCTGTTCGGCTGTGTGCCTGAGAAGTCCCCCAACAGGCCCACCTAACACCTCTGGCAAGTTCAAAGCAAAGCCCAAAGGGAAGGAGAAAAGAGCCTCTCCTATTAGTATTCAAGTACACAAATTCCACCCTACTGCCCTACCCTGCCTACTCCCAGGGAACACGCTTCCCATTCTGGTTTTCATCGCAATAATTCTCAGACTTTTTAGGGTCACACAGATCTTTTTGGTTGGTGGGTGGGTAGATGCATGCGTGCATACGTAGACAGAGATTAGACAGACAAACTGCCGCCCAAACCTGGATTGGTGACTCAGAGAATGGGACCAGTAAACCTCCCACTCAGCCCTCAGTTCTTGAAACCTCATTGGAGCAGGGCTAGTGCAGGGGCAGAGGATTCCAATGGGGCCCAGGCCTGGCCTGCCATCAAGAACAGCCAGGCACAGGGCAGGGCTGCTAAGACCATCTCCCTGTCTCTACAGTGAGCTGTTCTCAATGGTCTCAGCTGATTTTGTTAGAGACCTGAATAATGTTCACTTGTTTGAAAGAACTGAAAGACCAGCTTGCCTAACAGAAAGATTAGGTGGCCAAAGCTTGGCCTGTCCAGCCTTCAGGCCCTGTGCTGCTGGGCCTAGAGTTTCATCTACCAGGACAATGTCTGTGCCAGGACAGAGTGTGAGGAAGGATAAAAATGCTAATTGTTATTCCTTTTCTTTTCTTCATTCTGATTGCCACAGCATTAGGAAAGCATTGAGAGAATATTCCAGAGGATTTTTCTGGATACTTCTCTAGAGAAGGAGAAGACCATTCTTGCCCTGCTCTGAGTCTGGGAGTGGTAGTTGCTTACTGACACACACCCAGAATCTTCTGGCCCCCTTTCTTCTCAGAGACCCTTCTAACCTAGGAGCTCCCCACTCTGTGGGAGGGATTGGAAAGCGGGGAGAAGCAGATGGCCCAGCCCCAGGCTCTCCTAACCTTGCATTCCCTGGGAAGCTGCAACCCACTTTCAGAAATAACAAGACCCAGGCCTGGGGACAGAGACTAGCTGATACCCTGAGGCTTCCCTCCGCCCCACAGTGCCAGGTTCTCCTGGGCTTCGCATTGGGATCGTGGCCACCCAGCCCCACTCCTGCAAGCCCTCTCCTCCTGCCCCAAGGCAGAGCCCAGTCAGCATATCCCTGTCCAGGAGGCTTAGGGGTGCTGAAGTGATAGGATGTGGGGTGAGAGGTCCCTGGGACAAGGAGGCCCCAGGGATTGTGGGGGCAGCAGGGTGAGGGGTAAGTGTGCAAGTATCTCTGGTCCACACCCTCTCACCCATGTCCCCTTGTCTCCTCATTTCTTCCCCCCACTCAGCAAAGGCAGAGAGAAGACCAAGGGAGGCCGAGATGGCGAACACAAGTAGGTGTCCCAGGCCAGGGCAGAGCCCGCGCTCAAAGGCGCCTCCCCACAGGGTGCCAATGGTCTGTCCCAGGGGGAAAGCACAGGCTGTCCGGGGGAGCCAGCACTGGAGATGGCAGGGCGAGGGCGGTCACTCCATCCGGCCCGGGGCGAGGGGCAGGGAGGTGTTAGGATGCGGGCGGCAGGTGGCCAGGCCTCTGGTTTCCACTCCCTCCTCCCTCCTTTCAGTGTCTTGATTTCTCCTCCACTTCCCTGTTCAGCTCCCCACCCTTGTGGTCATGGACGGAGGCTTCCCAGTGAAGGAGGATGTGACCAAAGGCAAAAGAAGCCAATGGCGCCTCCCCAACAAGTCCAGGAGGACCCACCAGAGAGCGTGACTGGAGCATAAAGCCCCAGAAAGCTAGAGAGCGGGGACTTCTTTCTGGCAGTGCTCACCACCTCTCTGTCCCCAAAAGGCTTCCTTGTCTGGGAGAGGAGAGGCGGTGGCGACCCCAGGTGGGACAGGCGAGCTACAAGGGGCTGGAAGGGCTCAAGGCCTGGGGCTGATGAGTGAGAAAACTTAAGACTCGAGCTCTGAAAGAACCTGTGCTCCCTGTGAGCAAGGGAGATTCTGAGTCAGGCTGGTTTGGGAAGATGGAAAATCAATTCCATGATACTTTTTGCTTAACCTTCTAAGGGGTTATGCCACCAGGAGAGCTGAGGAGTCAGCATCCCCAGCAAACCAGGGGCTAAATACATAGGGTTTCCCAAGCCCCCTGGGCACATGTGCAAACAGAGCCCTTTGGAGCCAGGTTCTTGTCTGAGGGGTCAGCAGGTCCTGTCCAGATGTGGAAAGACACTCGCAACCATCTGAAATTCAATGCACTTGGGAAGATGACTGTAAGCTGCAATTAAGAACTTGCCTGTACCTGGGGCAAGGAAAATAAGAGAAATAGGCCCTCCTAAAGAATATGCTCCATGTTCTGACAATTTGGCCATTGTAAGCAATGCAGGCGCGCCACAACCCAGCCCCTGAGGCCTGAACTCGGGAGCCATGGAGGCAGACATGGTCTGCCCAAACTCTGCCCATCCCAGCCGCAACCTCTAAGTCATAACCTCCAGAATAACATATTGACCTGAATTTGTGAAACACCCAGCTCGAGAAACTTAGTTTGGCAAATGTTCCCAAAGCCCCCAAGGACCATCACCCAACCACAATGACATCCTTCAGAGAATTCATCGGATCCGTAAGTGAAAAGAGAGCGCACAATGAGCACAGTAACTTCAGAGCCTGTTCTCTGGAAACCAGCGGCAGTGTGAGGTGCAGTGCGCGTCACTCTGACACATGGCACGGGCCTGCCCCCTCAGAGGCCTCACAGGGAGGCCCCGAATGTGGCCCTGCACCCCCAAGGTGCAGAGAGGCCTCCTCTGCTGCCCTCTGTCCCCTGCCCTCATGCAGCCACGAGAAGGAGCCCTTGGATGCACAGTTGTTTTGCACCCAGCTTGCCTCTGGCTCGTCCCCTCTGTTTCTCACTGCCTTCGATCTTTAGTAATTGCAGCATCCAACGAGCACAAATGCAGATTAAATTTAAAAACTCAGGATATAGATAACTTAATCAACAAGTTACTTTTTGAAAAAACTAAGTCTCTAATACAAGTGTATAATCTTCAAAATTCCCTGACTAGGTAACCCTTTGCTGAGAGACACAGGCTTTCCAGGGACTGGTGCTTTCCAGGGACTGGTGCTGCGATGGGCAGAAAAGGCTTTTTCTACAGGGAACCTCTGTGTGTCGCCCACCAGCAGATTACAAAGGGCAGAGACGCCACGCTCTGCTGCCCTCCCTTAGGGTGGACTGAACGCAGGTCTGGGAGAAACAGGCACAGGGGTCTATCATAAGAATTCTGGGAATTACTTTCAACCTACACATTTTGCATTTTCCCAAAGAGAGAAACCATCATTCTGAGATCTCCCCAAGCACACAGGGGTATCACCAGTGAACCCTGACATGTTTAAAACTATTCAGGATTTGAGGAGAAGGGTTTCTCCTTCAAATTGCTTCAGGGTGTGGTAGAGAATGGTTGGGTGTCTTTACTTCCAAATAAGTTTGTTTACTTCCAAATAAGTCTTTACTTCCAAATAAGTTTGTTTTAAGGAATAAAGTGGCTTTGGAACTTGAGGATCATAACAGCCCATGGGGAGTCCCAGCCCTTATTCACAGGGGTGGGTCCCCAGGACCAGCCTCAGAAAGTCACAGTTCCTTATGACCCAAGGCCTGTCTGGGCCCCAGGCAGCAAGGTCAGGCCTCGGGGGCACAGCAGCTGGCCTCTCCAGGCAGGGCGTTTCAACCAACACATGGCTTGGACCTGCCGCCTCAGAGTACTTGGGGTAGGGGTCCGGGAGGCCAGGGCAGGGGAAACAGGAGGAGGGGCCTGTGCAGCATGTAGTTCATTTATGGAGTGGGGCTGGGGACTCTAAAGATGGCACTGCCCAGAAGTGGCCAAGTGGTAACTCTGCAAGTCCAGCACGGCCTTCCAGGAGACTCCTGGGCACTGCAGGGAGGCTAGAGGCTGCAGAAGGGCCATCCAAAGACTGAGGCAGGGAGCAGAGTAAGGCCCACACCGGCCCCTCTTCCTGTTGCAGGGTGCCAGTTACCCATGGCCCTGCCCTTAAGGCTACCAGGCAGAGAGAGAACCCACAGGGTGGTGAGGTGTAAACTAGGCAGGACGGCGCTGTTCCACCCCCACACGACTGTGTCCCGTGGGGTCACTGACCTGCTCGATGTTTCATCACAGTACTGCCATCCTCAGAGCAGTCTCTTCCAGAACATCGATGCTCAGATTATTTCTGGATGGGCCCCTTCTCAGTAAACACAGGCTGGGTCCATGGGACTCATCACAGAGGACACCAGCCCTGGCAAACCGAGTGGTCCGTGCCCATTCCTGCACTTCTACCTGGAGATTCCTGTCCAGGGTGGGGCTCACACTCAGAGAAGTACAGTGCCCCGGCATGGAGGACACAGTGGAGTCGCTGGCCTCAGACACTCATGTTTCATGCTTCAGTCCCATGCTGAGCCTCAGCCTTTCGAGGGGTGAAGGGGAAGCAGATGATCCCTCCCACGACTGCTGTGAAGAGGAAATGAGCAAAGAGCATGAGAGCCGTCGGTCCCCATGCTTCTCAATAACATGTATCCTCTTGGTGGTTGCTGTGTGCAATATAGCCCTTATTAGAAGGGGGGCTATATCCCTTTAAATGTAATTCCAAAGGTGCCATTTTTATTTTGTAGAGCACCCCCTGTCCCACGGCTCCCTCGTCCATGGTGCTGGCTAATGCAGGGCATCCTGTCGCCTGCCTAGGGCCTTCTAGGAACTCATGAATGACCAGTATTTCCTAAACTGGTGCCTCTTGGTGGCTCCCTCACTGGGCTGTGGACACACCCCTCCATGTCTCACGAGGCACATGGAGAGTAAAGAACAGGCCAGGGGTTTGGACAGGGCCAGACTTGGGGGATGAGTTTGGCTCACACTCCCAAGTAGAGGAGTCATCTCTACGGTGACAGAAAGGTTTTCCCCAAGCTCACACTCCCCAGTGTAAAGAGCAGTGGGTCTTGGGAACCATTTCATGCCTCCCCATGAGAATGCATGACCCAACGATGTGTAGGCTCCCCGAAGGTGAGCTCAGAGTTGGAACCTGTATCTTATCCCACCTGGGCCTACGGGATGACAGAGCCACGCCTGGGGGGAGGGAGAATGGGAAGAGGAGAGTCAGGTATCCAGGCATGCAATATTGATGGGGTAAGGGAATACCACGCGTCACCCCTGCTGATCCTACTCCTGGTCCCTCCTGGCACCGGGGACCACAGGATCGGCTGCGGGACACCACTGGAGAGGGAGGATCCCTGCCCCCTTCCCTCAGCCCCCCTGACTGCAAGGTCCTTCGCCCGAGGGCACAAGGCCACATCAAGCCGGAGGAAGAGGTAGGAACTATGGAGTCTGCCATATGTTCCTGGGGGTTGAAGGCTGGGGGATTTGGCAGTGAGAGGGGACAGGTAGAGGGAGCAAAGCCAGGACCAAAGACAGGTAGGAAAGGACCTATCTTGTCCTTGGGGACAAGGAGAGTGCCAAGGCGAGGAGGGGATGGGCAAGGCAAGGCGGGCTCTGAGCACCACGGCCATCTGCGAGCTGGGCAGCTAGTTTCAACCACACCTCGCACCCCTCCTCGGTCTCTGTCGCCGAGTCCTGTCCCTGACCTTGTGTTCTGATGCTTTCTCTCCGTCTGGTTTTCTTTCCACCCAGCTGAGCTCCAGCGGCAGGGAGGACTAGCTTGGGTGCTGGCAGAGCGAGGAGCTCTGAGAAGACTGGACTGAGGGGGGCTGGGATCCGCCCAGGGCCCCGGGGGGCTTCCAGTCAGAAGTGCTCTTTCCAGCGAGGGCAACCTTCTCTGCTCCTCAGGGCCCTGAGCCTGGGGGAGGGAGAGGTGGGGTTTCCTTCGCCCTGTGGCCCTGGTGGGGGATGCTCAACGGCCCTGCTGCATCCCAGGCCCGCAGGGGAGGGCTGGGGTGGAGCCCGCGTCCCTGACGCTTCTCTCGGGCTCTGCCTCCCTGTGTCTGTGTCTTCCTGTGTCCACCTCCCTCTACCTGTTTCGGGTGCCCCGCGCAGAGCCGGGAGGAGCGTGTTCTCCGCCATGAAGCTCGGCAAGAACCGGCCCCACAAGGAGGAGCCCCAGAGACAAGGTACCGGCGTGTGCGCTGACCACAGCGGTCCCCGGGGGCCCTGGGCCCCGACACCACCAAGCCCCGCCCCCAGTGGGCGGCGCCCAGAAGGCTCGCCTATGATTGGCGGGCGGGGCCACCTGGGCGGAGCCTCACTTCCCAGGGGCTGGTGCAGGGGCCCAGGTGACAGTGGGCCTTGGGCAGGCATCGGGGTGGGGGTCGGTGTCTGGGGTGGGGTCTGGGAGAGGGTCTGTCCCAGAACTGAGCAGAGCCCGCTCAGTTTCTGAAAGGCTCAGCCTGCCATCTTTTTTCTCCATACAAAACAGTACCTTTTTTGAATTAGTGGAGGGAATAACAAAAAAAAAAATTCCCTTTTTGTTGTTTGGCCAATTTCCCGTTTCTGGGGGGGATCCAGAGTCCAGAGAACGCTCAAGGGCAGCTATCACCATTCTACCTTTCCCCGAGCCCTCTCTCTGGTGGAGAGGGTGGGCCCTAGGAGACTGGAGTGTTCTGCAACACCGGTGTCTGGCACACAGTAGACCCTCAGTAAACCATAGCACTGTTACCAGAGGTACATGAGAATGGATTCTTTATTCCCTTCCTTCTTCTACAAAAATATCCAGTGCTTAATAAAGTAATGATAATGAAAGCATCACATTCAATTAAAATATAAAAGATATAAAAGCAATACCAGATATACTATCAATGAAAATCACAGATAATATTAGGTAGAAAATACTGCATATATACAGGCCATAATATTCTATGGAGATGCTACCAAGTAAACCTGGAATTAGTTCAATATGTAGGTACTAAAGCAAAGGAGGAAGGAGACACAGTCACTGTCCCACCATGCAGTCCACCTAACCAGGTTTGCTTCTTCCCCAGATGAACCAGCGGTGCTGGAGATGGAGGACCTTGACCGGCTGGCCATCCGGCTGGTGGATGGGCTGGATCCTGACTCTGTCTCTCTAGCTTCCGTCACAGCTCTCACCACCAATGTCTCCAACAAGCGGTGAGTAGGCGGGAGCCCCACAGCCCCATGTATCTCTACCCCATCAGGGAGGACCCAGCTTGTCATGTTTGGAATTTGAAAAGAGAGCATCAGAGCCCACGGATTGCTTCTTCTTAATGCCGCCCCTTTGCTCTCACCTCTCTCCTGCAAAGGCAGAGCACAGTAGCTGCAGACCTGTCCCTAGGTAACTGAACATCGCCAGGCCCAGGCGACTCACAGAGTGCCAGCTGCACTGGAGCCTCTTGGTTTAATCTCTGTTTCCTGTTACTTCTGCCTTTGGTTAGTCCTCTCTGTTGGGGCCTCTAAGAACCAATAATCCCCATCTATCTAGTAGGCCTAGAGTGTTTGAGGACTGTGATTTTGTCCTCCTGTCCTTCTTCAAGTTCTAAGCAAAGCCCACCTCCTCCCTGCTGCAAGCAGTCCCCTTAGACCAGACCTGACAGTACATTCTGCTCCTCAGATCCAAGCCAGACATTAAGATGGAGCCAAGTGCAGGGCGGCCCATGGATTACCAGGTAGGTGGGGCACCTGGAGACTCACACCTTTCAGACTCTGCTCTAGTTGGGGTGGGGAGCGTCTGGTCAGACGTGCATGATAGCTCTGTGGGGGCATGGATCAAGGGTCATACAGAACCACAAGCTGAGTATAAGTTCCCAAAGTAAGCTTATGCCTGGGAAGCACTCATAAAAGGTCATGCGTAGGGATGCACATACCCAAAGGAGAGTTTGAGAACATTGCTGGTGCTGGCCAGAGCACAGCCAGGGCTGTGTAGCCCTGGCCTTCGTGAAGTAAGAGGTGCCTGGAAAAGCCATAAAGAAACCAAGCACAACCAACACACACACACACACAAACACAAAGAGAGAGAGAGAGAGAGAGAGAGAGAGAGAGAGTTCAAACACTTAACATAAGAACCTCTTTAAAAAGGGGTTTTTGGGTATATTTTTTAAAAATCGTTTTGCATTATTTTAATGCTGGAACTAAGGTCAGTCCTGGTTATCTACAGATGGTGAGAATATGAGTGTGGGGTTTTTGGTTTGTTTTTTTTTTTGATTCTCCATATCTTCCTTAACTAACACTTAATTTTTTGTTTGTACGTTTCTAAAATTGGAGACCACGTGTCTGAGATAGAAATTTATAGCTGTCTGATTGCTGCTAGGACAGGGCCAAACAGGGTGACTGTACCCCAGTACTGCCCTTCCATCTTGGGGGGCCTGATCCTTCTTTGCAAAGCTACACCTTCAGTCTTTTCTCTCCAGAACTAATCAGAGCCTGAGAGACTGAGTTACACTAAAACAACTCATAATAGACTAATGTACAGGCCCAAAGCACCTGATACCTACTTATAAACAGGAAGCGGAAAGAACCCAGAGACCATCCATTACTTTAGAACTTCCCTTGGGGCTGAGACATGTTTTAAATTAAAAAACTGCTGGGCCTTCCTAGCACTGAATGTGTATGTTGACTGCTCAGGGGGACAAGCCTCCAGGAGACCCTACCTGTTGGCCACTGCACTCTCTACCCTAAGTACTAATACCAGGCTGCCAGACTCTGAGTGTGCCCTCCTCCCAGTTACAGCTTTATCTCTGATGCCCACTTCCCAGGCCCTGTGCACATTACCCCTTCTTTAAGAATAGCCCCACTCTCCTCACTCAGGTGGTGATAGAACAAGCTAGATGGCACCTTTCTTTGTATCTGGCATTTCTGGCCATGTTTACTGAAGGACACACCTAGTCTCCCTTAATTCTCAGTTCAGTATGTTTTCATTCAGCCCACGGCCATCTTCCTGGGTGCTGGAAAAATGGCTCCAGGGGGGTCAAGCGGCCCTGCCCGTGGCTTTAGACAACCTCGGTGGTTGGGCTCCTAGGAGGTGTGGGAATGCCACCCCTCACCTCTCTGCCAGAACCGAGACACAGTCCTAACTGAGGCCTACTGCAGGGGATGGGCTCGGGGCTTTCTGCTCTTGCGCTGAGAACAGGAAAACCCTAACGAACAAAGACCCCACGGTCAGATACGTTCCCTCTGCAAGAGCACCAGCCAGTCACAGAAAACAGACTTTGTTGTGCTGTTACTATGACTGTTGTTCGTTGAAGGCTCACTATGTGCCGGGCACTGCTCGGAGCAGCAGCAGGTGTGTTTCGTATTAGTGTGACGGTACAACCTCCAAATGTAGGAGTTACTGCATCTCACAGGCGAGAAGCTGACACCCAGGAGGGGGGAGCTTGCCCCTGGTCACAGTTATTCAAAGATAAGGCCAGGGTTCAAGCCCAAGTTTGTCCTGGCACACAGTCAATAATTTCTCTCCAGTTAAGCCTTACAGACAGTCTGGACCCCATTCACCTTTAGCTTACGCCCTGCTGCGTGTTTCCAAATACTGTTTCGAACTGCTTCCTCTCAGAGACTTTTACTAAGTAAACCAGACAGTTTTCCTCCGAGATTTGTAAACAGTTTGAATTGAACCAAAAAAGTTGTTGGACTTAACCTGATAACACAGTATTTCCTGACTCGTTCATCCACATCTCAGCTGCAAGTGTAACACACTTTGAGTGAGAACTATGAAGAAGCAAATGTGAAGTGATTCTTGCTTCCAATAAATGCAACAGATAATGCAAGAAAGCCTACCAGAAGGGACTTGACTCTCTTGGAGAACTTGGTTTTGCTGAGTTAGAAAGACCTCAGAAGGTGAGATGCGAGGGAACTTAGCTGACCTCTGGGCTCCCGAGGGCCCAGAACCATCCTGAAAGTTGGGTGGTACTGAGAGAAAGTCCAGCAGTGGAAAGGCAAAGGCATACCCAGCTCTGTGTTCTGTTTAGAACATATGCAATGAGTAAACCCTTTCCTGAATACTGGCATCTCAAAAACAAGATGCCACAGTCTCCTCCCTGGGACTGTGGGGGTTTCCCCTGCAAGCTCAGAGATGCTTCTGGAGTCTTCAGTCTGTTCCTTGCCCTCTGTTTCTGCCACCAAGACGAATACATTTTTACCTCTGACATCTCTCCAGTTTTCACCTCCATGTCATCTCCACTGACCCTGCACCCCTAACTTCGACTTCAGGGTTGCACCCAATTCCTGTCTGGTCTCCCTGACCTCTTATTGCCTCTCCACTCCATCCTCTACACCACCCCCGAGGATCTTCCCACAGTGCAGCATGGCCACATCACCTCTGGAGATGAGGGAAGGCAAAGGACGTTTCAGAAGAGCAGGGTCGGAGCCCCACCACCCTCACCCCAGCTCCCAGCTGGCATTCTTGCAACATGATCAGATCCTTCAGAAGCAGGTCACAAAGCACCACTGCTCTTTGGTTCTCCAAGACAGAGGTGTAGGGTTCCCCTTGGTGTTGTTCCCTGTGACGGCTTTCACACAGCCGCCTGGCCTGACATCCTTTATCTTGGAAGGAGAGGGTGCAACAGTCAACTGTCTCCCCCACCTGCTGGCGAGTGGGTCCCTTTGTGGCTCTATTTGCCTCTTCATCATGCACCCTGAATAAACCAAGTGCCCCGCTGATGGTGGTGCAGGGAAAGGAAAGAATGACTGATCCCCTCCCTCAGATTTACTTCAATTTCAAATCCAACTGTTACAACTTCTCCACATTAAGCCCTGGGGCGGGGGGTGGGCAGCAGGGATGGCATCCCCCACCCAGCAACACCATGCAGTGACGTCAATCCTGCATTTTCAGGATTCCCCTTGAGGTCACCCCTCAACCAGCAAACAGAGCCCTCTGGAGCTTCTTCCCGCACCCAGATCCCTCTTTGCCCTCCTATCCTTTCCACTTCCTACCTCTTGGGTGTCAGAGCTTCCAACCAGGGTTGTCTGCCATTGCTGGCTCCACTCGGTGAGGGAAAGTAGAAACTTTGGTTCCTGAAAAGAAACTGGAACAAAAGAATATCATCATGGTCAGGCCACTGGTCAGAAGACAAAAACCAACCAACCGCTCACATTGAAAAAGTTAATTTCCTGATGACATGTCTGCTGAACCTTATTATACCAAAGCTGTGTTGGTCTACTTCCCAATCATGAGTTATAGAAAGCCTTTATTTTATTTTATTTTATTTTATTTTATTTTATTTTATTTTATTTTATTTTGGAGAAGGGTATGGATTATTGGTGGGGAAAAAGCATGGATTTTTTTTATATAAAATATTTCATAGAGGTTAAAAATATATAAACTACTACACAGAGAATATTCTGGAAGGACGTTTAGTGTCTGTTTACTCTCCTCCTGATGCTGAGCTCTTCTCTTTGGTGCTTCAAGCTGGAAACAGAGATGCTTGCAACAGCCAGGGTCCCAGTGTTACCCCAATTAGGAAGTGCTGGTTTCCCATCTCTAGTTGTCTTTCCCTTCAACATTCTCATTGGCATCAGAGTTGCTACTTTTCTTAACATCATTAGTTTTCTGATGTGTAGATTTTTCTGGACCCTCAGAAGATTTATAAGTCATTGATGGATACAGTGGATGGACTTTTATTGGTTATTTTTTAATGAAAAGGGAAAATAATTCTCTTGAGTAAAATTCTACTTAGAAGTTGCATCAAAGCCCAGCAATTAAAATACCCAGTCTCCAAGATAAGAAGCATAAAGAACAACGCAGTTTCATTAGAAGAATGTGCTGAGGTGAATGCTAACTCCAGCTTAGGAAGGTTGTTTTGTTAAAACGCAAGTTGACAAGTCAGCTGAAACAATTGTGAGCGTCTTATTTGCCCCACAGAGCTGGGGAGCCCTCACCAACTATCCTATCTGAGAAGCCGTTCATGACAAGAGCTCGCATGTTTTAGAGCTTGCTGTTCTCTAAGAAGCACTTTCATGCACGTTATCTCACCCCTCAGAAAACTTGTTGGTTTTCACACAGGGTCTCCACTATAGCTGAGAAAATTGAGGCTCAGTGAGCTGACGTGGTCATCTGCTGTCACAGTTGAGAATGTGGCAGGTCTGGGGCTCAAGACCAGGGCAGCAGCCCCAAGTCTGGGCCTCTTTATCATGACTGCTGGAGGGGGGACTGACACCTCCAAATCCAAAGCAAGAGGTGATGGCTTAAATATGAGGATTCAGGAAAAGTGCACACACCCACATTCCCACACCCACCCACATCCCCCTCACACACACACACACACACACACACACACACACACACACCTCTCTCAAATCATTTGCGTGTATTTGTGTAAATATGCAAATATTTGTTGAATGAAGGAACAGCTGAAAAAGGGCTCCCCAGCATAGTAGGAGACCTGGGAGACTCTGGAAATACTCAGAAGCCCACAAACAACAGGCACCAAGCCCAGGGAGCCGGGTGGACACCAGAGCCACCCAGACATTCAAACAACAACAAAATTAAGCAAAAGGGCACAGGACTACGGGAAGGGGAACCACACCCCAGATAGACATAGACATATCAGAGGCCTGCAGAGTTTAGATGAGAAATGCCAGAGCTGGAAATTAAATGCACATTAACAGAGACTTAAAAAGCTTGATTGCCGAGTGCATGATACCTGGAAAGCGGGTTTGCAGCCCTCTGCAGGGCCTAGCCATCCGTGCTGGGCACAGTTCAGAGCCTCTGGGGCCTTTAAAATTACTGACAGCTCAACCCCACCCCTGAAATTGGAGGGGTTTTCTGGAGTGTGGCCTAATTCACACTGACTTAGAGGTTATCCAGCCCAGACCCTCCTTTAGAAATGAGACCAGGGCCACCTGCAGGGAAAGAGCCAGGGCCACCTGCAGCTCCAGGGACCTTCCAGTGTTCCCACTGACTCCAGCAGGCCCAGACCCAGGCTCACGTGGTTTTCCCTCTGGCACCCTCTCTCCTGCCCCCAGGTCAGCATCACAGTGATCGAGGCTCGGCAGCTGGTGGGCTTGAACATGGACCCTGTGGTGTGCGTGGAGGTGGGTGACGACAAGAAGTACACGTCCATGAAGGAGTCCACGAACTGCCCCTATTACAATGAGGTCAGTGGCCCGGGGTCTGAGATTGGGAAAGGAGCCTCCCAAAATGCGGCACGACGCAGGGCCCCAGTCCCACGCAGGCCCAACAGGAGGAGCAGGAGGGAGTGAAGGGGCACAAAGGGCTACTAGCAGGGGTGACCTGGGCCCACGCTGTCACACCCCCGTGCACACCGACATGCACTTCCATCCTCTGAAGCCCGAGTCTAGAGCCCAGCCTGACATCCATCTAAAAAGACCAGCCTCCCTGACAGCCTTCCCCCTCCCCCAGTTTCTTGAGTGGACCTGCAGTCCCTGCACAGTGCTGCCTCATTCCAGCCCTGGCCCATTAGGGCATCGGCCCCTGAGCGAGCCCTGACCACTGCCAGTTACTCTTCTAAGTGACTGAGGGGCACCCCTTTTCCAACTCACTACTATTGGGGTTGTCACCATTAACCCATGACACACAAGGGGACAATGGCGCTCCTGGGGAAAGTGTCAGAATCTGGGGTTCTGTGCTCACCCTCTCTGCTCAGCTGCGTCATGGGTGCTGGAGGAGTCCTGTGGGGCTCCTTCCAGGGCACTGGCTTGACTCTCAGGATGTGAGAGAGAAAAGGCCTGGTATAGCCCCATTCTTTGTAGCCTTTTGGGGTCACAACAAGGTCATAGACCCTCAGGGACCATTTAGTTCTATCTCCCCATCTTACAGCAGAAGAGACTGAGGACATGACATGGGCAGGGCCTTGCCCCAGATCACAAAGGGGTTGAGGAATCAGGGCCCAGCCCACCTGACATCGGCTCAGAGCTCTGTCTGCTATTTTTGGATGCCTTCCTCCCCACCAGACACAACACCTTGACCCCTGGGCTCCAGAGGGGAGCCAGTCTTTATCAGCACTTATCTCCCTCAAATGTCTGAGCACACATTGGAGCAACCCGGAAGTCACTGACCTCACTAGTCTGCCTCCCCGCATAGCTCCAGGTAGTGTGGGCTGCCAGGTTGACCCAAGGAGGGCAGCTCTGTCCTGAGGAGTGGGGAGGGCTGAGGTGCCCTCTGCGACTTGGGGGAGGCCATCTCTGAGGCAGCTGTGTACCTCCATGAAGAAAACCCAGGTGCCACAGCTCACAGGACTGGGACACTCAGGAACACCCCACTCCCACCCAGCCCTGTGTGGCAGCCTCCTGGGGAGTCAGGAAATTCAGACTCTGCATCTCTGAGTTAAGTCAGGAAACATCCCTGCGTGGAAAAGCCTCTGATAAGCATGTATTTTCCCCTGAGGCATGCGGAGGCAGGCACCCTTGGCCTCCCATGGTTATCTGATAGTGGCAAAGCCACAAGTGGCTGACAGGAGGACTCACCTTGCACCAGGCCCTGCACCTCAGGTTTCATTCAGATTGCACCCTCTTTCCCCAGCAAATAGAGCTGCTTTCCCCACTCTGGATTCCTGGCAAACTCCTACCCACCCTACGGGACCCAGCTAAGATATCCTTCCACTGAGCAGCTTTCCCTGCACTCTAGGTTAGAGATCAGCGCACTCCTTTCTCCATGACAATAATGTCCCTGAATTGCTGTTCATCCTTCGGGTGTCGTCTCCCTCGTAGCCTGGAGGCCTCCAGACTGCTCTGCTGTGGCCCCACTCAGAGCCTGGCATGTGCTGGCGGGCTGGGTGGTACTCTGCTGAAGGGCTGCTTCTCCAAAAAAAACAACTGCCAAGCACCAGGACCACGCTTGGTGACATGGGGCTGCAAGGTGACAGTGTCTGCCTAACAGGCTGTCTCCTGGTTCCAGCCTACAAACCACTGTCTAACCTCCATTTATAATTTATTCTACTTCTCTCTGGGCCATCTTAAATTTGTTCCTGGTTACATTTTTGTTCTTTTTTACAATCCCAAATTGATTTGTTCAGTTTCTGTTTCTTCTAAACCAAAATTTCCAAATTGAGCCTTTTGGCTAGTTAATCCAGAAAGTTCTTTGCTGGAAGAGACTGTCCTATGCAATGTAGGGTGGTGGCAGCATCCCTGGCTTCTAGATCTACATGCTCAATGCCAGCTGCAATGCCCCGCCCAGCTGTAGCACTGAAAATGTTTCCAGACATTGCTGCCAGGGGTTAAATGTTCCCCAGGGGTTAAAATCAGACCCCCCCCTTTGAGAAACACCACTAAGCGACCCCCCTGAACTTACTTCCCATGATCTCCTGGCCCCCAGGAACGCTAGCGCTTTCTTTCCCTTTCTTTTCTTCTTTCTCCATGCTCTACTCCTCTTCCTTGAAGTCTATCCCCCTCCCTGGGCGTACTGCCTCTGGCTAATTCTCTGAGTGGGTGAGAACCTCCCTGAGGCTCCATCATCATAATAGAGGGAGGTGAGAACAGTCACCAACGTGACTGAGCAGATTTCTGAGTGATTACAAAGAGGAAAATAAGCTTCAGAAGCACAGGAATATACCCGTAGACAGCTCCGAAGTCTAGCTGAGCCAGCTGGCACAGCTCCAGGCCTGGCCTTTCCTGCCTCCGGGCCTGTCTGTGTGTGATGATCTTTGCCCTCCCAGAACAATCTGAAGTTCACATCCCTGGCATTCCCCTGTGCATGGTGACCCTGTGGCAGTTCAACATGGTGGCCCCTACCCCACATCAGACTGAGGCTCGGGAAAGGAAGGGACTGGCCCGCCTATCGGTCTAAGGCCAGCTCTTGCGCCTCAGTGCTCAGGGTGAGCCTCCAGGCGTGGGGACAGAGCCTCCTCAGACATTCTGCCTAAGCACTCTGGCACCATTTCTTCCTTCTCCCTGCCCACGAGCTCTCCCTGTCCCTCTCTGCCCTCTGCCCCGCACCCACGCACCAAGCACCCACGCACCAAGCCACGAGAAATGCGGCAGCTCCCACCCATGGCTCCAGATTTCCTCCCCGTCTTTCCTCAGCCCTAAGGGCAACCTCATCTCACATTTCAGCATCTCTGAAGTTGGGACGTGTCTCTGAGCAGCACTGTGGTTTCGTGGCATTGTCTGTGTGGCTCGAGTCACTGCGGGGCATCTCCCCACACCTTGTGGGTCATCAGGCCCATATCAAGGCTGAGTGGGTGCCCTCCTCCCCATTTACACCGCAGGAAGCTGGGAGGCAGACAGTCAAGGTCACACAGCTCAAGGTTACACAGCTCCCACCTGCCCGGGCTCAGAGAGGACCAGTAGTTGACTCTGCTGCTCATCTGAAGAATTTGGGGTTCAGGGGAAGTGGCCCAGGGTGCAGACAGGCACTGCTGGGAGGGAAGGGCCCAGCACTGCCCTAGGCTGGCAGCCACTGACCGCCAGGTGACAAGTCTGCATCCTTCCCCTCTCTAGTACTTCGTCTTCGACTTCCACGTCTCTCCTGACATCATGTTCGACAAGATCATCAAGATCTCGGTGAGTCGGTGACAGGGCCACCAGCTGCAACTGTACCTTGTGCAGATCTGCAAGGCACCCCTCTGTGTGGCCACCCACAAAAAGACAACCGTGCCTGGACCCCAAACTGGGCAAGAGGGCACAGGCTGACTCTGGGGCCTTCTCGCCTCTTCAGCGGGTACCTTTGTATAGTGTCCACCTACTGGCACCGTACCTGGCAGACAGCAAAACACAAGTGAGGCCAGAGGGGCTGATGCTCAGTGAGCCCCCACCTCCACCCCACACACACACACTGCCAAAAGTCCTCCCACTTAACTATGAGCCCAGGTCCCCAGAAAGACTAAGAAGGTGCCACCTTGGGTGGGCCTGGCCCCGCTCCACAGAACCTCAGCCCCTCCCAGCCTGACTGGCTGTCGGGGGTTCTGCCTGGAAGGTGATTCACTCCAAGAACCTGCTGCGCAGTGGCACCCTGGTGGGCTCCTTCAAGATGGACGTGGGAACTGTGTACTCCCAGCCTGGTGAGTGGCTGCCCCACTGGTCAGCTCTGGGCCTGGCCAGGCCCGTGGGCTCCCTTGGGGCTGCGAGGACACAGCCATTGGGTATGCAGATGGGTGGGTTCCAGGAGCCTCGGGGCATGTGGCATCCCCCCTGAGGGGGTGCCTGAGGCTGACAGACCCCCCCACTGACTGTGGGGCCAGCTCAGGAACCACTGTGCACACCCAGACCCGGAAGTGAACCTGCTATTCGGGTACAGTAATGACCCCCTTAGGCCTCACGACAGTAACAATACAATTTCCCCCGGACTGTCACATTTGGCCCTCACAAGGCATTGAGGTAGGCTTCCTTCTCATTTCACAGTGAGATAAATGAGGCCAAAGGCTTTAAATGGCTTGGAGGTGGCCCTAAACTATGGGGGTGTCCGAGGCAGCGGTGTCCTGCAGTTCAACCTAACAGACTCCACTGGTGCCGCTTCTGTGACTCAGGCCAGGGAGTCTGAGTCCAAGGCCCAAGACTACGCACATAAAAATCACAAAGCCGTTTGAAGCACAAGAGATCTTAAAAACACCTAGTCCAATCTCTGCAAGATGGAGAAACTGAGGCCCAGGGTGGTGAAGGGATTTGCCCCAAGTTTGGGAGCAGAACCCGGGTCTCCACACTCCTGGCTCATGCCTTCCCTCTGCCCCGCACGTGCTGTGGGCTCAGTCTCTAGTGGGGTGGCCCGGAGACCTTCATGCTGAGGGAAGCAGAAAGCCCCACCCCCGCTCTGCTGCTCCCCAGGAGGCAAACACTGGGGGTTGGGGGGCACTGGTTGGGATGACATTGGCAGGCCCATCTCCCCCAGCTCAGAGGCTGGCAGGGCTGTCATCCCAGGTTCCAGGGCTGTAAGGACCAAGGAGTGGGGGTCCCCAGGAAGCGGGGGGGGGGGCGGCAGGTTCAGGCCTCCCTCCTCCAACCACAGAGCACCAGTTCCACCACAAGTGGGCCATCCTGTCGGACCCTGACGACATCTCCTCTGGGCTGAAGGGCTATGTGAAGTGCGACGTGGCCGTGGTGGGCAAGGGAGACAACATCAAGACGCCCCACAAGGCCAACGAGACAGACGAGGATGACATTGAGGGGTGAGGCTCCCATCTCCCCCCAGTCCCTGGATACCTGCCTCCCCCAAAGTCTGCCTGAGAGTGGGCTGCGCCCAGAGATCCTACCTCCCATCTCCCTGTGCTCCATTCCTGCCCCCCTCCACCTCCCGCAGAAAGCCCAGGGCTTCCTGGAAAGGGCCAGCTACAGTGCCCAGGGTCTCCTCACAGGAGAGCAAGTTTGGAGGTGGCAGGGATGGGGCTCGGGGGGATGGAGGTCAAGAAGACAGCCCTTTGACATCCAGACCACCTGTGAGGAACGTGAAGGAAGCGGAGCCTCCACTACTGGGCGCTGAGTCCAGGCCAGGAGAGGAAAGAGATCTCACTTCCTGCACCAATGCCAGGCAGCTGACAGTGGCCCTTCAGAGATATTCTGCGACCTTGTGTGGACTCAGTGGGAGAAAGTGCTGGGACCCATGAATCATATCTTCCCAGCAGCAGGGCGGGGAGACCACAGCATCTCGTGAGCTTTAGTCTGCGGGACAGAGAGGGGGTCATGGAGCCAAGAAAGTAGAGAATTTACAAAGCTCTCACATATTTGAACCTATTCAAATATTATCATATTCCTGGGTGCTGGATATTTTTACTCTTATCTTAAAGGAGAGGAAACCGAGGCTCTGAGAGGTGGGGAGACTTGTCTAGAGTCCCCCAAGAGAGCAGTCCCCAGCACAGCCTTCTTAGCCATCATTCATGCCTTGTCCTAGCTCCCAGGGTAGGCAGATGCTAGGGCAGGAGTTGGGGTGCCAGGCTTGGCCATCAGTCCTGGCTCTCTGTGCTTGCACATGCCTGCAGGAACTTGCTGCTCCCTGAGGGGGTACCTCCGGAGCGCCAGTGGGCCCGGTTCTATGTGAAAATTTACCGAGCGGAGGGGCTGCCCCGTATGAACACAAGCCTCATGGCCAATGTGAAGAAGGCCTTCATTGGTGAGAACAAGGACCTGGTGGATCCCTACGTGCAAGTCTTCTTTGCTGGCCAGAAGGTACTGGGGTACAAAGTGCAGGAGGTTGGGGTGACGGGCATCAGAGGTGAAAAATGATGCCTGTAGAAGCCTGGGGGCAGACATGAGGCAAGATGGGGAGCCTCAAGGCTAGGACTGGCCTTTGATTGCCTTGGTGCATTCACGAGGGAAGTGGGGAGAGTGAGAGGTGAGGGTGGGGCCAACTGAGAGCAGCTGGAGGTAAGGTCAGTTGCAGATGGGCCAGAGGGAATCCTCGACCTCCAGGCCCCAGAGACCAAATGCTGAGGAGAAGCACTGGAAGGGAGGAGGGTCTGAGAGGCTGCCTCTGAGAGGCAGGCATATGAGGAGAAATATACATACACACACCCTTCAGGTGCACACAACGCATACACACATACCCTATAGATGCATGCATGCACACACACACCCCCTACAGGTGCACACACACATGCACACATAAATATGCATGCACGTTCTTACATCTGTGCATGTATATTCACACATGTGTGTACATGTATACTACGTGCCCCTGTGTGTACATGTACACATACATTCACAGACACATACAGGCCCACACAACAACACACCCCCATATCCACAAACCAAATCCTCGCTCTCTCCCCCCAGGGCAAGACCTCAGTGCAGAAGAGCAGCTACGAGCCACTGTGGAATGAGCAAGTAGTTTTTACAGACCTGTTCCCCCCACTCTGCAAGCGCATGAAGGTCCAGATCCGGGACTCAGACAAAGTCAACGACGTGGCCATTGGCACCCACTTCATTGACCTGCGGAAAATTTCAAACGATGGAGACAAAGGTCAGCAACAGGAAACCCAATGGGCCCCCCCACACACACACAACTTGACACTGCGAGACCTTGTCAGCAGCCCCACCACTGCGGTTCTGGTCCCGCACACAGCTGGTTGGGCCCGCCTGAGCCAGGCGACCTGGATTTGAACCCAGTTCCGACCATGAGTAACTGTGTGGCTTTGTACCTATTTTCCCATCTGTAAATGGAAATATTGACTTGATGCTTGTGGGGGTTCACATACATATCCCACGCGTGTGCTGCAGCCACAGCACCTTGCGCTGGGGACTGACCCCTTCCAGGACCCAGGCACTGTGCTGGGTGCCAAGGACGCAGAGGAGAGTCAAATCCAGCCCTGTGCGCCCAGTGCTTGGAGGATCAGGGAGACAGATGTGCTGCCAAATGCTCCCGCCCCAGGCAGAGGCACAAAAAGCCACATGCAGTCTGAGCCCATTTGCATGAAACGTCCGGAATAGGCAAGCCCTAGAGACAGGGCAGAGCAGCAGCAGCAGGGGCTGCGGGAAGAGGAATTGGTGCGGCTACTCGCAGGCATGGGCCCCTTTCGGGGGGGCTGGAAAGTTCTGCAACGAGGTGCCCGAGGCACAACTTAGTGAGTGCACTGACACGCCCTGACGGTCACACTTCAAAATGGAGCGTTTTATGTGATATGAAGATTAGTGCTATTTTTTTAATGCTATAATTTTTTTGAAGACAAGCAGAACGAAACACATAATGCAGAATTGGATATGAGCTACACATGAGGCCCAACCCAGCCACAGCAGCAGTCACTTGGGACAGGGAACTGGGAAGGCTTCATGGAGGAAGAAGCTTTAACAGGCAGAGGGAGGGCAGAGAGGAGGGTCTGCGGTGGGAGGGGCATCTACACCGATGGCAAAGGGCCCAAAGGCATGCTAAGGAGTTGGGGGGAGCTGGCATCTATCCTTAAGCCAGAGTGTAGGCAGCCCCCTCTCCAAGTGCCAGGAAGCAGGGAGCATGCCCTTGCTTCCCCACAACCAGCTCAAGCCCCTGCAGAATAAGCAGGCCCGAAAGAATGTTTCAGCGGCGGAAGGCCACCCACACCTGCCCACACACAGCAGACTACACGCTCTGCAACCCACCCAGAACCCTTCTCCTGCTGCAAATGTGTCACCCACAAGGGCTGGGGTCCTCAGCCCAGCAATCAGGACCCCCCCAAAGAGGTCCTTCTACCCTGAGTGAGCCCTGGGGTGTGACGCAGGCCCTTCCTCCTCCTGCCCTTGGCCACAGGCTTCCTGCCCACGCTGGGCCCAGCCTGGGTGAACATGTACGGCTCCACACGCAACTATACACTGCTGGACGAGCACCAGGACCTGAACGAGGGTCTGGGTGAGGGTGTGTCCTTCCGTGCCCGCCTCATGCTGGGCCTGGCTGTGGAGATCCTGGACACCTCTAACCCGGAGCTCACCAGCTCCACAGAAGTGCAGGTGGAGCAGGCCACGCCCGTCTCGGAGGTAAGGCCCAGGCCACCCGGCTCAGCCCCCTTCCTGCCTTGGCAGCCTGGGTGTGACCTCTGCCTGCTGCTGTCCTGTTTGTCTCAGGGGCCAGACCCCAGGGTGAGGCCACCTTCCCCAAGATTCCGAGGCCCCCCACTCTGTCCGAAGGTCCCAAGATGGAGCCTCAGCTCTTCTCCTCCAGGACATCAGGCTGGTCGGCAAAGGGAATTAGGCCTCTAGTCCTTCAGGGACTGTCTGCCTAACTCCACAGCTGGATGGGCTGCCCCTCACCATCAACCCGGAGGGCCCATCAGTTAGCCGGCAGGAGGAAGCCCAGCAACCCTCCTCAGGTCTGAGATGATCTCAACCGCCTTCCTCACAGAGCTGCACAGGGAAGATGGAAGAATTCTTCCTGTTTGGGGCCTTCCTAGAGGCTTCAATGATTGACCGTAAAAACGGAGACAAGCCCATCACCTTTGAGGTCACCATAGGTGAGTGTGGGGTTCCCAGAGGCTGCTGGGTAGTCCCTGTTGGGCCCTGGGGCAGGGGCTGGGCCCACTTCCTCTGCATGTCCTCAGGCACCCGCGCAGCACGCAGTGTGCACATGAGGGACAGGCCCATGGCGGTGGACCCTGGTTCCACCTCCAGAGCTGGGCATGTGCGAGGCGTGGGAGGAAGGAAGCTCCAGCAGGAGGGAGAGAGGCCCTGGGCTGGGGAGGAGAGAGGGAATGTTGGCCATGGCCTGGGCTGGACCTACCTCGGCTGTCAGGGCTCCGGTCAGATCTTAGCGGGATGGGCGCATGTGGCCCCTCCTCTGGCCGGTACACTGTCGTATCATAGCACAGACACCCAGCACCTTCCCTGACTTCCCTCCACCCTCCCACAGGCCTAAGGCAACACCTGGACTGGAGGGAGGGGGAGGACTCTAGGCCCCCTCGTGTCCCCTTCTGCCTCCAGGCAACTATGGGAATGAAGTCGATGGCCTGTCTCGACCCCAGCGGCCTCGGCCTCGGAAGGAGCCAGGGGACGAGGAGGAAGTAGATCTGATCCAGAACTCAAGTGACGATGAGACTGAAGAGGGTGGGGACCTGGCCTCAGTCTCCTCTACCCCACCCATGAGGCCCCAGATCACAGACAGGTGAGCCAGGGGCACGGAGGAACCTGGGAGACCCTCCCTGTGCCTCCCAGATTCTTGGGCCCCAGACCTCAACCTCCCACCCCAGGAACTACTTCCACCTGCCCTACCTGGACCGCAAGCCCTGCATCTACATCAAGAGCTGGTGGCCCGACCAGCGCCGCCGCCTCTACAACGCCAACATCATGGACCACATCGCGGACAAGCTGGTCAGAGCCCGGCTGGGGTGGGAAGGGCGGCGCTGGGGGTGCCTCTGAGAACCTTCCCTACAATGCAGCAGGCCCGGTGGCTTGCTGGGGCAGGGGCGGGGAGAGCGCTGCGGGCGAGGGGCCAAAAGGACCCCTGCTCCCCTCCAGTTCCCAGGTCCCAGAAGTGGGCGGAGGGCCTAAGGGTTGACCATGAATATATATAATCAGGAATCCCGGCGCGTCCAGTCCTGGGGCTCCCTGGGGGTGACCACCAGCCCTGCATGGGGGCTGCATGCACACACCCCCATCTAGCCCTGGGTTCTGCCTGGCCCCTTGACCCCATCAGCACCAAAACTCAGAGCCCAGAGGTGGCTGCTTTCTGCAGGGCCTGAATGCCCCAGGCTCTGAGAACAGAACCTGGGAAGTTGGTGGTTTCCCTGTGATGGTGGGACCCTGCGGGTGGTGCTAAAGCGAGGCGCCTGGCCCCTCACTCCCCTGATGAATGGGGGAAGACGTTTGGGGAGGCTGAGGGGAAGGGCTGCATCTCAGTGTGCACCCCCCTCCTGGTTCCCAGGAAGAAGGCCTGAATGACGTACAGGAGATGATCAAGACCGAGAAGTCCTACCCCGAGCGGCGGCTGCGGGGTGTCCTGGAGGAGCTCAGCTGTGGCTGCCAGTGAGAGGGAGGGCTGGCAGGGCGGGAAGTGGAGGCCTGAACAAAGGGCACCCAGTTCTGGGCTGGCAGGGCCTTCTGCTGGGGTGGGTCCCCTAAGCCTGCTCCCCCGCCCCCAGCCGCTTCCTCTCCCTGGCTGACAAGGACCAGGCACACTCGTCCCGCACCAGGCTGGACCGGGAGCGCCTCAAGTCCTGCATGCGGGAGCTGGTGAGGACGCGTGGACGGCACGGGGACGGGGGAGGGTCTGGAGGGGCAAAGGGGAACCTGAGGTGGGGACATCTGTCTCTGAGGTCCCAGCCCCCCAGGGCCAGCCCCCTCTGTCATGCCTGAGCCCCATTACACCCCCGCCCCCGCAGGAGAGCATGGGGCAGCAGGCGAAGACCCTGCGGGCTCAGGTGAAGCGGCACACGGTGCGGGACAAGCTGCGGCTGTGCCAGAACTTCCTGCAGAAGCTGCGCTTCCTGGCAGATGAGGTGCTGCCCTGCTGGTGGGGGTGGGGGTGGAGGTGCCTGGCCCCAGCCAGGATGACCAAAGTGGGGCGCAGGAGGGGCTGGGCTGGCCACGGAGGAGGCCCCTCCTGCTCCAGAGGCCATGGGGGTACAAGATGAGCAAGGCCTGCATCCTGCTGTGTTTTTCCGGCTCCACCGGTGGAGGTGGAGGAGGAGGGCCACCGTGATCTGGGGTCCCTCCTTTTGCAGCCCCAGACCTGGACCTCTGGGCCTGAAACGGGGACTCTGGGGATCACTCAGGTGCCGGGGGCCCCAGTCAAGAGGCTGGCCCTTCCCTTACTGGCTCCCCGTCCAACCCCAGCCCCAGCACAGCATCCCTGACGTCTTCATTTGGATGATGAGCAACAACAAGCGCATCGCCTATGCGCGGGTGCCCTCCAAGGACCTGCTCTTCTCCATCGTGGAGGAGGAGCTGGGCAAGGACTGCGCCAAGGTCAAGACGCTCTTCCTCAAGGTGCCAAAAGGGAGAGGAGCCAGGAGGGGAGGGAGGTGGCCAGGATGGGGGGTCAGCCCCCCCCTTGGAAGAAGCATTTCACACCCAGCCCCATACCCACTCTTGCATTCCCTGGTCTTGCCTGGCCTGCGCTGAGGGGACGGAGCCTCAAGCAGCAGGTGCTCAGAGAGGACTGTACAGGAGAAGGGGGTAGGGGCACAGGATGGCCCCAGACTACCCATTACCCTCTGCCCGCTTGCGCTCCCGGCCCTGCCCCCATCAGCCCAGTGGGATGGCTATGGAGGGGCAGGGGCATCTCAGAGCAAGACTTCCACTGCGCTGCCCCTTCCTGGCCCCATGGGGCCGGCAGCTGACCCAGTGCCCACCCCAGCTGCCGGGGAAGCGAGGCTTCGGCTCTGCTGGCTGGACGGTGCAGGCCAAGCTGGAGCTCTACCTGTGGCTGGGCCTGAGCAAGCAGCGCAAGGACTTCCTGTGTGGCCTGCCCTGCGGCTTCGAGGAGGTGAAGGCGGCCCAGGGCCTGGGCCTACACTCCTTCCCACCCATCAGCCTGGTCTACACCAGTGAGTGAGGACTGCTGGGCCCGAGTGGGCCCGGCTCCTAGCTGTCACCCGGGGGATGGGCACCGGTGGGGCCACCAGTTCCCGAGCCTCAGCCGGCTCTTCCCTGCAGAGAAGCAGGCCTTCCAGCTCCGCGCCCACATGTACCAGGCTCGAAGCCTCTTTGCTGCCGACAGCAGTGGCCTCTCTGACCCCTTCGCCCGCGTCTTCTTCATCAACCAGAGTCAGTGCACAGAGGTGAGGTCGCAGGGAGGAGGGAGTGGCTTCAGTTTGAGAGCACTGGGGGGCCTGTGAGCTTGTGGGACTTGGACATATAGATCAGCCGGCACCAGATCCTGCAGAGCGTCGCAGGCCACGCTGGTAAAGGCTGTCGTCATGGTTATAGTCAACACTGAGGACAGGGAAGGCAATGGCAGGGGCCACAGAGCAACCGCATATTAGCCTTCAAGATTTCAGAAGAGTCGGGGGACAGGATGCTCCTGCACCCCAAGTCCTCTGGGAAGCGCAGTGACAGGGGGTGACTTCTGCTGATGTATCTGCCCACTCACCACTATATATTACCTGCTTCCCCACCGCATGCTGCAGGTGCTGAATGAGACCCTGTGCCCCACCTGGGACCAGATGCTGGTGTTCGACAACCTGGAGCTGTATGGGGAAGCCCACGAGTTGCGGGATGATCCCCCTATCATTGTCATTGAAATCTATGACCAGGACGCCATGGTAGGGTGGGCTCTGGCTCGGGGGCCTACGCCTTCTTCCTTGCATCAATGGCCATCTCCCCCCCCAGCAGCCCAGCACCCCCCCTCACGGTTCCTTGGCCAGGGCGCTTTTAGGAAGCTGGGGGTCTGAGCTGCTGACCAGCCCCTCCAGGCGACCCCAGATGTCTCTTGCCCTGTGACTGCAGCTTGACCCTCCGGATACTGTGGGGTCTCAGGGAGGAGATAGGCCAGGGCACCCCTCCTCCAGCCAGGCCCAGAGTCCTCAGATGTGCCACCAGCTTCCCCCACCCCAGGGACCCCTGCCCACTCTACCACCATAATAGCCTCCCCATGGGAGCGCTGCAGTAGGGAAGTGGAAATCAGGGTGGCCCCTCCAGAGATGGGGGTCCACCTCTGCTCCTGGGGTACCTGAGAGGGCCCTGGCCTAGAGGGAAAAGAACGTCATTTCAGTCCTAGGTCGCATCTGCCTTTCTCTGCCACAGTCTCGAGCAAGTCTGTCCCGGGCCCTGTGGCCCAGGTTCCCCGTGTGAGAAAGGGGTGACCACACCTGCCCCCTTTGCTCACGGGCTTTGGGGGAGACTGATGATGATCCCAAGTGAGAGCAGCTTGGTGAACTCAAGTGCTGCTGAGCAGCCACCCTGGTTGTTTGTCGTCAGGGCAAAGCCGACTTCATGGGCCGGACCTTCGCCAAGCCCCTGGTCAAGATGGCCGATGAGGCGTACTGCCCGCCGCGCTTCCCGCCCCAGCTGGAGTACTACCAGATCTACCGCGGCAACGCCACGGCCGGAGACCTGCTGGCTGCCTTCGAGCTGCTGCAGGTGGGGCCAGGGGAATGGGGCCGGGGCCGCTTCCCTCCCATCCTGCTGGGAAGCCCCTCTGACCAAAGCTGGGGTGCAGTTCCCCAAGGCCCAGCCTTCCCTGTCTCTCCAGCTCCCATGACATAACTCCTGGGGAGGGAGGGCCTTCTCCCTGGGAGTGACACTGTGACCCCCGCTCCCCAGGTTGGGCCGGCAGGGAAGGCCGACCTGCCGCCCATCAACGGCCCGGTGGACGTAGACCGAGGCCCCATCATGCCCGTGCCCGTGGGCATCCGGCCCGTGCTCAGCAAGTACCGGATCGAGGTGTGTGAGGGCCCTGTCCTGCCACCCCTGTCCCTGCCCACCCCATCCCGCCACCACCCGTCCCTGCCAGGTCCCACTGGGTCCTCACTTCCTCCCCATCAGGGGCCAAACAAGTGTGTAACACAGTTGGCAACAAGCTCAAGGGGTCCTGGCCACCTCAGGCCATGCCTCATTTTTCAGATTAGGAGACTGAGGGTCCTGGAGGGGAGATCACTCCCGAGGTCACCCTGGAAACAGCCCCCCCAGTGCGGGCCTGCCCCCAGCTGCACTGAGGCCCGCTGCTGCACCTCTCAGTCTCCCCGTCTGCCCGCACCCCATGCCCACCCTCACCCTGCAGCCCCTCGAGGACACTGGCCCTCGTCAGCCCTCCTGGCCTGCCTCTTGACTGCCCGGGTCCTTCCCAGGTGGCCCGGCCACCCACAGCCGCTCCCTTGACCACGAGACCCCCCTCCCACACAGGTGCTGTTCTGGGGCCTGCGGGACCTGAAGCGGGTGAACCTGGCCCAAGTGGACCGACCACGGGTAGACATCGAGTGTGCAGGGAAGGGGGTGCAGTCATCGTTGATCCACAATTATAAGAAGAACCCCAACTTCAACACACTCGTCAAGTGGTTTGAAGTGGTGGGTGTGGGCCCGGGATAACGGGCAGAACTGGGCATGGCTGGTGCAGTTGCGCATGGCCAGCTCCTTGGCCCCCCTCGCTGAGCACAGGCTCCCTTTGGCCAACACCCTAGGACCTCCCTGAAAACGAGCTGTTGCACCCGCCCTTGAACATCCGCGTGGTGGACTGCCGGGCCTTCGGCCGCTACACCCTCGTGGGCTCCCATGCCGTCAGCTCCCTGCGGCGCTTCATCTACCGGCCCCCGGACCACTCGGCTCCCAACTGGACCACCACAGGTAGGTCCGCAGCCCAAGGTCCAGGCCTGACTCCACTCAGGCCATGGACGGACCCCAACTTACAGTCCAGCCCACACAATTACCAGCCTGCCTCCCCAAGGGCCTCCCCAAGTGGGTGTGGGGGTGGCCAGCAGGGAGGTCCTAGCCTGAGGCCAAGGTTGCCCAGGAGCACAAGGGGCCAGCACTGGACATGTCCTTAGACGCTTCTTGGGCCACTTTGGCGACGACCAGGCCCAGCACCCCCTGCCTGACTCCCCTGCAGCTCACCAGCTCTTTGGCTCACCTTCTGCCTCTCACGCCCAGCTTTTCTCCCTCTACTGCCCCGTCCATTCCTCTCCCCTCAATTTCAAAATCAGTTTTAGGCCTCGGGTCCTTCGGGCCACCTCTGACTCTACTGTTACTCCTGCTCCTCTCTGTGTCTGCCCGTCTGTCCCTCTCTGACCAGTCAGGCTCCTCCGGGGCTGCCGTGTGCTGTGCAAAGGGGGCCCCTCCTCTCACCCCACAGGGGAGGTCGTGGTGAGCATGGAGCCCGAGGTGCCCGTCAAGAAGCTGGAGACCATGGTGAAGCTGGATGCGGTGAGTCACGGGGGTCAGTGTCTGCCGGCCCGGAAGGCGCCACTGCTTGGTCAAAAGTGACCTTCCCTTGGCCCCGAATCCTTGACCCCCGGAGAGCCCCGGCCAGCAGACTGAGTCAGCAGTGGGCATGGCTCTCGGGCAAGAGCAGCAGACCAGGCCCTGGGATGGCACAGGCAGAAGCCGTCCCCTCTTCCCCTTCAGCTCCACCTTCTGATCTCCTCCCTGAAGACCCTGATTCTGCGGGGGGCAGGTGTCCTCACTTCAGGCCACCGTGTTGGAGACGGGGAGGATGGCCCTGGTCTAAGCCTTCCCACTGTCCCTCAGCCCCCAGGCTCCGGTGGGGCATCCCACAGTCCTCTTCAGCTATGCAACTGTGTGTCTACTCGGCTTCTAGGGTGCTTGTGAGGGGGGCAGTGGGTTGAAATTGACCTCATTTCTCCAAGATTATGCTGTGTCAGCTCTTCTTCATGACCCTGCCCCCACTGCAGTCACCGGGGAGTTCACAGCTGGTACACCCCTACGTGGGCTCAGCAGAGCCCTGGCGTTGATTACCTTTAAAGGCTGCCTAGATGATTCCAACATGCAGCCAGGCTAGAAACTTCTGTGAGGTCCACTGTGGGCAGGTCCCCTGGCACTGGCAATGTGCTCGTCAGTCAGAGTTGGCCTCACAGGCTCAGGAGCTCACTGCACCCAGCAAGGGTCCCTGTGTGAGCTTCTCCTGCCTACCCTGCCCCTATTGGATGCTGCCAACCACTGAGGCCCCAGGTGACTAATCCTGCCCATCTCCTTGGTTCCCCTCTACAGACCTCTGATGCTGTCATCAAGGTGGATGTGGTGAGTGCAGGGGCCGTCCGGGCCTCTGGAGAGAGAGGACCCTACGCGGCCCCAGGGCGTCAGGCCAAGGGGCCCAGCACCAGGGGAGAAAGCTGAGTGGGCAGCAGGGCCCTGGTGCCAGCCTTGCCTTGGCCAGAGGCTGCACTGGCTGGTCACAACCCTCCCCAGTCATGCTCCCCCCGGCTCGGTGGCCCCAGATCCTCAAGCAGCCCAGGGCCTCCCAGGGAGCAGAGGTCAGAGTGGAGGGGGGACCCCAGATTGCCCAGGGCTCTGGGAAAAGTCCAGGTTCAGGATGAACACGGGACTCTGGACCTGGCATACCCTCCAGGCTGAGGAGGAGAAAGAGAAGAAGAAGAAGAAGAAGAAGAAAGGCAGCTCCGAAGAGCAGGAGGAGGAGGAGCCGGACGAGAGCATGCTGGACTGGTGGTCCAAGTACTTTGCCTCCATTGACACCATGAAGGAGGTGAGGCCACCGGCCTGGCTGGGCCAACAGGGAAGGCAACCCCAGCTCTACCTCAGCTCCACCTCAGCCCCTCCTCTCCAGCTTCTTGCCCCCCACACCAGAGCTGCCTCCTTGACTCCACGAGCGTGAGCTCGGAGCAGGCTTCTCCCACACAGGGCTCTAGTTCAGGGCTCACCATATCCTCTCGGTCCCGTGTTTCAGGGCAGGCAGGCGCAGGGCAGGCAGGCTGGGGGGCAGGGGGGCTGGCAGCAAGCTGGCGCCCAGCCCCAGCGAATCTTTACTCTTTCTCTGGGCTCGCTCTGGCGTTCTCTCGTGATCTCACCTCTTCTGTAGCCACTCGTCCTCCTGTAGCCATCCTTTCGCTGAGGGATTGACGCCCTTCTAGCCCGGCCTCTAGGCCCAGGTGCACACACTTACGCATGCTTGCACCCGCGCTCCAGGTGTCCACAATCAGGCACACTTGCCCACACCCACACTCCCAAGCGCCTTCCGCATCAACACCTTCAAGGCCGTAGGTGATGGCCACAGAGGCTAGTGGCGCAAAAAGCCTGATGAATTCCCGTACCCTACATCCAGTCTACCTGTCCTGACTTGGTTTTCTTTAGTCCGCTTTCACTCATTCCACAAACATCTCTTGAGTATGTGATGGGTCCTAGGCGTTATGGGAGCCAAAAGATTAGGCCATATCAGCCCTCAGTTTACTGGGCAAAATGGGCCTGTCAGCAGATACAGCACAAATCAATGCCTGCAGGAGCCAGGGAAGGCTTCCCAGGGGAGGTGACCTTTGAGGAAGAGGAGACCAGGTGCTTAGAGGCCAAAAGGGAACCATAACTTCTCAGTGGCATTTGTTTATCTTCAGACTGTTTTATTCCACACATCTTGGTCACTCGCTGTGAAATGTGCTTCCCTTAATGCATGCACGTGGGTTCTGCCTGCTGAGCCAGATTCCAAGTTCCAAAAAGTGTGTTTCTCCTCTTCTGTGTTTGTCTCTTCTCCACACTGCCTACCTACCTCAGGGCAGTCCCCGGCTGACCCAGTGACCAGGAGGGACATGTGACTGCCCTGGTGTTCCCTCAGGAGGACCCGAGCTGGTCCAGCCACTCTCTCTCCCCAAGCCCTTTCTGCAGCCCGTGCTGTGTTAATGTTTGCCACCCATACTAGTCAGAGCATGGGCCGACCCGCTGGAACAAGTTAGATTGGTGTGGAACAGGCAGAAGTTTCTTCCTCCCACAATGTCTCGGGGGTGGGGGTTAGGCTGGTAGAATGACTCTGTGGTGTCAGGGACTAAGGCATGTCCTCTTGTAACTGGTATCTGTGGTTGACAATGGCTGCCAACACTTCCTAATACCAGGGCATAAGAAGGGGTAGAAAAAAATAGAAAATGTAATCTTTAGCTAGGTGGTTCTGTGCCCAGGGAAAAAAACTTTCAAATTGCAGTAGAGCAGATAATCGGGGCTTCCTTAGTAGTATCTTCTACCTCATCACCTCTTGGGTTCAAGTTGGCCAGGCTGCAGCTCCAAGAGGCAGCTGCTTGTCTCACCTCTACTCCCGTCATTTGCACAGACTGCCGCCAGGTGGCCGAGGCACCATGGTTACTGCCAGGTGATTTACTTTTCAATAAGTGTAAGAAAATAAAGCACATTTTCTCAGTTATATTTTCTACATTAAAATAATAATAACCCTAAGAAACAGCATTAGAGGTCACTACTTTTAGATGATACACAATTTAAAGAATCATGAATTCCTGAGTATATAATCATGTTACACACCATATCCTTTTTTAAACCCACTTAAGCAAAATATGGCATGGATTTGAAACCCACTAAGAAAAGTGTTTCTGCTTCCAAGCATTTAAGACTGGTCTGAGATCACAGGGCAGGAGCAACCAACCCCTCCCCAGGAAGCCCACTTGCCCTCCTCACTCATCTTTTGACAGCAACTGCGACAGCAGGACGTCTCGGGATTTGACTTGGAAGAGAAGGAGGAGATAGACAGCACCGAGGGTGAGCCCGGGGCCCCTGGCTCTCTGCCTCCTCACACCCACCCCTGGATGGCCAGCTCCCCGCCTGCCAGAGGCTGCTGCTTCTCTTCCCCTCCCAGCGCCCCCCACAGCCTGGGCCAAAGGCAGATATCAGTCACCCCTGGGTGCCGGGGAGCAGGCTCAGACCCTTGTCTAGAGTGGCTTCTACCCTAACCAGTTCTGTAACCGCCGTGATGGACAGACATTGAGAGGCACAGAAGATGAGAGCATCCCATCCAGCATTTTCCAGTCTCTTCCATGGAACAGTATTAATGGGTATTCTGGAGGGGAAAGAGGCTTTGTATTCAAATGGGTTACATAGGACCTCTTAGTGCCTTTAATATGCAAAAAATATTCTAATTCTCTGAAAGGACCAGACAGCAGAACATATTTCCCCGTGTTATTTGACCACAGTATCCTTCCTCCAAAAGCATTCCAAGTATACCGACACCCGGTGTTCCACTGAATGCAGGTTGGAAACTGCTGAACAACCCTTTTAATCCAGAAGGTAGACTGAGTTAGACAGAGGCCAGAAAGGGCCAGAAAGAAAGTGAGCTGGTCCAGTGCTTTGCAGTTACAGGCCTCTGGGCCCCAGACCTATGCTCCTTCTGTGGCCGCTCTGCCGAAGGACACCTTGGTACACATTCCCAGCAGGCCCTGGCCAGTGCCCTGCACCTGTGTGAGGCCAACATCCAGACATCCACGTCACAGATGAGCAGATAAATCAGCAACAGAGCTGGGGCTCCACCCCAGCCTCCCTGCTGAGATCATTCCCTGCCCCAAACTGACTAGGGCCTCCTTTTCTGTTTCTGGCCAGGTTTGAAGGGGCTGGTGAAAGGCAAGGACAAGGCAAAGGCCACGAAGGAAGAGAAGAAGAAGAGAGTCCAGGGGCCCAGCCCCAGCCAGGCATCTGAGGCCCCCGAGAGGAAGAAAACCAAGATTGATGAGCTTAAGGTATGGGTTCGGGAAGAGACCCCAGTGGGAGCCTGGGGCCATGCCGAGGGTGACAGATGGGTCAAAATGGAGACCAGGAGACAGGCCTCATCCTTCTGATGGCCTGGCCTGGTTTAGGTGTACCCTAAGGAGCTGGAGTCAGAGTTCGACAACTTTGAGGACTGGCTGCACACTTTCAACCTTCTGCGGGGCAAGACAGGGGATGACGAGGACGGCTCCACGGAGGAGGAGCGCATCGTGGGCCGGTTCAAGGTCAGGCAAGGAGCTGGGCCCAGGCCCTAAGCCCCTGCACCCTGAGCCCTCAGCCAGCTCGTCTAGCCACTCCAATCCCGGGCACACAGTCAGGTGGAACCATCGGCTGTGCTGGTGAAATACTTCCTTGCTGGCTGATAAAGAGCTTCTGCTCTGCGTCCCTCCCAAGGCCCCTCCCCTGCCCCACCACCGCCAGCGCCACAGCTGGACCTTGACATCCAGCAGTAAAAGGCAGAGACCCAGCTGCAGCAGGGCGCACGCCCTTGGCGCCTTGGCTCTCCTAAGTGCCACCCGCCGGGGCCTCTGGGAACCTGCACCCTGACCCACGCTTGCCTCACCCACAGGGCTCCCTCTGTGTGTACAAAGTGCCACTCCCAGAAGACGTGTCCCGGGAAGCCGGTTATGACCCCACCTATGGCATGTTCCAGGGCATCCCCAGCAATGACCCCATCAACGTGCTGGTCCGCGTCTACGTGGTCCGGGTGAGCCTTCCCCCCGCCCCACCTCAGTCTCCCAGTGCTCTGCCCGGGAAGGGTTGAAGCAGTTGCAAACAGCCTCCAACTGAGAGGCCCAGGTTGGTCATCTGGTCTAGTTCCTATCTTTCAGAGAAAAGGAAGTTAGGGTCCAGGGAGGGAGCGTCAGCGACTTGCCCCAGGCCCCACAGCACGTCTCCCGATTCCAGTGCAGTGCTCCCAGGGCAGTGCTCCTGAACGACCCCATCACGGGACCCTCACAGAGTGGGCAGGGGCACTGAGTGATGGGGAGGGTGTGGGAAAGCGGCTCAGGAGCACCCCTCCCCCATCCCAGGCCACAGACCTGCACCCTGCAGACATCAATGGCAAAGCTGACCCCTACATTGCCATCCGGCTAGGCAAGACGGACATCCGCGACAAGGAGAACTATATCTCCAAGCAGCTCAACCCTGTCTTTGGGAAGTAAGAGCCCTGGTGCCCCTCCCCACCCCACCCCCACGTCCCTGCCTGGACCACCTCCCACCCCGCCTCAACCCTTCTCCTCACCCCGCCCTCTAGGTCCTTTGACATCGAGGCCTCCTTTCCCATGGAATCCATGCTCACGGTGGCCGTGTACGACTGGGACCTGGTGGGCACCGACGATCTCATCGGGGAAACCAAGATCGACCTGGAGAACCGCTTCTACAGCAAGCACCACGCCACCTGTGGCATCGCCCAGACCTACTCCATGTGCGTGGGCCGGGCGGGCAGGGCCCTGCCTCTCGCTCTAAAAACAAGATTCACAGCGTGTTGCCGGGGAAGGTGGACGTATTATGGCTTCTCTCGTAGGCCAGATGTCCCCTCCGCACACCGTGGGCATAGCCTAAGGGGCCAGGATTCCAAGACAGAGAGAGCCAGGGCCCAGAACAGAGGTGGCAGGCTGGAAGCAGAGGCGGCCCTGCACGCTAGGACAGCCATTAGGGTCCCCTCTGCCACCAACAGCCTGAGCCCTGTCACGCCCTTTACCTCTTTGATTGTCAGTTTCCTCGTGGGTGTCTCGAGTCCCCAGGCAGAGGCACGGTGCAGGGAGGAGGGGGCTACACCGCGAGGCTGGTGCTCATCGCTGGGGCCGTTGGCCTGTGAAGCCAGACCCCAGGGAGGATCAGTCTCCAGCAGCCCAGGATGGGGCCACTTGCCAGCTTAGGGCAAATACCAGCTTAAGAAAGCTGGCTGGAGCCGCAGCCTCACCCGAGCCCCACCACGCCCGTGTGCCTCCCCCACAGACACGGCTACAATATCTGGCGGGACCCCATGAAGCCCAGCCAGATCCTGACCCGCCTCTGCAAGGAGGGCAAAGTGGACGGCCCCCACTTTGGGCCCCCCGGGAGAGTGAAGGTGGCCAATCGGGTCTTTACTGGGCCCTCGGAGATCGAGGATGAGAATGGTAATGGGGAGCTGGGTGCAGACAGAGGGTATCAGAGTCTCTGGAAGGACCACACTTCCCTGGGCGGGATCTTTGGGCCTGGCCTGGGCCTCCTTAGACCCTCTGCTCTTCTCCCCAGTCTCTGCCCTCCCACCCCAGGCTCCACCGTGCCCAGCAGCTCCCTGCTTTCTCTCTCCCTGCCAATCTCCCTGCGGGTAGGGAGGGCTGCCTCATTTCCATAAGGGACATAACCAAGACCCAAAGGCTCTCATTGACTTCCCGAGGTCCTGGGCTCCTTAAGAGCAGAGTGAGGGAGTGGGCCCCCAGCCTGTCTAGCTCCAGCCCTAGGCTCTCCCCAATCCTGGCACTTCCCAGAGCGCCGGCAGGGTCTGGCTGGACACATGTGCTGGCCACGTTCAGACGCTGGGACCAGACTGGATTCTTCCCCCACCCCACCCCACCCCACCCGACCTCACAGCCCGGCAGGATTCTCTGGCCAAACTCCCCAGGCACCCAAGGACACAGATCCCTCCGGGCCCTCAGGACAAGCCACTTCTCACTCTGTGGCTCAGTTTGCCCAACAATAAAATGGAGGCAGGGTGGCGCGCTGCCCCGGCCCAGCACAGGGCTCTCACTCTGCGAGCCTGCGTGCAGCTGACCCCGCGCCCACAGGTCAGAGGAAGCCCACGGAGGAGCACGTGGCGCTGTGCGCCCTGAGGCACTGGGAGGACATCCCCCGGGTGGGCTGCCGCCTGGTGCCGGAACACGTGGAGACGCGGCCGCTGCTCAACCCTGACAAGCCGGGCATCGAGCAGGTGACGCTCGCCTGGCCGGGCGCTGAGGGCGTTTTCTGTTTCGCATCAGGGAGTCCCAACCTGGGCCCATAAGCAAATCCTCATGCCATCTGCTGCATCCCCCAAAGCCTGGCAGGCACTGCCCCGCATGGCCCTTCAGGGTGACCCCCAAATGCGCATGACCTTGCTCTGAACAAGAGTTAGTCAGCTGGGGTGGAGGCCTGGGCTGTCTCCCTCAGAAGCTGTGATTAGCTACTGGTGATGTCATAGGAATTCCTGGCATCCATGATTGAAAACTGATGAAATGGGTCCTTGACAGGACAAAGGTTGGGGGGAGAGGAGAGTTGGCCTTCCTGGGCACAGGGAGGAGTTCGTGGGGAGATCTGCCATCTCCCTCTTCCTCAGGGCCGCCTGGAGCTGTGGGTGGACATGTTCCCCATGGACATGCCGGCCCCGGGGACGCCTCTGGACATCTCCCCCCGGAAGCCCAAGAAGTGAGCTGTTTGGCCGACACCACTCCCTCCCCGCCCCTCCCCGCCTTCCCTGCTCCCCCATGGCCTAGATCACCTTGGTCAGTAGTGTCCCCAATGACCCCTGATGTGACCTAATAGGGCAAACAAATCAACCCATCAAGAGCGTTGTGGAGGCTGCCCTGGCAGTTCCCTTTGCTGTGACAGGGGTCACACCCCCAGATCCCCTACACCCCCACTCCCGTCCTGGGCAATTAATGAGGACAGTGAGCTCACCCATTGTCCTCCAGGGGACTTTCAGCTTCACAAGTGCATTCTTGCACACACACAACCACACCAACACACACACCCCCCACACACAGATACCCTGCCAGCCGGCTCTGCTCCCAGACAGTCCCCACTCCAGGCTGTCTTAGCTCTGCCAAGTTTGATCTCAAGCGCATGCCCCTGAGGTGTGCAGGAGTGAGGAGAGCGGAGGGGCTGCAGTGGGGAGGGCACTGGAGTTGCGGCCAAGCCCCCGCCTCTCCTAGCGGACCCTGACCAGGTCCCTTTGCCTCCCAGATCCTTCCTTTCCCATGTGTAAAGTGGCAGAAGCAAGTCATTATCAGTTCTGACACCCTCAGTACCTGGAATCAGGGCCAACAGCATGGGCATTGGAGTCACCCTGGCCCCACACTCAGAGATGAGCCCCAAGTTTATTTCTAACTGGTTTTTTTTTTTTTTAATTCTTTACAATTTTAAGCAAGGGTCTCTGCATTCCCGTTTTGCACTGGCTCTGCAAATTACGCAGCCGGTTCTGCCTGGAACAGCCTCCAGATGCCAGGCCTTGGGCATGCTGTTCCTGGGCCTGCTTCTCAGGGACACTCAAGTCTGGGCCCCCAGGGACTGAACACCACCCACAGCCACGTGCCCGTCAGTCTGTAGTGGATGACTCAACCGCACTTCCAAAGGTTGAAATGCAATGATCTCATTTACAATCTTTCCACGTGGAGAAAATCTTTGGGGCCAAGAACGTAAAGGCAGACCTCCCTGGTGGCCTGGGGTTAAGTCTCAGGGCTGTCAACACTATAGCCTGTGTATGATCCCCAACCAAGGAGCTACCCACTTGGCGCAGCAGACCTCTCCTGTCTCCCCGCTGCGCCCCTCAGCAGTGTATTTCAGTCAGTCTGCCTGTTCTGTTCCCCACTGTCTGGTGAATCCTCACCCCCTGCATCTCTGGCCTACACCCCACTTCTACACAGGAGAAAAAAAAAAAAGAATGTAAAGGCTACTGGATTCTATGGACGCCAGATTCCATGGGCATCCACGGGGGGCCGCTCCCGGCTCAACTATAAACTTCTGTTAGAATCAGAGCAGAGCTTCTGGCCTTGAGAGGGGAACTTATTATGACTTGGGGTCTGGTTTTAGCCAGCTGCACCCCTGCCTGCCCGAGTCAGCCTCCCTGCCCAGGAGTGCACTCTGGGGCCCAGCGCTTCCACCAGGCTCTCCTCACAACCGTCATGTTCACCGACCCCGCCCCCTCCGCCCACCCAGGGACCCCACTTTTCCATATCAGCTTCTCCCTGCCTCTGCACACTCAGCCCCAGTCCGGCCCAAGCCCCAGGCTCACCCCACGTCCAGACTTCTCTTGGTCGTCTCCTCTCCAGCCCCTGCCCCCTCCTAGCCCAAGATGCCGGGATCCCCACCACCGCCAGGCGGCTCCCCAGCCCTCTCCCCGGCACAGGTACGAGCTGCGGGTCATCGTGTGGAACACGGATGAGGTGGTGCTGGAGGACGACGACTTCTTCACGGGGGAGAAGTCCAGTGACATTTTTGTGCGGGGGTGTGTGAGCGGGTCCCTGGCTGGGAGGAGGCTGGTTGGGTGGGCCCAGCTTCCCGGGAGGCAGGGAAGGAAGGGGGAGCAGGGGTCAGGTGCGGTGCCCCTGCTGGCCCCGGTCTGGAGCAGGTGGCGCCCCGCAGGTGGCTGAAGGGCCAGCAGGAGGACAAGCAGGACACGGATGTCCACTACCACTCCCTGACCGGCGAGGGCAACTTCAACTGGCGCTACCTGTTCCCCTTCGATTACCTGGCTGCCGAGGAGAAGATCGTCATCTCCAAGAAGGAGTCCATGTTCTCCTGGGACGAGACCGAATACAAGATCCCCGCGCGGCTCACCCTGCAGATCTGGGACGCCGATCACTTCTCCGCCGACGACTTCCTGGGTGTGGGCCTGGGGACGGGGGCACGGGAGGGTGCAGCTCAGCGAAAGGTGGGGGGTCAGTCCTACCCGATGATCCGCAGAGCTGACTCTGAGGTTGCCACAGGGGCCATCGAGCTGGACCTGAACCGGTTCCCGCGAGGCGCAAAGACGGCCAAGCAGTGCACCATGGAGATGGCCACGGGGGAGGTGGACGTGCCCCTGGTGTCCATCTTCAAGCAGAAGCGCGTCAAAGGCTGGTGGCCCCTCCTGGCCCGCAATGAGAATGATGAGTTTGAGCTCACGGTGGGCATCGCCCCTGCGCGGGCAGAGCGAGGGCTGGGTCAGGCTGGGGTGCCGGGGGCCCCGCACCAGCAGGGCACAGGACCACTCTGTTCCTCGTTGCAGGGCAAGGTGGAGGCTGAGTTGCATCTACTAACAGCAGAGGAGGCAGAGAAGAATCCAGTGGGCCTGGCCCGCAATGAGCCTGACCCCCTGGAGAAACCCAAGTGAGTGCCCTGCCCACTGCTCCCACCCCTGCCAGGCTGGCCCCTGGGGCACTGGCACGGGAAGGAGAGACCAGAACCAGCTGATCTTGTCTCCACTCTGTCCCTTCCTGGGGCACAGCCTCACTGTAGGGGAGCACCCTCCTTGCTCAGCTTCCCCCCAGAACCCACCACCTCCCTGGAAAGCAGAGCCCTAGGCTCTCAGGACTGATATGGGGCACCTCACCCTGGGAAGCCCCATTTAGCAGAATTCAATCCTCTTCCTGGGTTTTGCCAAAGGCAGTAGCTGCAGTGGTGGCTTTGCAGCCCCGAGGGCTGGGGCCTGCACTCACTCAGCCCAGGGCCACCCCTCCTGGCCACACCCAGCCCTCATCCCATGTATCCTTTCTCCGTGTTCCCTCTGCTCCTCTCACTGCTCCAGTCGGCCTGACACCAGCTTCATCTGGTTCTTGAACCCTCTCAAGTCGGCACGCTACTTCTTGTGGCACACCTACCGCTGGCTGCTCCTCAAACTGCTGCTGCTCGCACTGCTGCTCCTGCTCCTCGCCCTTTTCCTCTACTCTGTGCCCGGCTACCTGGTCAAGAAGATCCTGGGGGCCTGAGCCCCAGAGAGTCCTGGGTCTGGTACTCCGCCCTTCTCCCCCTGGACCTCGGGCTCTAGGGCTGGGCAGCACGCAGATCACACATGTGCACACACACATGCATGTGCACACACACATGCACACACACAAGCATGCACACACACAAGCATGCACACACACACAGCTACTTTCAAGCTTTCCCACAATATTTGTATTTCCCACAGTATTAGGCCAGGGAGGTGAAGTAATTTATCCAAGTTCCCACAGCTAATTAGAACTGGGACTCATACCCCATCATGCAAGTGAGGAAACTGAGGCTCAAAAAAGAGGTACCTGACTTGCCTCTCACAGCCGGATCAGAAGCCCAGCACCCTGTGACTCCACTACCCCTTTGCAGCCCCACAGCTGGAAGGGCAGGTGTTTGAAAAAGCATATTGCAGAACTTTAATTTATATCTTGGCATTTTATAAAACCACTGCTTTGTCAAAGAAATGGGAGATAGAGCGGACAAGCGCTTCTCAGTGGGGGCTAGGGTGGTGGGCCACCCTGACGGTGGGCAGGCCTGGCAGGAACAGGGTTTGCTCCGAGGAGAGGGAAAGAGGCTGACCCCTCTGAGCATGAACTCGGGGCGACACTGGGCTGCTACAGTGAATAGCTAAATAGAGGTGCTGCCTCATGATCCAACTGCCAGGGGCAGGGGCTGCCTCTTCCAGCAGGGACCTGCCCTCCACGTGCCCAGGCAGCAGCAGGGGGCTGTCTGAATGCCAGAAAGGCTGTCCCAGTCTTGGGATGAGATCTGAGTGCAAGCAAGTCCGGCAGAGATGACAGGCAATGGAAGCCGGCCTTACTTTTGGGATTGGAGACATGACAGGGCCTCTTGGGGTATAGAAGGGCTGAGGGAACAGGGTGCCCTGGGAGATGCCACCACCTAACTCCACTCCCCCACCCCCAGCCGACCCGACACCGCCTTCGTCTGGTTCCTCAACCCCCTCAAGTCCATCAAGTACCTCATCTGCACCCGGTACAAGTGGCTCATCATCAAGATCGTGCTGGCCTTGCTGGGGCTGCTCATGCTGGCCCTCTTCCTGTACAGCCTCCCTGGCTACATGGTCAAGAAGCTCATAGGGGCGTGAGGGCCCCACGGCCCCTGCCACTCCTCTCCCAGGCCTGCGTGTTCACCCCTCCTTCGGCGTGGACTTTCTCATCTCCCTGGGGAGTCTGAAGAGCCTTAGGTCCACCCTTCTGGCCTCTGGCCCCAAGAGCCTGCCCCCTGCTTGCTGGACTACGGACTCCCCACTGCCCAACCTTCCCGGCCCAGCCCCCTGCGGGCCTGGCCCCACTCCATGGGCCCTGCCTGAGCGTGGGAAGTGTGGGAAGGGGTGAGGGGTCTGCCCCACCTTGCTGAGGCACCTTCTTCAGACCCTGGCTCCAGAGGAAGGTGCCCCAAACCCTCCCCCAGGCCCACCAGTCCAGGTTAAAGGCCCTAATGAAATGAACCAAGACTGGTGTTATAGGTCAGTGCCCAGAGCTTTAAAAAGAACAAGTAAGCGAAAGTGTCGCCCTCCCCTCCCAGAAGGGGCCTGCGAGGAGAGCCACCACCACCAGCATCTGCTCTGCAGAGGCGGGCCATCCCCCACCCCTCGTCCCTGTCCCAGAGCTCCCTCTGTCCAGGCGGTGCCTGCAGGCCCAGAGGGCAGAGGGTGAGCCCCGGGCAGCACAGCAGGAGTCTGCACAGGGGAACCGTCCCACCTGTGCGAGCTCCTTTCTCTTGGCTGTTTTCCATTCTTGAGTGGTTATTTTTCTCTTAATAAAAGAAATCAGAGACTGAAGCTGACAAGCCTGCTTGGTCAAGGAAGGGGGGAACTACTGTGGGACGCAGGGTCAGAGGACACTCTGAGGTTGGCAAGCCCCCTGGGGCCCTTTGTGTGGTCTCATGGCGCAGGGGTCAAGAGGGACCTAAGGCACAGGGCCACCTGCCCTGACTCCAGGAAAAGTCTCACACCACAGACCAGGGGGCGCACTGGGATGGATGGGCCTGGGGTCCTAAAAGTTCACCTAACAGATTCTTCAAACCCAAGGACAGTCTGAAGGCTTAAAATGGCACAAGAGCCCCAAAATTCCAGCCTCTATCCATAGAAACCAAAACAAGAAGAGAGCCCACGCCACCGGCCGTGGCCTTGACAGATGGGGATGCACCTGTTCTCACACCACATCCGAGGCCGGACAAAGCCCCCTCACCACATGGGAGGGGCAGGGCCCATGGCATGGGAGCCGACATCCCACAGAGACTCGGCCACAACTTTTTAAAAATTTTAATTATGACTGAGGGGTACAGGGAACGCCTGTCACCTTATTTTGACAGGCCCTGTAAGAGCAGCTCTGAGACGCAGAGGGCGGCCAGGCAGCCCCGCTGATATGTGCCAGCCCTGGCATCAACACCCGTGTCGGCCCTCAAACAGCAGCCTTTTGAGGTCTGGCTCTATTTTGTGGGTACCCGCAACACCTGAGTTGGAGGAACTTGCAGTTCAGAGTTTATCTGGAAAAGAAAGAGCAAAAGGCTCATTACGCTTCCCCAGGGCCTCGGGCTCAGGTGCACATGATGGTTTTCCCACAGGCCTCCAAATCTCCAAAACACGCCCTCCCCAAATGCTTTCAGGTGCCTGGGAAAGCCCATCACCCCCTTCCTTCAGAACAGACGCCCTGGGGCTTCTCTTGGGCTCCTGCTCCAGCCTCTGGAAGCATCCGAAGCCCACACCCTGACACACTCCCACATCGTCCCTCCTCTCCGCTTGGCCCCTGATGCGCCCTCCTCCCCCCTCCTCTTGTACACAGCAGCACCAGCGGGAGCATGGACCACATGGCCCCCAAATGCCCACGCCCCGTCCCAGGCCATCCTGACTCCCAGGCTCACATGTCCCCTGTTCAGGCGTGGCCTGGGGCCCAAGACGTCAGTGCCCGGGCTTGTGGCTGGTGGGGTGCCTCTCCCATACACCCTGGTGATGGAGGCCCTATGCTCAGCCCCGCATGTCCTGACCCTCTGTCCACGGCCTCAACATGGGGTGCGGGAGTCCCCCTGGCGGAGCAGAGCCAGCACCCATGTTCCCTCTGGCGCAGAGACTTGTGCTTTCTCCTCTCGCCAGGCCTTGGGGATGCCACCCTGAGTACACCCCAGGGAGGCCCCTGGCCACCTCACAGGCCAGACCACCTGGGCCGGCAGAGTAGGAAGAGCAGGGCTTTGGGCAAATCCCAGTCTCTGCGTGCAGGGACTCCTCTAGGTGAAGAGGGAGAATGGCTTCTGCCGGCTGCCTCACCGAGCAGCTCTCAGGACCAAGGCGAGACTCGCATGAAGAGCTGCGAGAGCTGCCGAGCTGCTGCCGGCCATGGCACAGCTTCTGCTTGGCCACCACCCCTGCAGACCGTGGGAACCAACAACCTGACCACGGCCCAAGGTCCTGAGGGTCTTCGAGAGAGGCCCACCCACTCGCCCAGTGACTGCCTCGACTCGGGGTACAACTTTGGGTTTTCTGCTGTCATCTCTGGGAGCTCCCCTGCGTCTGGCAAGGGCTGCCTCATTTCCTAATGCCGGCTACAGGGCCACCTCCTCCCCGGCCCCTGGCCTCCTCAGAGGGGCCCATCACCCACCTTGGACTCCAGGTACTGTTGCAGCAGCATCTGGAGCTCCGTGTTCTGCTGCTCCAGAGAACTGTTCTCCATCAGCAGGTTGGCCCTCTGGGTCAGGACTTGGCTGTGGGCCGAGAGGCAGTTAGCGGCACTGAGTCCTCCAAATTCTACCAAAGAGGGGCTGGGAAGTCTGTGTCTCTGGCCCTGAACAGCCTCACCCTGCCTGCCCTGAACGAGCCAGGCTGGCAGGAATAGAACAGGGAGGGTAGGCCAGGGGCCGCCAGCCCATAGTACTTCCCGGCGGGAGCTGCCAAAGCTTCTCCAAAGAGCTCGTGGCTGTATGGCCGCTCCAAGCGGAGGCTGTCCCCACCAGCACGCCCGGCTGCTCCTGCCACCCAGGATGCACACACTCACTGGTACTTCTCCAAGGCGGTGTACAGCGCGTCCCAGAGGTTCAGCGTGGACTGAGGGATGACCGTGGCCAGGGCCTCCCAGTACTCCGAGTCCTTCGACTTATCCCGCTCGTCCTTCCAAAACCTCACCAGCATCTGCCTGACCCTGCCGGTCAAGGACACTCAGACCATCCTCTCCACCGGGCACCACCCAGGCCTCCGGGCAGTGGGGGCCGCAGCGCCTGGCCCGCACAGACAGGCTGTCTGCTTTCCACCTGACGCCCCCACTCCGCCATACAGGCGGGTCAGTTTATGGCGGGTCCTCAGGAAGCACAGGGGCTTATCTCCCAAGTCCCCAACTTGTCACCTTTGTGAGAGCATCACCGGCATTTCCGTCACCCCCTTTCTCACAGTCAGTTACGTCTCATTGCGACGCCCTTTTCTGTCTCTAGCACAAGCAAAACAGCTCTCACAGCAGCTACACCCATGTCTCCCCGCCTCCTCCTGGGCAAACCACGACTCTCTCCTTGTATCCCCCATGACGTCCCCCTGTCACCAGCAGGACCTCCCTAAAATGCAAGTCTCCTCACGGCTCCCCCATTGCTGATGATCCTTCTCCGACTCTGGACAAAAGACGAGCATCGTGGGCACATGGGCAGGACTGGCCGAGACCGGGCCTGGCTGTCCTTCCCAGACCTGGACGCTGCAGCCACCCCTCTGTCACGATTCTTTCCCCGTATCCTTACGACCTGAAATGCTCCTTCCCCATGATCCACCCAGGAAAACCCACGTCTGGGGTCATTTCCTCCTGAAGCCTCCTGAGATGCCAGGTGGAGCTGATGCCCCCTCCTCGGAGCACCTTACAGATGCTGTGACCACTGTTCTGACCGCAAAGCGTTTCCCCACAGGAAAGACACAGAGCCCTCTCGGATAAATATCTGCCGAGTGAATGAATAAGTGAATGACGAATGGAAAATGCAAATCAGGCCTGCACTGCATTTCCTTCGGCACAATGTCCCGTGATGCTCTAGTCCTCCCTTGGGTGCGCCTTTCCTCACTGCCCCAGGTCCTGCTCAGCACCTCTTCTCCACTCCCCAGCACCTGCTCAGCTCCCATCCCATCAGGTCCCCCATTCCTAGGCCAGCCCCCCAGCACCACAGCCCACCTGGGCTTCCTCAGACCCATGACAAAGGCCTCCAGGATCCTGAGGACATCGTTGGGGTGGATGAGCCAGGGAGAAGGGGGCGCCTCCTGCTCTCCCGGCTCCACTCCCACGTGGCTTTCTCCCTCCTCCTCTTCCTCCTCTGCCTCCTGCCCTTCCCCCTCCTGCGCCTGCTCCTGCTCCTCCTCCTCTCTCTTGAGGTCGGTCTGCTCTGGTGGCTCCACTGCTGATATCAGGCTTCCTTGTTCCTGGCGGGACAAGAGGCTCAGCTTGGTTGGAGAGAGGACCTGGGTAACTACAGCGCAGGGGTAACTCAAGCATAAGTGTACGAAGACAGTCGGGAAGAGGAAAATATTTCTACCAAAGTGATCTTGTCATCTTATCTTAAGTTTGCTTATAGGGATTTCCACTTATAGGAATTTTTTAATGTAATCAAATCTATCTTTCTTTCCCCTTTATGGCTCTTTTTAGAAGCATATCAGGATACTCACCACTCTGGAATTAGTAATATTAAAAACATTTTTTTAATTAAAAAATTTTTTAAACTAAATTTTTATAACATTTTTAACATGATGATATCTTGAGAACAGCCCATTACCATCGAGACGTATTATACACAGGCCCCGCTTTGCAGGAAGGGGTGATAGATCAAAATATTTAAAAATCAGCAGGCCTGGATCCCATAGCGGTGAGACCTGGATTTGAGGAAAGAACCCCGTGGGCCTCAGCATGAGAACAGCTACCCATCCCGGGCTGCTCTTCCCTTCACCGGCTAAAACCCAATAGCAGTAACAAGGGAAATGCTAAGTTAGTGATCTCTGGCATAAAACCCTCACTATTTATCCAGAAATATTATTCAAAGACAGCAACACCCTCTGGGAGGGAATTCAAAATGCTCTTTTGACTGCATTTACCTTACCTGGGTGGACAGTGAGTGATGGACTCGGTATTTGAGAAAGAATTTCACCAGCTTATACAAGTCATCCTCACTTTCAATTCCAAGGGCCTGGGGGAGAACCAGAAAGATTGTTCAAATCTCCCACGAAGGCGTCCACCGGCTCAGGGAGGCCTGGCTGGACCCTCTCAACGCCCCCGCCGCTGCCCGGCCCAGAACAGACCCTTCAACACTGGGAAAAGCCGGCAAGTAAGGACCCCTGCCTGCAGGCCTGATGGGTGTGAGAATGCTAGAGGGGGCTGGACACACATCCGAGCTTAGGGTTTGGCGGGAACCTATCATCCGAGAGCGGGGCCAGGAGAGAGAGACTAGTAGAAAGGTGACTCTTTAACACTGAGTGAATAACGGAGGGACCTGCGCCCAGGGAAGCTGCAGGAAGCCCACATCTACTCCCGGGGCCGAGGCAATGTTGCAGAAACACGGGCGGCTGGCTTAGGACGCGCATGCCCTCCCTCCCCGGCCCGTCCACTCCGCCCGGTGAGACTCACGGAGAAAATGGCATCCAGCCGCAGCAGATAGCTCTCGCTCTGCTCCAGGGGGCGGAGAAGGCTCAGCAGCTTGCTCTCTATGAGGAAACCCTGAGGACAGGAAGACGGAGACAGGGAGGAGTCCTTGGTCTGCAGCCGTGCTCTGTGTGCCCAGCCAGGATGGCCAAGGAGCAGAAGCCCCCAGATAAGATGTAGAGCCACAGGGCCCGAGGGAGGCCTCTCGGGGTGCCTAAGAGCCATTCCCAGGGATGAAGGCAACGCTCATCGTGCTGTAATTCCCCCACCCCCGAAGGGTGCTGACCCACCGCACCTGGAAGCCAGTGGGCAAACACCTGAGTTCCCCACTGAGGTCCAGACCTAGCCCAGACACGGGCTCCTGCGCACCCAGTGCCCCTTCACTCAGGTGCTGGCCCTTAAACTCTACAGAACACAGCAGCAGGCACTGGGCCGGAGGAAAGGGAGGCATGAAGTGAGAACAGGGTGCACAGGATGTCGGGGTGGAGGAGCTGGGTGGCCACTCAGGGGAAGTGCCTGAGGGAAGGCTAGAGCACACCTGTGAGGGGAGCCGCCCAGCTATCTCTCTCAGCAAGAGCTGCCCTCAGGGGAAGCAGCCACCCCTCCCACAAGGGGAGTGCACTGAGGTGCAACATCTCTGTGAGCTGTCCCACCCCAGGGAGAGGGTCAGAGGGGTCCTGTCCCAGCTCTGCCCTGAGGGTGGCCCATTCCTGCCCAGTGGGGCTGGCCTGTCCTCGTGACCATCAGGCAGCAAGGGTAGGGAGCCTCGAAGCTGCCACCAGGAGCCCCTGCCGCAGCCCCGGCGGGCCTCACCGACTCGTCACACAGGAGCATCAGTAGCTTTCTGGTGGTTTTCTCTGAAACTTGCTTTGGCAGGTCCAGGTAAGACTCTGCTTCTGAGACACCCTCTTCTGTCCCCTCCTCTTCTGCAGATGGGTCAGGGAGAGAAGCAAGAGAGGGAAAGAAAAAGAAGATAATTCCTGGGCCTTGTTTACTTTGAGAAAGAGCCAAACGACTTTCCCTGGGAAATCAGACCTCTGAAAAGGCCCCTGGAAGTCTCTGTATGTGGGACAAAGCCTCCTATGAGGTGGGAAAGAAAGGTTAGGGTCAGAATAAGAAACCACCTGGAGAATTCCACCATTTTCAGCCAGTCTTATCGCCTGACTTTTCCCAATTTCACCTACCTGGAAACATCACCCAAAGTCCAGCCGTGACCAGAAAGTGGGAGGAAGTTGGACTCTCGTTATTCTCGTCTTAGGGCTAAATCTAGCACTATGGCTGTGTGGCTTCTAAACCTGCTGCCAACCAAAGGGTGGAAAGTCAATGAAAAGCTGCTCGCAGGAGGCCATCACCAACAAGAACTGGCAGCGGACAGCCAGAGCCAAGAGTTTTCTCCTAAATTTTAAAGATGTTTACACTACAGTCCTCATCTGCCAGTAGGAATAAAAACCATTTCTCTACCAACGTTTCACTGGCTCTTCAAAAGCTAAGACGAGAGAATATCGAAAAAGATATTGGAAGGTATAAGATACCAAATTGCCAAGTGGGACTGCAAAATGGTGTCATCTCCACAGAGCTGTGTCCAGCAAAACTGCAGACACGTTCGCTCTTCCAGCCGAGGCCTACTTCTCAGGATCTGTGCCAACAACTCACTAGCAAACAGGACCTAAATGCGGTGACCGAACCACACAGAAACTATTCCAAGTGGCTAAAAGATGCTAACTTTTCTGTACCTCCATCATGGGGCAGGTATGAAGTAAAAAAAGAACTGCAAAAAATGCTCAAGCTATTTATAATCACTTGTCAGTGGTAGGGCTGAGATGTCTTTGGTGGGAAAAACATATGAGTAATACTTGTGGAGTCAGTGAGAGGAACAGATTTCCAACTTGGAGAAAAAAAGAAACATTTTGATAGGAGGTGAGGTGGAAACCCTGGCACCTGTTGATTAGGAATTATTAGGATGAACTCCTGATTTATTTTATCTTTAAGACATAATCCACCCTAGACTTGTCTTCTGAGTGGCGAAGCGATGAGCGCCCAACACCCAGGCTACGGATTCAAAACACCGTCCCCATGGTAGGGGTCAGGGCTCTGGGGAGAAATGGCTGTTTCCAGACTTGAAGCAGAAAAAGCTTAATGTGAGACTAGGCTATCTGGTCATTTTGGAAATCCAGGAAGCTATAAAAGACACCTGGGGTGTGTCACAGGAGCCCAGAAGCCAACACAAGGGGACATGACCAAAGACGGAATATGAGCACCGGCAAAGATAATGGCAATTAGCCAAACACACCAAGTCTGTTTCAGTGTTTAAAAAACATCATCAGGGCCTCCCTGGTGGCGCAAGGGGTTAAGACGCAACCTATGAAGCTGTCCGCAGCCACTGAAGCAGGAGTTCGATCCCCAGCCAGGGAACTACCCACATGGCGCAGCAGACCTCTCCTGATTTGCCCGCTGCTCCCCTCAGCAGTGTATTTCAGTCAATCCACCTGTTCTGTTCTCCACTCTGTCTCTGATGAATCCGCTCACCCCCCACACCTCTGGCCTGTACCCCAGTTCTTGTATGCATAAATAAATAAATCTTAAAAAAAAATATATCATCAGTCACCTCTGGAAAAATACTAGACACCCAAACCGCCTACTCTGAAAAGCGGTAAGTAGAAAAAGATAAGCCCTGTTTTTCCCTCTAAAACCGTATCTCAGGGTGACAAATAGCTGATGAAGGGAAGGTTCTCACTTCAGAAGTGTGAAAAGAATAATAAATAAATGAAGACACAATGACGGAGTTTAGAATACCGCCATTTTGCAATCACTAATGCAAGTACTGGATCTTAGATTACGATTACCAGAGGCTGCAAAATCCAACTGAACATGAATCTGATCGAGCTTCTAGATCTAACTCTCAGTTTACAACAGTTTGAGAGGCAAAGCTGTAAGGAGGAGGCTTAGAAGCCAGGTCAACCAGCTGTGCTCTCCGGCCCTCCTACCCCTGCTGAGCTTCAGTTTCCTTATCTGTAAAGTGAAGGGGGCATCCAGGTGACCTCAGAGGGCCCTGCCAGCTCTCAGGCTCCGGGACCCTAGTCTAGTCACCTGTTTGCATCAGCACTTCCTCTAGTATCTGTGTGGCCGTCTTCTGCTGCTGCTGAGAGATGGGCCCCACATTGTTCAGGAACCAGAAATCAGGGGCTGTCCAGGGGAGCCCCAGGTGCTGGACATGGATGATCCTGTCGACATCAAAGGCTGTCTGGATCAAGCCCTTGGCCTCCTCCTCATTCATCAGCCAGATTTCCCGAAACCGCTTGTCATCAACAAGAGCAAAATGCCTGTGAAACGGAGTTAGGGAGCATGATCAACTGACCCCAGGGCCCGGCCAGGGTAAGAATCGAGGCAGAGCCATGGTAAATCCTGGTCCAATCTCTGGGTCACTGACCCTTGCCTAGGAGAGACCAGAAACTGTCCCCACAAGTCTCAAGACAAGGCAGGTGACATGCAAATAAAGGGACAAGGATGACAACACAAGGGGTTCTCTAGTGCCCTGGTCTAGTCCCCCAAAGGTGGGTGACATCAAAATCTAAAGATGACACGGCTGCTCCCAACTCCACCCACAACCTCTAGTCAAGGGCATGTGCCTCGGGGACCCGCGCCCCTAAATACCTCATGGCTCTCTGGAGCTCCTTGAACTGCATCACAAGGCGTTTATAGTCTGAGGTTAGTGACCAGTTTTCCTCCTGAAACATCTTTACCTGCTTGGCGTATTTTAATCTCAAATTGTTGAGTATATCGTGCAGGCTGGGGTGAAGAAGAAGAAAACGTTGGTCTGATGCTAAAGGTGTGATGTATGCTCCTCGCATCTACTTCACTCCTCTACGACCCAGGATGAGCAGGTGGAAGGACAGAAAGTCGCCACATGTATCAAACAGCTCCAGGTGCCATCCAGGAAAGAGGCGGGTCGGTGGTCACGGGGTGTCCAGAATGCAACACATTTAAAATGGCCCAGGCGCACAACCCACCGAAGAGGTAGGCTCCTGCTCAAGAGAGTGTGGCTGAATCTTCCTCAGCGCCCCGCATGTCAGTGCCCATCTCCAGGGTTAAATAGTCCCCAATTTAAATCACCCACCTCAACTTTCAAAACAAGGCAGAGAGAGAGGGGAAAATGAAAACTGCATACCACAAGCCTATAATACATGGGTCCTCCATTCTCAAAGAGCTGATACTCTCAGCAGATCCAATAATTCATACATTCGGTCACTCATTAACTCACCAAACACAAAAAGTCTCTCTTGCACCAAAAATACATTTGAATACAAAGACAAACACAAGGATGTGCTTGAATACAAGGCATTCATCATCTAGTCAGATTAGTACAGGATGAAAAGTGGAAATATTCCAGCACAGTGTAAAAAACAAACAGATGTTTACACAGAGCACCAGGGGCATGTGCTTACCCTGCTTTCAGGGGAGGGGATTGGGCAGTTTCTGGCCCAGTGAGAGCCAGTTATCACCTGGCTGACTGCACTATGGCTCAGACATGCCACAGCTCCTGTTTCACTGGCAAGGGGAGCTCTGTGCTTGGAAACATCTATGAAATAAATTAGCAGGCACAGGGTTTAAGACCTGGACCATACTTCAGACTTTAAACTGCTGAAGAGATGTCTTATGTCAGGATCCTATTTACATAGAAATAGAGAGGTATTTTAAGTTTAAAATTTCTAAAAACAAACAAAAAAAATTTCCCTCTTAAGCATTATTCTGAAAGTCAAAAGGACCCTAAAACACACTCATCATTCATACTTTTATCCTCAATAACATGCAAAAATTATTTAACAAAGGTAGACTCAGCAAGAAGTCCTGATGGAGTTAAAGATGAAGAGGAGAGGGTGGAGGAGTGGAAACCTAGGCAGGGAGGCCAGGCTGGTTTCAGAAACAGTATGCAGGACATGATGGTGACAGTTTTACAGGTTCATTGTTTTACTCTGAAGTTTTTGATCTATTTGAACTTTACTTGAGCGTACATATAGTTCAAGGTATGTCACTGGCATAAAGAATCAAGAGTTGGTTGTATTTTTAGAGAGTAACATGGGAAAAGTAATCCTGTAAGATATTAAAGCATATTATAGTGACCAAATTATTAAAACAGTGTGGTATTGGCCCCTGAAATGACAAATGGAACAGAAAAGACCTAAATACAGAGAAAAATTAAGTAATAAGATTGTCATCTCTTATCAGTAAGGAGTAATACTGGGGTAATCATTTAGCCATCTGGGGAAAATTAAAGAGTTAGAGTCATACCTTGAACTATATGTGCACACTCAGATAAATTTCAAATAGATCAAAAGTTTAAGTGCCAAAAAACAAAACTATAAATGTATCTCTGGAAAACAAGGTAGAAGTCCTTTGTAAACTGAGTCAAGACCCAGAAGCCATAAAGGAGAACAGTGACAAATTCAACAACATTTAAATTTAAAACATCTGCAAAAATCCACAAGCAAGGTCAAACAGAAAACCAATTTAAGATATTCGCAATTTCTATAATAAAAGGCTAATATTTTCTAATATATAAGGAATACCTAAAAACTGATGAGAAAAAGACCAACAACCCCAATAGAAAAGGTATATTCTTATATAATATACAATATACAATTTCTATACAAGAAAATACCAAATCTTTCACACATGTATAAGACTATGCTTATTTCTTACACAAGAGAAACACAAAACAAAAATACATTAGACACTATTTCTCACTTATACTGACACAAATCCATAGCTGTAGGGAATTAGGTACTTGTGTATGTTGCTGATGCTCAGATCAACACGATCCTTAAGGAGAGCAATCTGGCCATAACTACCAAAGTGACACGTGCACATGTTACTTAATTCGTAGCTAATCCAAATGTTACTAACAATGGATCAACCAGATAAATATAATGCACGTTCTATTGCAAAGTAATATAAAGTACACACCCTGGTCTATGATATTTTCTGGCCAAGAATGTGTCAACTGAATCCATAAATCTGTAGTTACAATTTACAATTTATAGGAAATAGAGAGCCAGAGAAACAAGTAAATATAAACAATTCCTCTTTCAGCATAGAAGGGCCAAAAGGAAGATGTCCGCTCACGTACCGATTGAGCTTTCTCTTCTGCTGGGATCTAATCACTGTACTTTCTTCATCTCTCTTCTTCAGCACCTGAAAGTTGTACTCTAACTTCTCTTGGTTTAGCTGATAAGTTGCTTTCATCTGCTGAAGCTGTTGCTCAAGAATCTGAAGTTTAAAAATATAATATTTATGCTCTTCCCTCCCCTGTTTTAACCCTTCTCCCCCACCCCTACCCCTTGCTGTAAGCCTCAGATCTATGCTTTGCCTGCGAGTTTTGTCTTTTTCCTAATCCCTTTTTTGGTTTCCCTGTATTTCCCCTATAAATGAAATCATCCAATATTTTTCTTTTCCTTCCAACTTATTTCACTTGGCATAATCCCGTCCAGTTTCATCCATGTTGCCACAAATGGCATGAGTTTATCTCTTGTTGATCGCTGAGTAATATTCCACCGTGTATATACACCACATCTTCTTGATCCATGTGTCCGTTTGGGGCATTTATGTTGTTTCCATATCTTAGCTATTACAAATAGTGCTACAATAAGCACAAAAGTGCAGGTTTCCCTTCAAGTTAGTGTTTCTGTGACCTTTGGGTATATTCCCAGGAATAGAATTGCTGGATCATATGGTGATGGTCACAGGTGCCTCAGAAGTGGGGGAATTATGGGTACTACACATGAGAAATCAAATATTGTACAAAGATGAACAACAATAAAATTTTTTTTAACTTTTTAATTAAAAAATAAAAATATAATACTAACTGACCATGCTTTGTGGTGCCTCAGGGTCCCTGGCAGTTCTCTCTGGAGACACATCAGAGGAACAAGTGCCTTCCCCTCAATTCTTAGAAAATCATTAGAGGCAAATTAGAAAAAACAGAAGCCATTCAGTGGCAAGCTGAGGCCTGCGGACTCGGGAGGGAGGACAGAGTTGGAGCACTCAAGCCCAGCACCCCCTGGCACTCTGCTCCAGACCTTTGGAGGTAGAAGTAAACCCCACTGACACACCGTGAGCGTTAATGTCACCATGGAGACTTGCAACATCCCACACTTGCCTGTCAGTCGGTGGTGCTAGAGTTTAGCAAGCTGTATTCATTTTACAGCACAGACACGCCATCCTTACTTTCTGAATTTCGACTAGCTGGATTCATTCATTTAGCAGTTATTTACTGAGTGCAAAAGGCATAGCCTTGCCCTGACTAGGAGAGGGACAGATGGCCAAGTATCAGGGGATAAGGATGGGAAGGCACGGGGTGGGGGGGTGTGTGTGCATGGGGTCCTTGAAGAGAGCAGTTCCTGTGACTTGAGGGCCAGAGCAGCATCCCCAAAAAGAGGGCATCGGTATATCTATCTGAGAGCCTGACAATCAGATGGTGTTACTCAGGGGTGGGGAGTGAGCACCAGGAGAGGCAAGAGGAGTGAGGAGCTTGGGGAAAGCAATTCAAGGTGTGAGGTGTGAGGCAGGGAGTGGTCGGGGTTCAGGTTGACAGAGCAGTAGGGCTCACAGGCCAGGACCTGAAAGCTTTGTCCTGAAGGCCACGGAGGGAGTGGGGCAATGAGTCCAGGCAGTAGAAGGAGATCACTCAGACAGTGAGAAAATGAGGGAGGGGTAAGGCCCTGGGTAAGGCAAATAAGGACAGGTTTGCTCCCGCCTTTCTGGGTAGAAGCTTGGTAGAAAGGCAGGAGCAGAGAATGCAATTAAGTATAATCAGACCTTGAGAACAGCAACATGATGCCCAACATGCAGGACTTTTCCAAGCCTCCTTCCTGTCCCCTCCACCTTGGTGACCTTGCCAAGGAGTCAAAGAGAAAGGGGTTCCAGGCAACTGGGGGATTCCCGGCATCTATCTCGTCCCCCAGCCCCACTCCTGCCTGAGTCATCCTCCAGGATGGGGCTGGCGGGCAGAGAACAAAGGAGGGAGAGTCATTTCCAAGGTCCACGTGGAATCCCGGCCACCCCCACGCTCTGTCCTAGGGACGAGTCAAGAGTATTCTGTTTCATCAGCCCAGAGCTTTTTAAATCTCTGCTATGGGACAAGTATACAGACGTCTCCTTCCTAACAGAAACCCACGTGAACTCTTCAACCTGCGGGCACAGGAAAGTCATCTTGGCCACGGGGAGGGTAACTCATTGTTCCTCTCGAGGTCTCTGCGTTAGTCCAAGTTTTATTTACTCTCCCTAGTTGGTATGCATTTCCTCACAGAAAAACTTTCTGGTGGTGAAAGTAATATTTGCTCAGAAAGTACACAAAGGTTATGCCACCTCCCAGAGGCAAGTTCTGCGAACATACCAGGCATGTTCCTTTCCACTGCTCGTCTCCCTGAAATCACAGCCTAAGAATTCTCCACGTCAGTAAGGTTTTATGAACATGATTCTAACAGTGCTGATGTATTAGAGAATCATGTATTGTCTCTGAAATAACTGTGTGATGTATAGAACATAGTATTTCACCACTTCCCCACATTTGTACAGTTCTATGTTTTTTCAATACTATAAAAATAATGCTGGGGGCCTCCCTAGTGGCGCAAGGGGTTGAGATGCAGCCTATGGGGCTGTCCACAGCCTCTGCAGCACCAGTTTGATCCCCGAGCAGGGAGCTACCCACATGGCGCAGCAGACCTCTCCTCACTCACCCGCTGCTCCCCTCAGCAGTGTATTTCAGTCAGTCTGCCTGTTCTGTTCTCCACTCTGTCTCTGGTGAATCCTCTCACCCCCACACCTCTGGCCTGTACCCCAGCTCTTGTATGCATAAATAAGTAAAAAAAATCTTTAAAAAAATAATGCTGGGAAAAATTATATGTAAAATTGGAGGTGGGGGGCGAGTTTGTTTATTTAAGGTAGTTCTCAGAAGTGAAATTTCCAGGCCTAAGGCTCTCCACAAGCTGCTTTCCCAACAGCTTATCAAACCACCCCTAGTGTCTCACCACGTTAAACATTAGAGTTTACAAAACCTTTTGGTAAGGCTTACAAAACTCTGAACTCTGTTTACGAAACTCTAAATTGTTATTTCTCTGTGACCTGAAAGAATTTAAATCTGTGCTGATTTCATAGCCAAAAACACTGTCACTGATTGTTCTCATTTACATTTACTTCTCCGCTTGTGTTTGTGGCTGAATGTTAGCTGATTTGATTTCCTCCTGTGGAAAACGCCCGCTCTTGCTCTTTGCTAGCGTGTGAGCCTCAGGGGCCACAGTGGAGGGAGGAGCGGATGGCAGTGCCTGGGCTGACAGCCTCCACCAGGCCACAGGGCAGCTGCCTACTCCTCGGTCTGCCCGGAGCCAGCCTCTGCTCACTGTGCCCCTTGGAGTCGTACACTTGTTACAGCGGACTCTAGCACAGATGATACATGAGCTACACCAGCTTTTCATTGGTCTTCCACACCTTATGCTAAGGATAATTCCAGCATTGATGACTCCACTACTAACTTTATCTCAAGTTTTAGTCTCAATATAAAGCTGTCCTTGGTTGTCATATATTGACTATATATTGTCTTAGATTAAAACATTGTGACTGATTTTGTTAAAGGCTTCAACTATCCAAAGATAGTGTGCAGAATTAGACTTTATGTTCCCAAGATTAATGGCAACACATAGGGCTTGGTTCTTGTCCTTCACTGTTAGAGCTGCTGCAGGTATTGCTCACACACCTTCCTACCGTTTTCCCTGGGGGGGAGCTGCTTGTGCCAGCTGCCATCAACACCCCTGCAGAGTGGAAATTTGAAACAACCTTTCCCTCTGGCCTTCTGCTGACCCTGGAGATCCCAATGGACCTCTTTATCACCAATCTCAACCCTGGGATGGAACCCCTGGATTCCATTTTGCAGCCACAGACTAGCAATTTCCTATCTAGCCGGCACTCTTGCTTACTACCCCTTTCTACCCCATCATTTATTCTTTTATATATTACTTACATAAATTCCTCTCTCTCTCCTATTTCTTCCCTTCCTTTCCCTCCTTCCTTCCTTCTTTTTTTATTTTTTATTTTTTTAAAGAGTTTTTTTTTTTAAAGATTTATTTATTTTTATGCAAGAGCCGGGGTACAGGCCAGAGGAGCGGGAGGGTGAGAGGATTCACCAGAGACAGAGCGGGGAGCAGAACAGGCAGACAGACGAAATACACTGCTGAGGGGAGCAGCGTTCCAGACAGGAGAGGTCTGCCGCGCCTTGTGGGAATCTCCCTGGCCAGCTGGGAATTGAACCCGCACTGCAGAGGCTGCGGACTGCTTCACAGCGTTGCACTCAACCCACTGCGCCACCAGGGAGGCCCTCTTTTTTGTTTTTTATGTAGTTTTCTTTCTGACCCAAAAGATTTTAAGTTCCTTGAGGGCAGGAACTTATGTGCTTTCCACAATGTAAGCTCATGATACTAGTCAAATAAATAACTTGTATTTAATTTTTTGTGATTGATATTCTAAAGGTAACAGTCACTACCATTGAACTAAACCATTTTTACAATTTTAAATGAGCATGTAAAAGCCTGAACAAAAACAACTGCTTCCTGTCCCAAGAAATCTGACTCTTGAAGCTAAATCTGCACTCCATGTTTATTTCAGCCTCATTCATAAAACCGAGGTGTGGAAAAACCATCCAAATGTCTATCAGTGGGCAAGTGGATAAGGAAAATGCAGTGCACACATACAATGGAATATTATCCAGACTTTTAAAAGAAGGAAATCCTATCATTTGCAACAACATGGACGAACCTAAACGACGTCATGCTGAGTGAATTAAGTCAGACACAGAAAGACAAGTGCTACATGTCCTCACTTACTTGTGGAATCCGAAATAGTCAGAGCCATTGAAACAGAGGGTGGAACTGGCTACCAGGGACTGCCAGGAGTTGGGGTGGGGAAAGTGGGGAGGTGTTGATCAAAGGGTACACAGTCTCGGTTATGCAGAATGAGTAAGTTCTGGAATTTACTGAACAACACAGGACCTATGATTGACAGAGCTGTATTGTATACTTAAAAATGTGCTAGGAGGGTAGATCTGATGTTAAGTGCCCTGACCACCCAAAGGAAAAAACAAAGCCAAAGAACAGCAAAAGAACATGAGGCTCCATTATGTTGCTGTTGGGACCCACGGTATGTAGTTTTGGCACAGAAAGGATCGTAGAACCAAGACAACTTCAGAAGACTCAACAGTAGCCGTTCTCAGCCCCAGGGGAATGCACACACCCACAAGCCCAACTTACAGACTTGCAGTGTTCTTAGTCTCTCGTTTCCATGACATTAACATGCGAAAGACCCAGAGAGATGTTCAAGACTGGTGAGAATAATTGTAACTTAATGGGGTTTTTAATTTAACCTTATTATATAAAGGCAACAGAGGAGTAAGAACTGAAATCCTACCAAAGGCTACATGGAAAAGCTTCAGTCTCACCCGTTTTTCCAGATAGAGGCTGAAATGAATAGACCTGCCTTGAATATTGAGGTGCAACTACATTACATCTAAATGTAATTAGAGGGGCCTCCCTGGTGGCACAGGGGTTGAACCTCAGCCTTGTCAAGCTATTGCCAGCCACTGTGGCCTAAATTTGACCCCTGGCCAGGGAGCTAACCCACGTGGTACAGCAAACCTCCCTTCTTGCCCGCTGCTCCCCTCAGCAGTGTATTTCAGTTGATCCACCTGTTCTGCTCCCCACTCTGTCTCTGGCAAATCCTCTCTCCCCCTACCTCTGGCCTATACCACAGTTCTTGTATGCATAAATAAATAAAATAAAAATAAAATCTTTTAAAAAATAAAAACAAATGTAATTAGAGGTGATTTTTTAAAAACTGGAGTTGAACATCACCTGAAGCAGTGACAGTGAAGGCAAAGATAAACAGCTGGGACTACATCAAACTAAAGAGCTTCTGCACAGCAAAAGAGACAATAACCAAAACAAAGAGAAACCCCACCGACTGGGAGAACATTTTTGCACACAACACTAATGATAAAGGACTGATCACAAAAATCTACAAAGAGCTGATGAGACTCAACTAAAACAAAGAAAATAATCCAGTCAAAAATGGGCAGAAGAGCTAAAAAGAAACTTCTCCAAAGAGGAAATGCAAATGGCCAACAGGCATATGAAAAAATGTTCAACATCACTTGTAATCAGGGAAATGAAAATCAAAACTACCATGAGATACCATCTCACACCAGTGAGAATGGCACATACTAAAAAAACTAGCAACAACAAGTGTTGGCGAGGATGTGGAGAAAAAGGAGCTCTCCTGCACTGTTGGTGGGAGTGCAAACTGGTCCAACCACTATGGAGAGCTGTGTGGAGATTTCTGGACCTACTAAACATAGAGCTTCCATATGATCCAGCAATTCCACTCCTAGGTATTTACCCAAATAACACAGAAAAATTAATTCCAAAGGGCACCTGCACCCCTATGTTTATAGCAGCACTATTTACAATAGCTAAGCTATGGAAACAAACCAAATGCCCAAAAATAGATGACTGGATCAAGAAGATGTGGTACATATACACCATGGAATATTACTCAGCAATCAAAAAGATAAACTCATGCAGTTTGCAGCAACGTGGATGGAGCTAGAAGGGATCATGCTCAGCAAAATAAGCCAGAAAGAAAAAGAAAAATACCAGATGGTCTCACTCATAGCAGGAATCTAGAAAACCTAAGTAAGGGACCAGGAAAAAGATTAATTAATACAAAGTAAAAATCAAAATCAACAAGCAACTGTAAACCAGGGGGGCAGAGGGGAGAGGAAGGATTAGGGTCAAAATAAGGGGAGGTGCAATTGCATGGGGAATATAACCAAAATGAAAATGCATACATTGTGCAAAAATGAAAAAAGATGTTAGAATTATAGAAAATAAAATATTTTTAAAAATTGGTGTTGAAAAAAATTGTAGGCTTGGAAAGAACTTTAGGAAACCAGAAGGCTGCCCTCTTTCCCACCACAGGAGTCTTGCTTCCACACTGAAGACAGACAAGTCACTCAGCCTTTGATGCTTTATAAGCTAAAAGGCTCTTCATTTGACCTTTTTTTATATTGAATGGTTCTAATTAGCAGAAGCTTCTTTCCAATGGTGAATCAAAGTCTGCCTTACTGCAAAATCCGGCTGACAGTCTGGATGGGACTGTTTGGAGTAAGAGGAAGGATGTGGGGATGGAGCCAGAGAGAACGGGGGTGGCGCCGGGGTTCACCATTAAGTAGCTAAGCAGCTTTGCCTCTGACCTCAGCGTCCTGACAGATAAGATATGGCTGGTGGTTTCACCCTTCACATCCGTGTGAGACTTGGAGACACCGTGTGCTGAGCGCCTACGACGTGGTGACGCCCCAGCTTTGGCCTCTGACCCGCCTGAGGGATATTTCCCAGCTAGACTCTCAACCTCCCAATGACTCCTCACATGTCAAGGTTTCCAGACCCCTTCAGCACTGAAACCAGCTGGCAGTTCCCCACTGGTTTATTCAAGACCTTCCTCCATGTAGATCGTGTGCATGAGCTTCCGATACAGTAATTTCAAAGAAATCAGACAGTTAGCAAATATTCCTCAAACAGACTGGTGCTGGAACATTGTGGGTGGCTGCTAAGGGCGGAGAGCCCGCCGCGCCCCACCCCCGACACCCCTCTGAGCAACAAGTCGCACCTGCACGTCCTGCTCCAGCTTGATCTTGATCATGTTATACTCTTCCCAGTCCCAGATCCGCTGCTTGTTCAGCTGCTTCTCGTATTCCTCTACTTTCTTCATGCGGTTCATCACATACTCCAGCTAAGAGCACCAGAAGACAAGGGGCAAGTCAGGTCCTGCCCGGTCCTTCTGGAGGCTTGACCGGTGTGACACAGTGAACGGACTGAGACTGCGCTGACCCTGGAGGGGCTGCTGGCCCTCAGAAGCTCCTGGGACGCAAGGTTTGAACTCCCAGGCCAGGGCATGTGTTGCTTCCTGGGGTCCTCACTCCAGAAGCTCCCAGAGGATGCCCCGCTAGAACCTAAGCGTGGGCCCTGCAGGCAGATGTTTTAAATTCTTAAAACAAAAAAAATTCCACTGGACCTTGGTCCAGTTATTTCTTTGTACTTTCTGTCTCTGAAATAAAGAGACAACTCACATTCTTTAAAGGATGTGCCTTAAAACACCTTTTGGGGCAATAAATATCCATGACTGGGGTAAAAACCAGGGAACAAATCACCCCAGACTCCACAATCACCCTTCACATGCACACACACATGTACACAAGGATGCGTGTGCGCGCTTGCACACATACACACATCTCTACCCCCCCTCCCCCCGCCACCCCTTTACCTCCTTGGCATTGTGAGCCTGCAGTGCCCACTCCCATTTCTTCTTATTGCTGCTCAGGAGCTCGTGTCGTTCCATCTCAAATGCTTTCTGCACAGCAAGAAGGAAAAGGCTCTTGTGTCTTTGTGTCCGTGTGATGAAGCAGGCCACAGTATTGAACTCGTGGCAAGTCCCAGTGGCCAGCCTCACGGACAAGGTCAAAGCTAAAAGCAGACTCACCAAGTTTCATGAAACCAAATGGCAGAGGAAGGAGGTGCATGGAAATCCGTGTTATAAATCAATGCTTCACACACATTTTGAGGGGAAATGTGGCTCAGCCGCTATCGCTGGCAGGGAGCCGCCCTTGTTTGCAGCCAGGACAAACACTGGCATGGGTTTCAGCCTTGACCAGAGCTGAGGCACTGCTATGAGTGGGGTCCCCAGGAGGCAAAGGCAGCAGGGGGCATGGGAGGGCGGCCTGGGAATGCAGACCTGAGTCCCCAGTGATCCCGAGAGGAGGGCCCCTCCCTTCGGCTCTTTTCCACTCTGTCAAGGCCCATCTCAACCTCAATCCTTAAAATTTCATTCAAATTCAAAGTATTGATTCCTGAATCCTGTTTGGCTGCCCACTTTGCACCCCCCTCCTGACTACAGGAGTAAGTCACATTACCTGACTCACGTGTGGGCAAAGGCTCACACGTGAGCCTTTGGTTTTGCTTGGTTTTGCTCATGGTTGTATCCCGGGTCCCTGGTACAGTACCTGATACACAGCTGACACTTGCTGACTATTTTTCGGATGAGTAAATAACTTACTAGTGCAGAGGCAGAAATCAAAGGCCCTAGACATTTGGGACTCTCTTTAGGCAGCAAGGACAGGCCTGGCCCCTCCCAGGGGCTCCCAAGGGCAGAAAGCAGCTCTTTTATACCCTCTACCTCAATGTAATGAAGCTCCTGTTGAAAGGTCTTCATGGCCATCTTCACTTGTTCTTCCATCCTCTCCACAAGCAGGCAGATGTCATCTGACTGCTTCTTCAAATCCTTCACATACTGGTCATCCTTTGTTTTTAACTCCTACAAAAGAGCAGGTAAAAGGCTGGTGACCAGCTGAGACAGAAACAAGAGGTGCCAGGCACATACCAGCTGGGCCCCTCTCATCAGCGCTGTAAACACTAGGAATTAACTGTACAAAGGGAAAGCAGCTTCAGAGGCAGGAAGGAAGGCCCAGGAGAAAAAGCAGGGAGTGGATGGGCCTCCCCAGTGGCACAGCGGGCTGAGCACCCTACTGTGAAGCTGTCTGCAGCCTCTGCAGTGCGGGTTTGATCCCACATAGTGCAGCAGACCTCTCCTGTTGCGCCCGCTGCTCCCCTCAGCAGTGTATTTCTGTCGTCTGCCTGTTCTGTTCCCTGGTCTGTCTCTGGTGAATCCTCTCATCCTCCGCGCCTCTGGCCAGCTGTTGTACCCCAGCTCTTGTACAAAAATAAATAAATCTTTTAAAAAAAAAAAGAAAGAAAAAAAGAAAAAGCAGGGGGTGGAGCAGAGTGTGCTGCACTGGGGGCAAAGCTCTGACCAGGCTACGTGGGGTGAGCCCCCACACTAGTGCCTGCTGCAAATCCCCTGAAAGCACCCACAAAGCCTTGAGCAACCCAGCTAAACAATGAGGGTCCAGGTTCCAGCAAGAGCTCATTTCCACTGTGGACCAGATTCCAGTCCTTAAGTTGAAAACAAAATCAGAAACTCTTGCTATGAAAAGTCTTCTTACTAAGTAGCCAGAAACTGTAAAATTACTACCCAGCTTTTCCTTCTGGCCAGAAGTGTATCGCCTGCCTTGTGCAGCGCTCTGAGTGAGGAAGTGAGACCTCCACCCTTCTCCCGCTCAGGAAAAGCAAACCCGTCACCCAGCAGCCACCCCAGCTCCTTGCCTGCTGCAGCTCACTGATGAGCTTGTTCTTATCTTCAATCAGCCCAGCACAGTGCACCTGCTGCGCGTTGAGCATGTCCCACAGGTCCTGCGGGATCCTCTTCTTTTTGCCCTCCTCCCACTTCATAGAGATCTCATCAAATTTGTCCTGGCTGGTCTTGACTTCATTCTCCAGCTTTTCCATTCTGCAAAGAGAGCGATGCCAACCAGGCCAGCTCAGCCCGGATGCTGCTGCCTTTCAACAGAGCAGGCAGGTGCCCAGGGCTGGGGGCCAAGCACTGCTGCATGCACCCACCCTAGACAACCAGGCCCTGAGCCTGACAAGACACAACTGAGACCAAACAGGCGACACTGGGCAACACTCACGCACAGCTTGTCACATACTTCTGGATATGACGGTGGCACCCAGGGACAAAATGCTTGGTCACTGGAGTCACAGAGCCTGTCTTCACATCCTGACTTTGCTACTGACCCCCAATTTTAGACACAGTGCTTGACCTCCACAAGCCCTACTTTTCTCATCTGTAAAGCAGCAAAGACGACAGTCTCTAGCCCCTGGCTGACATTTGGTAACAACTGGGCCGCTCTGCTGATTGAGCTTTCCATCGCTGGGCAGCCTGAGGCCTGGGGGGATGGTGTGCTGCAGCCTGGGTGGTGGGGGCTGGAGTGGGGGCCTGGGGGGATTCCCGTCACTCCTCCAAATCTGGAGCCTTCCAGGCATGGAGCCCTGACTATCCTCTGCTCCCTGCTACATTTGCACCTCTCCCTGCAGGCTTTCTGGGTGCGGTCATTCCCACTAGCGTAGACCCAGGACTGCCCAGCCCTCCTTGTGAGCCTCCACTCTGCTTCCACCACCAACCATCCTGCCCAGTCGCCCTTACTATCGCGCCGTTGCCCGCATCGCCCGCAAGTCACGGGATCTCAGGCCTCGGCACCAGCTGTCTCCACCCAAACCCAGCTCCTCCACGCCCCCTCCCTCACAGCCCCACTCAAATGTCACTGGGGAGTGCTCTCGTCTCTCAGGGAGAAGGAAAGCCCTGCTCACGTGTGCTTCCACAGCCCTTTCCACCTACGTGCCTGTTCACACAGGCCGTGGCTGGGTGTTTCCGTGGCTACCTCGGCTACACGGTCAACAGCCCAGCAGAGGCCTCTCTCCACCCTCCTGGGCACAGGCAGGACCTTAGCACCTCAGGCAGAGAGGAAGGAGCAGCAGCGAGGGAGGGAGGGAGGAGGGAAGGGCTCAGGAGGGGCAAGAAGAGGGTTCCCCTGGCTACTTTCCAAAGACTGAGGAGAGTTGAGGGCCCCAAAGAGGAGGGTCTGAGCCCGCGGCTTTGCTTTGGGGGTGCCTTACCTCTGCCGCTGTATGTCCTCCTCCTCCACCCGCCTGTGGATCTCCCTGATGTCTGTGGCCACCTGGATATTGGTCACCAGCTCCGTGCCACAGAGCAGCAGCTTCGTCAATTTCTGAGAACAAGTAAGAATTTACGAAGTTAGAAGACTTGGCAAAGAGTTCATAAATTTCTAAAATTGTTTACAAAGAGGCCTCTCTTTACATACATCCATATAAATACATCTTTAGAAAGGCAGATAGATCTTTAAATAGAGGGAGAGATAAATTTACAACCTCATGAAGAATTTATAAACTTAGAAACATCTTGCACAGCTCTCTGCAGCTCTCCTAGCCAGCCAAGCAGGAATAAAAAAAAAAAAAAAAAAAACACCTTAAATCTCTGAAGCACAGCTTCCCTTTAGCCTCCCTCCATTGGCACATCGCCCCTCGTGTGGCAGTTCACAGCCGAGCTGCACAGGAGATCCTGCGCTGCTTTGGTTTGTTCCCAGAGTGGGGGCCAGTGGGCCAGATGCTGGCAGGCCTTCCACAGACCCCTGACCCTATCCCCCAGCAGACAGCAGACCCCAGCAACTGGCGCTGCCAGGGTCCTTTCTGAGCATTCTCAGTTTTTGTTTTAGTCTGAGGGAAGGCAGGAGTGAGGGAAATAGTGGTAGTTATCCTCCAAGGTCCGTTTCCCCCTGGGCACTTGGAGTAGACCAAGATTAAACAGGAAACAAAAAGAAGTGCCATAAAAAAAAGATTGATGGGCCTCCCTGAGGCACAAGGGGTTAAGTCTCAGAGCGCTGTGAAGCTATCCACAGCCGCTGCAGCACCAGTTCAATTCCCGGCCAGGGAGCTACCCACATGGCGCAGCAGACCTCTCCTGGCTCACCCGCTGCTCCCCTCAGCAGTGGATTTCAGTAGATCCACCCGTTCTGCTCCCTACTCTTGTCTCTGGTGAATCCTCTCACTGCCCTACCCCCTCTGGCCTACACCCCAGTTCTTCTACACACACAAAATATCTATAAATACATGAAATTAAATAAAAAATGATTGGCAGGTGTAAGACAAAGGGCAGGGACCCCTCCTGTCCAATAATCAGGGCAGAAGTGGTAGTTAGTCCCTTGACATTGCAGATGGCGGCATGTTTAAAGTATATTTCCCCTTAATACCACGACTTTTTGTGATTTTAGTCCTAAGTGAAAGGAATCTTTAAAAGCTGCTAATGAAAACATTTTCTTTGGTTTTATTCTCGATTAAAGAGTGCTCAGGATGAACTCTATGTCAGTAGTTTCAAGATTGTGTAAGCAAAAAATAGAAAAGGGATACAAAATCCCATTTATCCATAAAGATCGACCCTTTAGAAAGGTAACCTAAGTACAAATCGGGGGTGACGTGGCTCATCTACTTCCCAGGAAGCAACAGATCTGCATCACAAGTCCACGGCAGCCCCACTTTCCCCCCACCACAGTGGAATATTTTGTCTTTGACACCGTGCAGAACAGGCTATTCAGTGATCCCCACAGCGCTCTGCTCTATAATAATATTTCGCTAATTTGAATATTTGTTCTCCCAGGAAGCACACCTCAGTGTGCTAAGCTCCAGCTCAAATCCCACTCTCTCCATATAACCTCCCTGATCCAGTTTGGGAGCTTTCTCTCAGTGCCTGCATGCTCCCTGCGCCATCCATCCAGCAAAATGTGGCTCTTTGCCACCCTGGGCCTGCTGTTGTTTTGAGCTGCTGTTTAGCCCTCCTGCACCTCGGTCCCAAGTACTTTATCAGATACTCTGGGGCTCTGTCACTGCCGGGAGAACAATGATTTTCTTTTTAATGTTTATTGAGCATTAACTATGTGCTTCCACAGGCACACGGAGAGGCTCCCGCTCTCATTAAGCTTACAGCTCCCCAGGACACTGCACACGCACACGCACACGCACACACGCACATTTGAAAGGGGCAGGGAGACTATTTGCACTTTATCCCCAGAATGGTGAATGTCATTAAAAGGATTATGAGCAGAGGTGAGACAGCATCAATGTAAGAAACGATAGCAGGAAAGCTCGTTATTCCCAGAGAGCTCGGGAGCTGGGAGAGAGTCTCATTCAGTTCTACCTAGAGACAGGAACACGGAATCTCCCAGGAGATTCCATCTCTATCGGGTTTCTTCTTGTCTAAATACAAAATACAAAAACCATGACATTTCTTTGTCTAAATACAAAATACAAAAACCATGACATTGACCCAGCTTGCTGGTCGTACAGAACCAACAGCGCCCCATTCCTACTAGTCTGCTTTCTTCTTTCTGTTTGTAGCTCTTGCTTTGATCTTCTTCACTCTCCTTCTTCCCATCTAAATATTCTCCAAGTGCTTCCCTGTGATGGAAAAAGGCAGAGAAACTGAAGTTACTGCTAGCGGCCAAGTGCTACATTGAAAGATTCTGCAGTAGTTTACACCATTGGCAAAAAATACATTCCATGTGGACAGATATTTAAACGTTTTTTAAAAAACATTAATTAAACCCTTCGAAATAAATGCAGGAGACAGCCTGTCTTAGAACAAAAACAAGGTTAGTAAAAAAGATTGAAAGATTTTACTTCCAAAAATCACAAAATTTTATCCTTGAAAGTCAAGGGATAAACTGGGAAAAGATTTTGGACAAAATTTTGCTATCTGTAAAACAGAAAAATCTCCTTTAAAATCAATAAAGAACAGGGCCTCCCTGGTGGCGCAGGGGTTAAGACACAATCTATGAAGCTATCCACAGCCACTGCAGCACGAGTTCCATCCCTGGCCGGCCAGGGAGCAACCCACATGGCGCAGCAGATCTCTCCTGACTCGCCCACTGCTCCCCTCAGCAGTGTACTTCGGTCATTCTGCCTGTTCTGTTCCCCACTCTGTCTCCGGTGAATCTTTTCACCCCCTGCACCTCTGGCCTGTACCCCAGTTCTTGTATGTATACATAAATAATCTTTAAAAAAATCAATAAAGAACAAAATATCAAACAGAACAACTGGCTAAGGGGATGAACATTTTTCAGAAGAAATACAAAAATGCCAAAGAGACATTTGGAAATATATTCAAGTTCACACAGAACCTGAGAAATGAAGCTGAAAACTCTGTGAGGTAACATCACCCTCCTATCAGAGACACAAAAAACTGGTAACAGATGTGAGTGGAGGGTGTGCATGCCCAGCTATTCATACCCATCAGTGGGAGTGTGAGGTAAGAAAGGAAACCTGACAAGATATATCAACAACTTAAATGTGCCTTTCCTTTTACCCAACATTCAGGAATGTTCTACAGAAAGCTTTCACAAGTACACAAAGAAATAAGTGCAACACAGGCCTCCCGGGTGGTGCAGGGATTAAGCATAGCACTATGAAGCTATCCCTGAGCACGTGGGGCAGCAGACCTCTCCTGCCTCACCCACTGCTCCCCTCAGCAGTGTATTTCAGTCAGTCTGCCTGGTCTGCTCCCCACTCTGTCTCTGGTGAATCCTCTCACCACCATCACCCCCTACAGCTCTGTCCTGTCCCCCTGTTCTTGTATGCGTAAACAAATAATCTCAAAAAAAAAAAAAGTGCAACAATGATTGCTATAGCACTAACTATACCAGCAAGAACATGGAAACAATCTATACAAATATTAATAGCTGCCTGTTAAATAACCAGAAGGTAGCAGTACAAGAAAATATTTTGCAACCCATGAAAAGAATAAAGTGGTATCTACTAGCGAGAAAGATGTCAAAATATTTGAGTAAAAGGAGGCAGCTGTAAAACAATATGCAAAGTAGAATGTAAATTTTCTGCTAAAAATAGTCTTATCTACACACAAGGAAATTTGGGGATGGATTTATGACAAACAGGTAATAGTTTTTAAGGAAACGAAACTTCATCGAGGATTGATATTCTCTACATTTTTGTTGCGCATGAATTTTACAAATAGTGTGTGTGTGTGTGTGTGTGTGTGTGTGTGAATCAGAAAATAAGAGTACAGAGAGGATTATAACATTCCAGATGGCGGGCCTCTTCGGAGCAGGCGCTGGGGAATGAACACCCCCCTCCCCCACTTGCATCCTCATCATGGAGGCCTGTCTACTCTCTGGCACAGACTGAGGGTTCCCAGTGCTGCCTCAGGGAAACTGAAACCCCCCACCTCATGACTTTCTCCACAGCGAAACAAGCAGATCCCTGTATCTCATTCTTTCTAGACTTTCTCTGGCACTCCACCCCCACTCCCTGCTCAAAGTTCAGCGGGGCCACAGCGGGGCCACCGTGTTCGGCCACAAGTGAGACTTGGAATTGTGATCAGCCCACTCCCTCCCTAAGCCCGGCCCTTTCCTCTAGTCGTCATGCTCACTTCCCGGTTCTTCTCGCACTTACTCTTTGCTTTCACTAAAAATACAAATTGTCCATCTACTATGTCTTCAGAGGTTGCCAGGCTAATGCTGTTTATTATTGCCCGCAATGCACTCCCTCTGCTGACCTGCTAAGCCCACCTAGAGCCCCCCGATTAATTACCAATTTTATCTAAACAGCCCCTTCTAGTTGCTTCCTGGAGCAAAGATCAGTGCTTCAGATGGAAAAATAACTGTGCTGCAGGTTCTAATTGTTTCCGTTTCAGCTTGCATCACATCGCCGCCTTTCATCTGTCATCTTTGACCGCCTCGTCCCGCACCGTTCGACAAGAGCCACTACCCAAATGTGCCCGGCTGGAATTGGGATGTGCTGAGTGTAAAATACGTGCTAGATGGATTTTGAAGACCTTCAAGCCACTCCCCCCATGTGAAACAGCTCATTAACATGATGTATAGAGGTCTCATGTTGAAATACCGTTGATACACTGGATTCAACAAAAGAAATTGTAAAATTTATTTTACTTTTTTTTAAACATGGCTCTTAGAAAATGTTAAATTGCCTATGTGGCTCACATTATTTCCATTACTCTGCACTGACCTAGCACATTCTCCCAAGGGAGACACACACATATACACACACACACACACACACACACACACACCCCTTTCCTCAGGTTTGACTGAATTCCTCTTTTGAGAAATTGCTTCCCCACGGCTGCCACACCAGGGGCCTCAAGCGGAGCTGCATCTCCCCAACCCCCCTCCCCACCCATCAAAGTCTTTTCTCAGGATTTAAAACCTTGGGCACCTTGGACTCCGCCTGACTGTCTGGGTGGGCTGAGAGCTCTAGGTGGGCCATCATCTCCCGCAGGATGTGGCTTCTACTTTTCAGTGTTGTAATTTGTTTTCTTAATAAAAGCAAAGAGAAGGTGCAAGAAGAATAGGGACATGAGCGTAATGACAAATAGCAAACCAGAAGTCATTCTGTTTATTAAATCTTTGTGAGGGGCAGGTTTCTCGCTCCCGTCTGGAAGCTTGTAGGACCCTTCTCTCTGTGCTCTGGGACTGGGTCTTCACTCAGGCCATTGCTGACCATTTCCAGGCAGGTGGTCCTCGCCATTCGGGAAACACATGATCTTCAGTCCTGAGAAATGGTCTTCAACCTCCTCCCTTCTGTTTACTGTCTTTTTTTTTTTTTTTTAAGATTTACTTATGCATACAAGAGCTGGGGTGTAGGCCAGAGGTGCAGGGGGTGGTGAGAGGATTCACCAGACACAGAGTGGGGAGCAGAACAGGTGGATCTACTGAAATACACTGCAGGGGAGCAGTGGGTGAGACAGGAGAGTCTGCTGCACCATGTGGGTAGCTCCCTGGCCAGGGTCTGCTGCAGTGGCTGAGGAGAGCTTCATAGTCCTGAGACTTAACCCCTTGCGCCACCAGGGAGGCCCCTTTGTTTAGTGTCTTGTGGATCTAGAAAAGGGATCTTCCAGACTAGTCCTTGAATTTTTACAAACTCTTTTCTGGCCTAATTTCTATTGTTTTCTTTTCTCTCCTCTAGGCGATTCCATCAACCCTTCTGTTGTTTATCATTTCTATCATATTTTTAATTGCTAACAGTCCTATTAGGTTCTCTAAACACTCCTTTTTATAGTATCTTTTCTGTCTTATGGATGAAGTATCTCTTATTGCTAGAAAGATCTTAATAATCTTTTTATTATATTAGTGTTGTCTTTTCTTGCTACATAGTCTCAACTTCTTAAATTGCTTTTTCTGTTTGGTCATTCTGTCATCTCCCTTTCATGATAAAGACTGTCTTCAGACCTCTAGAAATCCTGACAAGAGCAAATGGCTGAGGGTGGCAGTGAATGCAAGGGTGTGGTTAACAACTGGGAGTTTCTGTGGGGGGGATCCCCCTGAATTGTGTGGTGGGCAAACCCAGATGCCAGGTCTTCTTTTGGCTCTGCAGGTTCTGCAGAGATTCGTCCAGTCTCCTGCAGTGTGAAGGTGAAGGTGGAAGGGCCAGCACTCCAGGGCCGGGGACTCAGCAGGTGTGCATGTGTTCAGGGAACACCCTTGCTTCAGGTACCGTGTCACTGTCTCACGCCTGCCCAGCAGGCCCCAAACCATAGATCCTCCACTTTACTTTCTCCAAACCTTCTGCGTCTTTTGTGCAAAGTGAGTCATGGGTTCTCTTATTTCTTCTTTTCCTCTTTCCCAGAGTAATTTAATCATCCCCATGGTTTTAAATATAACCATAATGCTGCTGACTCTTTACACTGATATCTCTAATCCACAATTCTCATCTGAATTTAAGATCCATATCCAGCTGCCTAATGGGCATCTCCATTTTAATGTCTTACAAAACCCAATTTCACTTAATTTTCCCAGAACCAAATTTTTCATTTTCAACTCTTGCCTCTCTACGCCCACCTCACTGCCTTAACCATCTCAATAAAAGGCACTGCCATCTCTCCAGCTGTCCAAGTCATTCTTGTTTTCCCCACCTTTTACCAGCATATCCATCAATCAGTCAATTTCAAGTCTAAACTGTCTGGAGTACAACTGCTTTTTCTCCAAATCCACCACTGACTAATCCAAACCAACCTCATCTCTCACCTCAGGTGAGAGTTCTTGCATCTTTCCCTGATACAAGTGCTTCCTGATTAGTCTCCTCACTGTCACCCTGGCTCCTCCAGACCAGTGCCCAAAGAGCAACCAGACTCAACTAAATGGTACAAAACAGGTCAAGTCACTCCCGAGGCTAGCCCTTATAGCGCTTTCTCATTGCACCTACAGGACACTGCACATCTGTCAACAACCTGGCCACTGTCTGCAGCGTCACGCTTCTCGTCATCCTCTGCACAGCTCACCGGACTCCACCAGACAGGGCTGGTCTCATTCCTACAGCAAAGAGCCTCCCTTCTACCTCCAGGCCTTTGAATATGCTGTGCCATTTTGACCATAGTCTTTATCCATTCTTTTTTTTTTTTTTCTGGATTTTAAAATAAACTTAAAAATAAAAAGAGGGCCTGAAAACATCAGCAGTTGCCTGAGGACAGTGGGAGGGACAAACTCCAATGGGGAAGCAATGGGGTGATAGAACTGCTCTATATTGATCGGTTACACAACCAACAGACTGGACACTAAAAGATGACTTTACTGGATGCAAGTTCTAATTCAGTTTTGCTTATTTTTTTTAAGAGCTAAAAGATAAGAGCTGAAAATTTACCCTGTGGGGGGTTGGGGGGTATGAGCTTATGGACAATAAGCTTGTGGACAATAAAAGCTATTACACTGAACATGCAGAAAGGAATAGTACAATGTAAGACAGCTTCAGTACACAAGGTGTTTTTAAAAAATATGCTTGTGCATAAGTAATATTTCTTTTTTGCACTTAATAAATTGCCTTGAAGTTTTTCTCTGGGAAGTGTTAGAAATGCTTGTTTTTAAATTTCTCAAACATCTCAGGTAGGAAGCAAGACATTAGAACAAGAGAGAGCGTCAAAACACTCCACAAATCATTTTACTTTAAAAATATGTACCACTCTCTAATAGAGAAGGCAATTATTTCATTACAATAGAAGATTCCTGAGGGCAGAGACAATCTTTGTCTTATTTGGCATCACATCCCCAGCACAACGCCAAGGTCAGAGGGGCAGCCGAAGGGCTTAACTCACAAAGGCTTTCGAAGATGGTTAATAGATTATGACATTGCTCACGGCAAAGCGGAGCTGCAGCCAGCATGCCTAGAACTCACACAGGCTGGCCAGAGAAAACAGCAAGAGAAAAACACCAGCCTGGGAGTGGGCGTTCTGACAGAAAGCCACCATCCCTTGCCCAGTGCCTGAACTAAGCCAGTTTCCAGACTCAGAATCAAGTGACTCACGAGGTGGCAGGTCCCTGCGACATCATGGTGCATGCGCTGCCTCACTGACCCCGTCCTTGCCAAGGGGCCTGTGGTCACTGGCTCCCGGGCTGGACTCAGGAGCTGAGGAAGGGGAGATGCCCAGACACCGAGGACCATCACATCCTTCCCCCAGCAGCAGAGGGCAGACAGGGGCCCAGGCCTGCTGACAGGGGGGCCACTGGGTCCACGGACTCAGCCAGTGGCCCTGGTCTGACCCTGAAAGTGGAATCTGGATTAACATATGGCAAGTTGAGAGACTCCCGCATCACGGTGGGGAAGACCTGGCACCATGGTGGACACTGGAGTGGCCCCTTGCAGAGGCCACTGAGGCCAGCAGAAGTGACAGCTGAAGGCCACTAAATGAATGGCGAGGAGGGAGGGAGGGAGCGAGGAAGGAAAACATTTTCTCGGTAAAAACGAAAAGATTATTTCCATCTTTGACTTTACTGTTGCTGAATGTTCTACTGTCCCATACTTTGCTTGAAACTTCTGGAAGGAATGTTCACTACCTCAGCCCCCTCACACCGGGGCTCGCTGGCCCTGGTCGCAGGGACCGTCACCCTCGGGAGCCCTCCTCCTCAGCCGCCTCGCCCCGCCCGACGCCCCCTCCTCTGGCCGGGCCGGGGTCCCCAGCTCACCGCCGCCGGGCGTCCAGGCGCGCCGCGATGCGGAGGCGCCGGGCCTGGATCCGCTCCTGCGGGTTGTCAGAGTTTATGGAGGGCCCGAGGATCGGGGTGGACACGTGCTCCTCCTGCTTCTCGTCCAGGACGCCCAAGGGCCCCGACGGATTCATGGCAGAGGCCTGACGCTCCGAGGCTGACCCCGCAGACCGACTGGGGTCCGTTGCTAGCAACAAGCCGTTGCCAGGGAGTAGCGGTCACCTGAGCAGCAGCCGGCGCCGCCGCGAGGCTCGGCCCCGCCCCCCGGGCCTGGGCTCGACTCCCCCCTCAGGCACTGCCGACTGGGGGGGCCGGACTAGGACCCCATGAAGCCCCAAGATGAAAGAAGTGCGCCACGTTGTGGCTCATGGCTTTCCGACCCTGGTGATTAATTCATCATTCATTGAGCAAGTGACTAGTCCTTAAAATGATACCCATGAAGTGACCAGCTCCCCCCAGGCGCTGTGCGGCGGGCCGCGACCTTCCCTCTTGGAGGGGACGGGATAGGTACGCTCTGAGCCTGTTGCTTCTTTGGAAAGCTTTTGCTTCCATTTGTCATTCGCTCATTTTTGAGGTCCTACTCTGTGGACGGCCCCCTATGCGTCCAGATAGTGAACCTGCCCTGCTGTTGATGGAATTATGTCCAGCAGGTGGATGTTGTCGCCTGCAGCAGAAACCTAGGCAATCCCGCCACCCCCACCTGCAACAAGTGCTTAGAGAAAGAGCAAAGGAAGAGCGGAGGAAAAAGCGGCAGGCGAGTGGGAAGGCCTGAAAATTAAGAGAACAGAAGCACAAACTCTCAAAGAAACACTGTGCCTTGAAAAGGAACTCTTTCGGGCCTCCTTGGTGGCGCAGGCGGTTGAGCGCAGCGCTGTGAAGCTGTCCGCAGCCCCTGCAGCGCAAGTTCAATCCCCAGCCGGCCAGAAAGCAACCCACACGGCAAGCAGACCTCTCCGGTTGTGCCCGCTGCTCCCCTCAGCAGTGTATTTCCGTCCTTCTGCCTGTTCTGTTCCCCGCTCTGTCTCTGGTGAATCCTCTCACCCTCCCACGCATCTGGCCTGTACCCTGGCTCTTGTACAAATAAAATAAATCTTTTTTTTTTAAAAAAAAAAAAAGGATCTCTTTCCTGAGTTTTTTTGGTTTGTTTGTTTTTGGTATCTGTCAACAACAACAAAAGTTCATGTTGAATCACCTTACATCCCTTAAAAAACAGAAACAAAAAAAACCCACGGAGACCATTTGCCAGGGTCTTGTCCCACTGGCCTGTGAGAAACTTGGACAGGGCACTGGAGGAGTAAGAAAATGCAGGCCCTGGATCTGCCCTGCAACCTTGGTTAAGCCACAACTTCTTGAGGATGATTTTTTTTCAGCTGTTATGTGATGCTATTTCAAATCACAGGCAAATTGTGAAGATAAAAAAGACAAGTCCCTTATGAATACGACATACCCAGAGGCAAATGGAGTTGTTTTTTCAAACTCATTTTACCAAGTCTGAAATTTAGGAGTGCCACAATCGTGGAACCACCAACAGCAGAACAGCTGCCTGCATCCTTGTCTTCCATCCAGCCTGGACAGGGGGTAGGGCTTTTGCTCCTGGGCTTCAGGGACCTCTGTCAAATCTCTCTCCTTTAGTTGTAACCTCAAGCATTAAGCTTCCCTAGGGGACATGGAATCAGAGAAGGTGTAGTTCTGACCACGAACTCTTCCAGATTCTGGCTCACATTTCCAGCCATTGTGAGAAGAGAAACGCATACAAGTGTGTGCCTCCTATGGCTGGGAGTAGGCTGCCAGAAGTCAGTGGGAATCAGCTGTTGCACAAGAGATGGGTGGGAGAGCAAAGGGACCGTAAAAATCCAGGAAAGGCGATCAAAGAGGTGGGCTAATGCTGTTCCCAGATACCATGGTTCTGGGCAGTGTTTGTGGTAAGGAATATGGCTCCTTTTTTCACTGTGTGATTGCTCACAGCTTTTCAGCCTTATACAGTTCTTAGCCTCTGCTCCATACCTGGGCATCTTAAAAAAAGAGAAAAGAAAAAAGCTCGGTGTCCTTTGGTGCTGGCAGGAGAGTCCAACCATGTGCTGAGAGTACCTCATCCCAGATGCCATCCCCATCCCTGGCCACTCTAAAAGCCCAAAGTCAGTCTCCTTTCTGGGTCTCACCAGCCATTTTCCAGCCACTGGCCTGCCTCATCACAACCAGTCTCTGTTTCTAAGTAATAAATCTTTCGCAGGCATGAAAAAGAACTCACTCAATGCTGGAAAGTCACCTTTTTACAATGATTTCCCAGTATCTATTAATGGTTTAAATGAGCATGTTCATGGACTAGACAAATCTACTTAAAAGAATTATCCTAGAGAGAGACAACAGGTCTAGATTGTAGCTCTGTGAAACTGTAGCTCTGGGTCAAAATTTCATCAGTTTATTTCAAGTGCCAAACACAATACCCGATATTTATCAACAAATATTTTTTAAGTTATTTATAATATTAAAAAAGTGGATCTAGTGAAGCCACTAGGAATGAATGTGTAATGTGGAAAATCATCTAAGATAAACGACATGAGGAAAGGAAGATGCAGCCAAAATATAGAGCATGACCCCAGATTTATCTAAAATATAGGCAGTATGTATTATTCACAAGAAAAACAGGGGGGCCTCCCTGGTGGCGCAAGGGATTAAGCACCATACTATAAAGCAATCCACAGCCTCTGCAGCCGGCCATGGAGAAACCCACATGGCGCAGCAGACCTCTCCTGACTCGCCCGCTGCTCCCCTCAGCAGTGTGCTTCGATCAGTCTGCCTGTTCTGTTCCCCATTCTGTCTCTGGTGAATCCTCTCACCCCCCACATCTCTGGCCTGTACCCCTGCTCTTGTATGCATAAATAAATCTTAAAAAAAAAAGAAAGAAAGAAAAACAGGGGATGAACACCAGCAGTGGATACCTCTGGGGATTGGGTCTATGGGTGATTTTTTATTCTCTGTTCTATAAAAAAGTTTACAAAAAAAACAAATCACCTTTGATGTAATAAAAAGGTTATTTTTTTTTTTTTTTTTGAAGAGTGGTACTAGGAGACCCTATGAAAGAGACGGTGGCAGGCAAGAGCAGGGCTGTCACATATGAGAGAGAGCTGGGGAAGGATGTAGGTGTCCACCTTGATGACCACCGGTCTCCAGAGTCTGGTCCTCAGCTGTAGGAAGTACTCCGTAAGCTGATCGCCTTTTGAGAACTGACACGAATGGACTCTCAAGAGGGAAGCATGCAGAGAACACACTAATTTTAGGTAGAAACTCCAATTGTCACACAGGGCTTGTATGTGTATGACTTGTGACCTGCACATCTCTGTGGCTGACCTATAAAGAGGATCAAACTATGATTGGGAAGTTTCTAGATGGGGTATGATTGACTATAATGCATCCAGAGGCCCACATCAGGTATAATTTGCCACAAAAACTAGCTAAGTTGAGTCCTTGGGTTATGGCACCCCTGTAACTGGGCAAAGTTAGGGTGTTAAATGCAAACTTTCTAGTTAGATAAGGCTTCCTTTGCTATGCTACAATCTGGCCATCTACCTTCAGCTACAGTTTTTTCCAGAAAAAGAATGACAAAGTGATTAGGTTTTAACATATTGAGTCAAATCACATCATTTCTACATCCACAAAGTGGGTACAGCAAATCACCTGGCCTGAAGTTTGCAGATCCATCAAACATTTAGGCAATTTCTTGGTTTATTCCCATCATCTTCTAATTTGGATGAATTCTACTTAAGAGTCTCAGAAGGCAATCTTACATTTCATTTCTACTTAGCACTGGAGCAGCCTCACCATCACCTTCATGCCTATAAAAAGTACAAGGGAAGAGCAGAGGAGAGTGGAGGATGAGCAGGTCATGTGGCTTAGGAAAAGTTTAGAGGTAAAAAATATAGAACTCAGTATTCGTAGAAACTGAGCACCTACTTCGACCACTCCCTGTGCAACGTACTCTACATGCATTATTCATAATAGAACAAGTACCTGGCGGTAATACTATTAATTCCATTTTACTGATGAGGGAACTGAGGGTTAGAGAAACAAGCAGCTTATCCTGGGTCAAAGCTTGCACAAATGAACATGACTAAGCAACAAGCATTGCATTAAAAGCTTGGGAAGACTGGAGAAATTTTGAAAGGAAGGAAAAATGTAAGAAACAGATAAAACAATGAGTTTTAATGAGAGCTTGTATGTAAACCATAGTTTGGGTGGTCTAAGTATGGGCTTCCTGGGATTTTGTGGAATCAGCCTGGAAAATTAACACCATACATTAACTTTCTTTGTATGGGGAAATAACTTCTGAATAAAACCACAACCACACCTGCCAAAGTCCTCTCTCTGCCGAGGACTTTCTGAAATAAGTCACAGGTTATAGCACCTAGGGCCCAGCAGCTGATCCTTCTGAACAACAACAACAACAACAAAAAAAAAAACTCATGTTTTGTTCCAAAATAACCAGCAACCCTGAGACAAGCGGCTGGTCATTTTCTCCCCATAGCTCCCTCCCCTTTTTCATCTGCCAAGGAAAAACAAAGAAGACAAACTGAAAACAATTAAAAGGATTTAAAAATTACTCTTTACTTTTATTACAATAAATATTTATCAATAATAGAATTAAACAATTTTAAATTAAAACCTACTGTATTACTTTTGGGTTTCACAGCAGCAGAAATAAACATAAATCCAGTTGAAAGGACAAGGCTTCCAGAATCCAGTGGCAAGAAACAGTCAGGTCTTGATTATCTGAGTTGGCAAAGGGGAACAGTAATACCAACGAGGCAAAAAGGGACAGTGGAATGCATAGTGTGCTCTATTTGCACATCAAACTGTCTACAACTTGACACATCCCAGTGAAGGAATTTAAGCAAGTTGTGAAGCCGGTTTCTGCAAGTCAGGTTGTTTCCTCTGCCCCACAAGGCTAGGAACACAACTGGCTCTCAGAGTTGCCTTCTGGCCAGAATGGGCCCCATCGTCCATTAGACCCAGAAACCTCAACCCTGGTGGAAGCAGCCATCTTTCTCAAAAGCTTAGTTTTTGGCTCACACAATCCCTGATAAAAGGGAAATAGAAAGTTACAGATTTCTTCAGGACTGAGATAAACTGGAAGTAGGAGAGAGAGTGGCACCAGCGGAGGAAGAGGTTTCAGAGTTAGGGGCTACATGCAGATTAAGTCAATATGAAGAAACAGTCTAATGAGGCCTTACCACTTTGCTGATAATCAAGAGTAGACTGCATGTATATATGAATATATCATACATATATATGCAAAGAGGATATATGTATACATATTAAAGATATATATATACACACACCACACAAAACCAGATTAAATAATACATTATTTACTATGATCTCAGCAAGTCCTAGACAGACCCAATTACTAGTATGTTCAATTAAGCTACTTGACAGGGAAAATAAGATTTTTGTGCTCCTCTTTTTCTTCCTCTCTAATATATTCTACTTTAGTAAACGTATTCCAGCTGCTCAAGTGGTGGTGTTTCTAGATACCTGAGAAGGGATGAAATCCTTTTGTTTCAGAATTCTAGAGCGAGCAAACTGCAACAGGGCCAAGCTGAACAACCCAATAACTGATCCGCCATGATTCCTGCCACCTATATTTAGTCTCAGGGCATTAAACTTCACTCAGAAAAGAATCAATTCTTTTTCTACAACTGGCTACAAATTTCATCTATTATGTTAGATGGGAGGGGGAGGGGAGAAAGTGGGCACAGGGAGTTTATACATCCAGCAATTATTTACTACCTTTCCCTTTACCCAGAGAAAGAACTATTTTTTAAAAATAGCTTGAAAAAAATTGAAATTTGGGGTTTAATACTGAATTTGGCTTTCTTGGCACATTCCAGAATGAGTAAGTCACTACATGTAGCTGGGTCTTTGTCTTCTGAATGGCTGCTCTAATGGGATCTAAATAAAACACATACAAATAAGTTAATATTACAGGTAGCCTTAGTAGTTATTAAATTCAAAGGCTGATAATTGAATGATATCAGTGATTCAAAGAAATTTATAATGCGGCACTCACAGATCTTGCAAAATTAAAAGACTCCTCCCATAACCTGCTTAGTAAGATCAAGTACTGACTAAGTGTGTTCCTGATCAAGAATTTACTCCTTAGAGATTAAAAAGTGCTTGTCAAGAAAATTAGAATCTAGAATTCATGGTAAATTATGTTTTAATGAAAAACTAAAATCGATTCTAATTTTGACTGTTACCCACAGAAATTGCTCAAGAGAAGAAATTAGACAAAGAGCCAGAAGGCACTGAGTGTGTCTCCAAAGCCATCTGATGTCAGTGTTGCAGGGATTCTATGTACAGTACACTTGATGTGCTTTAAAAACAGCATCACTCTGACTTAGCCCAGCTCTCAAATAATGAGTGTTACAAATAAGACAACATGAATGGGGCCTCCCTGGTGGTGCAAGGGCTTAAGCACCGCACTATGAAGCAATCCACACCCTCTGCAGCACAAGTTAGATCCCCGGCCAGGGAGCAACCCACATGGCGCAGCAGACCTCTCCTGTCTCACTGGCTGTACCCCTCCACAGTGTATTTCAGTCCATCTGCCTGTACTGTTCCCCACTCTGTCTCTGGTGGGTCCCCTCACCCCCCACATCACTGGCCTGTACCCCAGCTCTTATATGCATTAATAATCTTAAAAAAAAAAAAAAAGACAACATGAATGGCCTGTGGAAGAACAAACAGTGATTCTGCTATGTCCAAATGGACCTTCCTACAGAGTCAAGCCCTTGTTGAACTATTCTAAAATCACTTTCCAGTTCTGGGATCCCAGCCTTTTTGACCAAGTGTTTTATATCCACCTCTCTCTGGTCACCTGTGAGAGGGCTATAAATAACAGATCTTCTGCTACCCTAAATATTAACTCAGTTCGATTACTATCCCTTGCATATTTTCTATTAAATAGCAAAGCAAATTAACTAGCATGCAGTTTAAAAGGTTACATTTCTTTTATATTCCAGAAACACTGGAGATGACTTAGTCAATTAAACCACTTCCCATAGCTCCAAGTAAGGAAGAAGCAAACCTACTGCCCCTTTCTCTGGAAAACTTAGACAACTGTGATTTCCCAATACCCTAAAATAATTGCCCACCATTTGTACCACTGTCAAAGAGGAAAAGTAAAATATGCAAATCACATGGATTACATCATCAATAAAGGAAAATCAGAAATTTACTTGTTTCCTAAAATGTACAGAGCATCACTTTCAACATTCACAATGATGAACTTAATACCATTTTACTGTTAAAACTGTCACTTTAAATGCACATGTTAATGTGCTTCAAATGCAGCATACTAATTTAAATTCTTCCTGGAAGGTTCAAGTACTGGCAGTAAGTTCCTCACCCACAGGGTGTTCAGGAAAGGGCATGCTACCTTACAAAGATACCTCATAGGACAAAGAAAACTCTAGACTGATTTCACAAATTTCTTAGAGTACTTGGTCGAGTCTAGAACTGAGGTCAAGATAAAGGCTACTCTCATTCAACACAGGAATCAACACAAAGGTTTCTTTATCTGTCTTTGGCTTATGTGGGGACCCAAAGTCAGAAATTCTAGTCTACCCAGTTTTACCTTTGTTCTCTCTGGCATATTCCCAGTCCTGGACTAGGCAAGAGATCTGAGGCCATTGAGGTTATTCAAACGTGGAAATATCTAAGAGCCACAAAGCTAGGGGGCTAGCTCTGTCCTAGGTGGCGGCTAGTTAAAAGAAAACCCTGGTGAAGAGGAAAAGTTACAAAAAGGCTTCTAGTTGAAATATAAAGGGAAAAAGAAGACTTTAAGTCAAATACCTTCCAGTTATCTTTTCATTCTTATGTTATAGAATCAAAGTTTACTCTGGAAAGAAAAAGTATAATCCAAATACTTCTGACTGACTGTGAAATAAACTAATTCTTTGAAAAATGAACACTTAGACCTTCAAATTCACAGGACACTGAGTACTAAGGGGAGTGCCTCTTCCCTTTAAAGTGGATACTATGCCTATTTTTTTTTCTTTGCATACTCCCCATTGCCCAAGCTCTAGGCCATCATCAATACTCTTTTGGTATCTATTTAGAATGTGGGCAACTCTAGGCATCTACTCTTCCTCCCCATAACTATTACACTAAATGATTTGTCAGTAGTAGTACTAAAACATTCTAGACCATTATCAACAATTAATTTCTTTTTAAAATTAAAATTAAAAGTATTTTAATCATGATATTATTAAAATGTCAAGGAAAACTATCTCGTTTTTTAGTTGGAAGTTACTGTCTTAACCTGAAAACTAAAACCCATAGACTACACCTATTCTGCACTAGCGGAAGAATGACAATTCTAATTGTGATCATTTAAAACTGCAGTGCACTAAGAACATAATTATTATTATTAAAGAATCATAAAAGGCAGAATTTAACACACTCTATACAGGTATTTTTAGAGTTTTCTATCCCATGCTACCCTTGAATATAGGGAAATTATTTTCTGACAAGCAAGAAAGGACGTTTTTCATACCATAACCTGAAAAGAAGCTTCTCACAGGTCTAGGTAACTTTGGTCAGCAGAAACACAAAGCAAACCTCTGGCCTGACTAAGGCACGCTATTCTGAAATGTACAGAAAATATGTGTGCTGCTCCCCAAAACGCAGCTCAGTTTATGCAAGGAAAAAGGCTGGGGTGTGACCTCACCCCAAAACATCATGCATAAGCCTAAAATACCTTTTTTATTTTGGAAATATTATGGTAAGTGGCATGACATGAACCCACAGAGCTACTTGGAACCAAGTCCTGCTTCGGCTGCTTTATCCCCACACAACAAAGAGGGCTTTCACGATGCATTTGAGATGGCAGCCAACCCAGGAAACAGTGGGCAGTGCACTAACAGAGTCCAATAGTATTCAAAAACAGTTAATTGCTCAGTTTTACTTTTATCTGGTTTCATCTAATGATGTCAATAAAACTGAGTATGGCATAATTCTTTACCACCATAAGGAAATATGTTACAAAGCATAGGCACAAAACAATTTTCAAATAAACTTGATGCAACAGAGAGAGAACAGAAACACACTCTGAGGTAAAATAGCCCCAAAATTATAGGATGTGACAGTATGTCCCAAAAGGGTATTTTTTAACTATACTGTACAAGGTGAAGAAAGCCTGTGGTCCAAATTTGTCATTTTATAAATATTTATCAGTTATTTTCTTATATAATACAAATTAATCTCATTCTTGTATACAAGGTTGACAAAACAATAAAATAATTAGCTTAGAAATCTTAAAACAAAACTTTGCTCCCACCCAAATTAACATTTCATCCAGTTCAGTTTTACAAGTGATGCAGAACAAGGTATACAAAAAATAGTTACCATGACTTAGCTGGTTCATTCTCTGACTTCCATGATGGTAATTTATTAACAAACATGGAATGACCCATATTTTCCTCATATCAACTTCTCATCTATTTTCAGTGCTTATTTTTGCCTTAGAGAAAGTCACCAAACATACCTCAATCATACAAACAACTTTATAAAATGAGTATAGAACCGTAAGTCAGCTCCTGGATTCCTCATTCCTAGTAACATGAATGACAATGATTAGAATTTACAAATTTAAAAACTGAAGTTTCAATTACAGTTATTTTTACAAAGCAGCAAACTGAATGAAATTCAACAAAGAAATACATTATAATTAAATTTAACGGTTGTCACATTCATAGATAAATAATAGCTATGAATTTAATTACATATCAACACAGTGGTGCCTATTTTATCCAAGTGCAATCTGTCCAAAATAAAAGGGTTTAAGATACACTCTTCATTCAAGCACAAACTTCATTCAGTGGAAAATAAAGAGAATCAGCAAGTAAATTTCACCACCACCAAACTAAATGGAGACAAAGGAAAAAAAAGAAATAGAAATATCCGGTGAGATGTATAAAAACAATCACATGAAAGCCAAAGGGGTATTTGTCAGTAAACCTCAGATTTTACTCCAAGTTATCAAAGGGAGTACAGACTCAGTAAGGCATATGTAGCAAAAATGTTCTTCAAAGTGGGGAAGTGGACAAGCCAGGGAAAGAGAATTTCTCTCTACTTCTTTGTCCTATATAGAATAAAAAACATAGCATTCCCTCTTCCACAGAAAGAGATAAAGGGGGGAGAAGGGAGGAAGGAAGGAAGGATAAACTGAATTAGAAAACTAATTTTGTAGAGAGTTTCACAGTAGTAATTCCATAACAAGGTTCATGAAATTCCTAACTCCCAAGTGAATTAGTCTTTAAGGAGGTTTATCTGCATTCTTCACAAGTAACTATTAAAGAATTGGGACTATTACACGCATTCATATAATCGTAGTTCACAGGCACCAAATCTTAACAACTTGCATCTGAGAGGGAAAAAAAATGCCACATTAAAACAATGAAACAGGCCAACAGGTAAGCTACAATTACAATCCATTCTCTACTAATTCTCAATATAATGTTTCCTTTAAAAGAAAATTAAACGATTTATCAAGATCTGTTCCATAACAGAGAGAGCCAGAATACTAGAGAATCTAAATATATATATATATTAGCTCTCTTAGTATGTGAAGACAAAAGGCATTTCCATGGGAAAGAGAAACCAGTATTTGGCAACTGTTTATTGTTCTATGATCATTTGGCATCTCTTGCTGAAGGTGACTTGCTCTTACCGCTTCCCTAGATTATATATGGGCTACAGAGCGCTTCCACAGCTAAAGACCTACTACTAAGTACCTGATATGAAAACTTATTGCAGTTTCTAAATGTTATCAGCGTTCACAAACCAATTTTGGGGTTTTAAAAACAAAAACAAGGTGTCTTTAACTCTGTATGAACCAAAATATTATGGACGCATGAAGCTAAAATCACTAGAACCTTTATCTGGTCCACATTATGCTTAACTAAAATGTCACAAAGTCTTATAAAAATTAAAATAAAATAGACTGGAGTTAGTAGGTCCAAAATTCCCCAAGTTCAGATCAAAAGTATCATCCTTGCTGTCCGAGTACCACATACACTGAGTTCCCATGTCTGTCAAGCAGATCAGTTTAGTTCAATGGTGATGGATGAAATATTTACAAGCATCTTATTTACAGTACTTCTTTCTGCAGATTACATGCCGATATTCTTTTCTTCCATTCCTAGTCAATCTGAGTTAGGCTTCCTCAATGAGAAGGGGTAAATCTGAAAATGGTTGCTAAGCTGTTTTACCTGTAAAAAAACAGAACATGAGAAAACAATAAATATGCATCTTAAAAAAAAAAAAAAACAGCACACAGTTCACTCTCTGGAGACAATTTACATGCATGCAAAAAATCATCAGAAATAATAAAGATGTTTTTCTGAATTAGGGTAGCTGGAGAGCTAGATGGCTAAAAGGGAACACTAGACCTATGCAAGGAGAGTCAGGACTTAAAACTGGGTCTGCGGGCCTCCCTGGTGGCGCAAGGGGTTAAGCACCGCACTATGAAGTAATTTGCAGCCTCTGAAGCAAAAGATCGATCCCCGGCTGGCCAGGGAGCAACCCACATGGCGCAGCAGACCTCTCCTGACTTGCCCACTGCTCCCCTCAGCAGTATACTTTGGTCAATCTGCCTGTTCTGTTTCCCACCCTGTTTCTAGTGAATCCTCTCATCCCTCCTGTAATCCCCCACATCTCTGGCCTGTACCCCAGCTCTTGTATGCATAAATAAATCTTAAAAAAACAAAACAAAATTGGGTCTGCCTAACTCAAAACCTAGTCTGGCCAGAGACCTCCAGGCCATGCAGATTTACATATGAAATCTGAAAGATTTAGGGTAAAGTTGACTTATAATATCTAATAAATCAAATATATATAGAGAGAGTTACTCAACATTCAACTCTTTGTAAAGATTTATTTTAAGTATGCATATAAGAGTTGGGTGTAGGCCAGAGGTGCTTGGGGTGAGAGGATTCACCAGAGACAGAGTGGGAGCAAAACAGGCAGATCTACTGAAATACCCGGCTGAGGGGAACAGCGGGCGAGACAGGAAAGGTCTGCTGCGCCACATGGGTTAGCTCCCTGGCCAGGGATGGAACTCATGCTACAGTGGCTGGGAATAGCTTGAATCTTTAACCCCTGCGCCACCAGGGAGGCCCCTCAAGTGATTTTTTTTCCTCAGTGGCTTAGCAAGTTTTACCTTTTGATCAAAAATTGTAGAAGTGGTAAGAGCACAAAGAGGAAAATAATGATCCTGGAATTTTTTCCATTTAAGTTGAATTTATTTTTCAAATGTTTAACAATGAAAATATCATGCCTTTTAATTACAGAAAAACATGTTTTGATTTGGTATATGTATAGTTTTCTAAAGGTATGCATCTGAATGATTATATTAAATTAAAACAATATGAAAGATGCTGCCAACTGCTATTTTATGCATAGGACTGGTAAAGTATCAGGGCAAAGGCCTAACAGTTGCTATAAAGCATATATCTGCATTTTACTTGTACAAATAACAACAAATGCATCATGTCACAGTTCATAGACTTAAAATGTTTTATTTTTTTTAAACAAAAATTTCATCTATTTTGTTTCAACAAATGTGTGTACTCTGAGGAGGAACACCATGGGAAGAAACCTAAGTTCTGTAACATACGCAAAGTATAAGCTTGTCACCAGCAGAACAGATGCTCCTATTTTAAAAGCACAGAAAACAACATAAAAGACAGCTTATTTATCAAATGATCACAACAGGGTTTCCTTTCAAAATAAGCATACCAAATAGAAGTATTTAAAGAATTTTTAAAATGTGAATACCTCTTTCCATAACAGCATTGCTATGATATTATCCCTAGATAATAAAGCAGTAAAAGAAAAAAAATAGTAGGGCCTCCCCGGTGGCACAACGGGGTTGAGCGCAGCGCTGTGAAGCTGTCCACAGCCTCTGCAGCGTGGGTTCCTAGCCGGACATGGAGATTCCCACATGGCGCGGCAGACCTCTCCTATTACACCCGCTGCTCCCCTCAGCAGTGTTTTTCGGTCGTCTGCCTGTTCTGCTCCCCACTCTGTCTGTGGTGGATCCTCTCACCCTCACACAGCTCTGGCCTGTACCCCAGCTCTTGCATTAAAAAAATAAATAAATCTTAAAAAAAAAAAAAAAAGATTCCAAATTTTTCACTTCAACATTATTTCTAATGGTGAAAAATTGAAAACAACCTAAATGATCAACCTATCTGGGTCATGATGAACTAAATCTGGCAATTGTTAAGTGTGGGTGTAGCATATAAAGCTCCTTTCAAGAGCAGGACTTTTATAGGCCTGGGGCAATAGGTATAAATCACGAGGCATGACAGGGAAGGGGGGTGTTGAAGGATGTACTTTGTGCCCCAGGGACTGATAAGTGGAAGGCCTTGTTATTAAGACTGGAGCCATGGGTGGGGGTCAAGAGTATATCAGCAGACTCACCCTCCCTATAGGCCTATATCCAGTGTTCAGTTTGACCAACCTTTTCTCTGTCAATAAAAAGTCTAGGACCTTGCTCTTGAGCAGCGTCCGTATCCTACAGCCTGCACCACGACTCCTGTTTCTTTTCTTTATTAGTGCAGTGCTGCCGATGCAACAATTAAGTAATCTCTCCACTATGGAATATTATAAAGCAATTAAAAAAACCATAACTATGAGACCATGTTAAAATTCACAAAATAATTAGATAAGAATGCTAAGTATGAAAAAAAATGTGCATGATTATGATTTTGATTTGATCTCTTAGTCCATGTGTTCTAAAACCAGTCTTTTATTTTAAAATATAATATTAAAGTTTACAAAGTACTTCTTTAATTCATCCTCTTCAATATTTCCTTATTTCCTATTTCTCCTGATGAGAATTTAGGGATAACACAGATGAAGTAAAAACCTCAAATAGTGCAAAGGTCTTTCTTTACTCTGAAGTTTTAAACTTTCTTTCCCACAATGCTTGGGCAGAGGGAGAGATGGTGGCAAGGAGTACTACAAAACCCACTGAGTTCTTTTCCAAATTATGTTAATGAGCAATAAAAATGGCCCTAAAGCTAAAGAAGTATAGGAATGAGATTACGTGGTCCCATATAATTAAAAGAAGAAGAGTTTCTAATTCTATTCACTGAGAAAATCATTTACATTTTTTTTTTAAAGATTTATTTATTTATTTATGCATGCATGCAAGCACTGGGTACAGTCAGAAGCGCGGGAAGGTGACAGAATTCACCAGAGCCAGAGCAGGGAGCAGAACAAGGAGACTGACGAAGTACACTGATGAGGGGAGCAGAGGGCGCGGCAGGAAAGGTCTGTGAGCCATGTGGGACCCTCGCCGGCGGCCGGGGATCGAATTGGCGCTGCAGAAGCTGTGGGCAGCTTCGCAGCTTAGCACTCAACCGCTGAGCCACTGGGGAGGCCCACATTTCTACCCATTCAAAAATAAGAAATTTCTCATACCAATTATTTATAATTACACATTCATAAGAGAAATAATATCTGAAATTACACACCTGAGTATTATCCAAAATTTAGAGACTATCCCAAAATTTTCCAGCTACAATAATAAGTGCAACTTTCTTTGAAATGTTCCCTCCATTTTACTATTTATAAAAACCAAATGGAATCAGTTTTGTTCAAGGTTACTCACCACTCGCACTCCGTAATGGATGTGAGCCAGAGTGAACACAGTTGTTACCACGTACAGGAGAACACTCTCAACGTAAGCAGTTACTCCAAAATTTACCACCATAACCACTAAGAAGAGAGGAAGAAGCAGCAGCCAATTCAAAGTTGGGCACCGGGTACTGCTCATTTGACAAACAATCAGGTGACACTTGAAGTTAGTAAAAAAGAAGAAAAACAAGAATGAGTGAACATTTAATTAGCAAAGCCCTTCAAAAACCAGTCACATCAACATTTAAAAAAACAGTCAAATACTAAGCCAACCAATGTTACATTATTAACATTCTCAACTGCTCAGAAGCTCCACAGGACTGCCGGCCCCACCTCAAAAACCATGGACCCTCAGAGAGCATAGAAGCAGCTAGAAGATAGTTTAGTAAGGATGGTATAGAAAACACTGTTTGATGGGTAATGATTTGAATAAAAGAAAGTTTAAGATTCTCTGATATCTGAGGGGGAAAAATCAAAACAGTCTCACACACCCCACACAAGCAAATTCCTTCATGGCAGTAAGGAGACGCTACCTCCAATTCATCCAGGCTGCCACCGTAACACCTCAGAACCCCTTGGGAAAGTTTCCTTTACTTTCAAACCCTTCCTCACATACAGTTTTACTCTTTCAGAGACTTTTTATACAATGCATTAGTTTTTCAAATCTTTAAACCCTGTGAAATCAGTAGTACTAAGGATATTAAAAACATTGTACAGACCTGAAAACATAAACTGTGGTTAAGTTATAAAATGAAAACTTACTAAGGACCTGCCTGAGTCAGAGCACAGGCTTGCTGGCTGTCAAGACGGTCAAGGTGTCTTTTCAACTCCTTCTGACCGCTCCTCCCTGTCTGCTGCCTCTTGGGTCATAGCAGAGAAAAGGACTTTTTAAAATATGTCTTATTCATTACTAAGTTCATTTCATGTTCTTTTTTTTTTTTTTTTTTTTTTTTAAAGATTTATTTATTTATTTCTACAAGAACCAGGGTACAGGCCAGATGCGCGGGAGGGTGAGAGGATCCACCAGAGACAGAGTGGGTAACAGAACAGGCAGATGACCGAAATACACTGCTGAGGGGAGCAGCGGGCGCAACAGGAGAGGTCTGCTTGCCATGTGGGACCCTCACCCGCCGGCCGGGATGGAACCGGCACTGTAGAGGCTGTGGACAGCTTCACAGCGCTGCGCTCAACCGCCTGTGCAACCAGGGGAAGCACGATTTCATGTTCTTAACTTAAAAATCAGTTGACTTTTAAAAATGTTTCATGTGCATGTGTTTTCTTTCTCCTCAAAAATCCCTCTAGAAGCTCCTTAAACTAATCATTGGGTCTGTGGCCCAGTCAACCACACTGTTAATAATATTTAGAGTCTGACGGCAATCTACAAATTATTACATGACTTCCTCAGCAGGCAGCCAAACCAAAGTGCCTTAAGTGGTTCCATAATCACTTACAGTTCCATAACACTACTGGAGTCTCCAATACTCAAAGTTCCTCAATTTATGTCACATACTCCTTATCCATAATATGATTTTTTTAAAAGAGAAAAATCTTACTGTGCTGTTGGCAAAGGCTGTTCCAACCATTAAGTAGAACACTCTAGGATGTATCTCTAAAATATCTGAAGGTGACCGGAGGATCCACACTGTAGACAAAATGAATAGCAAACATGGAGAAAAGAGGGGAACCATAGCTTCATAGACTGAATTGTGTTTCAAGGTGTTATTTTTATAGCTTCTGGAAAAAAAAAAATCAAGCAATACAAAGATTATTATTACATATAACACATACATTATACTTGTAGTTTGTAGTTTTCAAAGTACTTTCACACTTGTACTCACAATAACCCTAGAGTATAGATGAAACCAACTTCATGAAACCTTTTTCCCAGACAGGTTAAATGAGGATATGAGTATTTAAATTTTGCTACAGAGTGGCAGGTGAGAACTAGCTCTTAAGTCCTATCCCACTGCTTTCCCTTAAATCAAACCAACAACCATTGTGTTAGGAATGTAAAGATAAATAAAATTCAAGTCTTTGTTCTCCGATTATATATTAACCAGGAGAATAAAATGAACACAAAACAGTATTAGAAGAGTATTTCACGGTGCTACTATGATACAAACTGACACAGAACTACTGAGAAAAGAAAACTCAGATGCACACTCTGAAGTGAGAATGTGGACAGTGTATCTTAGTGACCCTAGGCACATGAGGTGGGGGGGGGGGGAGGGTGGCTGGGGCGGGGGTAATCCAAAATATGTTTGCTCAACTGCACAAAGCCCCAGTGTTAGTCTTGGCTCTGCCTTGAGCAAGATGCTGCCCAATCAGGATTTCATATCTAGAAGGAAGAAACAATCCAATCTCTAAGGTACTTTAAATTCTAGGGTTTCTATGAATGATTGCTGGTTGCCATAGTGGGGAAGATCTGAGAGGTGAAGGCTGAAGTGGGTTTGAGAGCTGAAAGATCAAGTGCAAAGTACAAACAAGTATTTCAAGTAGAGGAAAAACGGTGAGAGCAAAATTACTGAGTTTGGAAAGAACATATATTCAGGTTACAATAAGTCAATTCAGTGTGGCTGCAGAGATGGAGAAGTGTACAGATGAGAGAAACCGGAGCAACTCCCCTCCCCACCCTCATCCTACTTGCATGCAGAAATTTCTACTCTGCTATTTGAAGAATGGGTCTAGGGTGTGACCCTACACTACACAAGTTCAGGGATTTTATGATTACTACTAAACTTAATGATGACCAATTCATAAAACATGTCAACATAAATATAAACATGTCAACATACAAGGGAATATACTCCCTCCTGGAGATTGGATTTACTGACAAAAAATGGAAAATTAGAAGGCCAACCAGGCCAAAACTGTAACTAAAGAGCTAGTAGCTTTGTGCTATGGTCAAACTGACTGCACAACCCATCAGAGACGCCCTAAATTATCCTAACCTCATTCTAGATTCCCATTACATGTTTCATGACCTTTTGAAAAGTCCAGATTCAAAAGGAAAATAGGTCCTAAAATATTTCTAACATGACCATTTCTACAGATGTTCACATTTCTAGGCCAATTAAAAAATAAAATACTTACCTGAAAAAATTTGATAAGCTCATTGGAAGAGTCACACATAATGCACAACCTAAAAGAAAGAAAATTTAAATTATTATGAATTATTATTTAAATGATTTTTACAATAACTGAATACACACAAAATATGTAATATTTTTAGACCTAAGAACTTTCAGGTTCAGATTTACTTCAATAATGAAATTCAGTACATTTCTGAACAACATTTACAACCACAAGAGTTTGTGATTCAGAGCAGAGACTCAAAGGGCCAGACTGGGCTTGAATCTCAGTTGTGCCACCAACTGGTTATATGACTTCAGAGGAGTTAACCTGTTGGTGCCTCAGTTTCCTTTGTTATAAAATAGAGATAAAAGTAGTATTAAGCCCAAGGTTTTGAGAATTAAATTAATTTTTTACACATAAGTCCCCAGGAACAGTACCTGGTATATAATAAACAACATAGTAAATGTAAGTTATTGGAATAGGGACAATTAATGGATCCTGTTTATACTTGCTTTTACTGCTCCAGCATTTCAACTTCTACCCACCCACCCATACACTAGTTCTTTCCCCTATAACCTAAAAACAAGGATGGTCAGTCATTCCAAGAAACGTTATTATAACCTCTGCTGCCCTCACTATCTACTGTCTTACTCTCCTATCACTCCCAAACTTTTCTACTGCCCCCTCATTCATCACTCTTCTATTCATTCTGCCCCCAGTATGCAGAAATCGTATTCTTTAAATTTACCAGCCTTTTTTAGTCATCAAATTAAATATCCTTCCATCAGCCCTGATTTCTAAGTAAGATAACTCCACTGACTACCACTAAAAGCAAATTCTTTCCTCCTTCTGCTTTTGTGATTCCATTTTTCTGATGTCCCTGCTAGCCATCCAGCCATTACATTTTGTGTCCTTAAAGCTTCTACACTCTACACTGCATATTCCTGACCAGGCATTCAACTCTGCTTCTCTGCTCCCTCAGAGAATCTTCTTTACAGTTTTCACTACAAACTTCCTCCAGATGACTCCAACATTGGGTTATGTACTCTTGGACAAATCAGACAATCTCTCTGAGCCTCATTTCACAGTTGTACAATGAGGATGGGTGAACTGATTTTCTAGTGTCCCTTGCATCGTTAAATTCTTTGATTTTATGGTCTACAGAGATGTAAATTCCTGATCTAAATGCCAATATAACACCCATACGAACTTTATGAACTTCATTTGGATAGTTCATTAACATTCAACATATTAGCCCTAATTTGTCCACTCCAGATACCAAAGACTACATTTGACTACATTTGGGGTGATGGGAGGTGTTAATGCAGTTATGATTCTAGGGATCAAATTTAGAAATTCAAAACAATTTCTAAGACATTCTGCCACAGATAAAAAGACTGGAATCCACCAATAGAAATCTCACCTCAAAAGATGTATTACTCTGCTACCTCCAAGTCCAATGGGAACAAAGTTCCCCAAGTTAGAAGATATTAGAGGAAAAGGAAGGAGAAGATAAGCTTGTGTTCTCAGTAATTTTAGCAGCTGGGAACATTGGGGAATATTGGAGAGGAACCAGGGCCAAATGAATTAGCCCAGAATCACCTGTAGGTCTAGGATGTTGGCAACAGATTAAGAGAAACTTGCAAAAGAATTGCTGTACCAGGAGTATTCTCAGTTTAAAATATTGGGTAATAGTTTTATCTTAAATATAGCAAGTATATAGAATGCCTGGCTCACATTTCCAGGCTTACTTATTAAATAGAAACTTCAATTAGAACCATCAAGTCAAAAAGTACTTTTTTACAAAAAGTAAAAAGAGATAAAAAGGAGGAAATTTTGATTTACATCAAAACATAGGATTAATACACCTAATATATGAAAAGCTTCTAAAAATAAAGGAAATGGTAAGCATCTTACAGCAAAAACTGACTGGAGATTTAAAAAGTATGCAGAAAAAATACAAATGACTCTTAAATACTATAAAAGCTCATTTGTAATAAGAGAAATGCAAATTAAAACTATACAGATACATCATTTTTTACCTATCATACTGAAAAAAATCTGAAAGTTTGACAATATACCATGCTGGTAAAATTTTAAATAAATGAGCACTTTCACACATGGGTGATAGAAATTCAAAAACCAAATAATCTAGATGAAAGGGAACATGGGGATGTCTAATGAAATTGTGTAATTTGTCCTTTACCAGCAATTCTACTTCTAGGGATCTTATCCAAAATGCCCTGGGCAAAAAAATGAAAAGACATATATATGTATTATCACTGCAGCAATTTTTATAATAGCAAAAGACTGGAAATAACTCCAAAGTCTACCAGTAGGAGGCTGGCTGAATAAACTGTGGTACATCCACACAATGAAGCACCAAGCAGCTCTACAAAGGAATGAGGAAGATCCTTCTCTATCACTGTGCAGTGATCTCTAGGATATATTATCAGAGGGGGCGAAGGGGCTGTTGCAAAGTATATACAGTATACCACCATTTGATAAAATAACACACACACACACACACACATACACACACACACATTTACTTATATTAAGAAACAATAAAAAGGGCCTCCCCGGTGGCGCAGCGGTTGAGCGCTGGGTTGCGAAGCTGCCCGCGGCCTCTGCGGCGCCAGTTCGATCCCCGGCTGCTCCCGGCCACCGGAGGAGGGTCCCACATGGCGCGCAGACCTCCCCTGCCGCCCGCTGCTCCCCTCAGCAGTGTCCTTCGGTCCTTCTGCCTGCTCTGCTCCCCGCTCTGGCTCTGGTGAATTCTCTCACCCTCCCGTGCTTCTGACTGTACCCAGTGCATGTGTAACAGAACAAACAAATAAATAAATAAACATGCCTCTATTAAAAAAAAAAAAAAAAAAATTAAAAAAAAAAAAAAAAAGAAACAATAAAAAGATAAACCAAAGATTTTAAAATCTAAGAATGATTAGGAGGAAAAAGATTAGGGAAGTGATAGCAGCTAGATTTCTTTCAAAACACCTTGTTTCATACATAGATTTGACTTTGTAACCATGTAGATATTTTACATACTTAGAAAGGAAATATAAACTTTAAAAGAAAAAATAATCCCTAAAAATCAAAAGTAAAATGAAACAAGCTTAAATGTACATATCCACGGTTGATAGGAAAACCACAGTCAGAACTTTAAAATATCAAAATCTGACTCGGTTTCTCCAGTGGAATAAACCACAAAGACAAATGGGAACTGAAAAAAATCTTAAAACTATTTTCAACAATCCTATTATTAATTGTGGTACTGTATCCTGCAACTGTTGTTTTATGGAATAAAACAAATAACTATGTTGTATCAGTGAAAACAAAGATTTGCAAAGGACATGCAAATGTATGATCAATGAAGTTGAATAAAAATTCTGTATTACTGAATTTGGTTTCAAATTATTAGTATAAATTTATGAGGTATTTTATCGAAAAACTTTATTAACCTAGCTATTCACCAAATAGATTCCTAAGCAATGTTCATCAATGTCAATTAATACCATTAGGGGACGAGCTAATGCAGAACTTTGTACTTGATGGAACAGACATGCAATACTAAACCCTCTGATCAGCATTAACATCACCAGAGACAACTAGATAATGTGTGACTCCTAAGGATGCAATGTGCTACACATTGTGTATCTGTGTATCTCTCAAACTTGTATCTAAATCTATTCCTCCATTGTTAGTTCACAGAAAAAATAAGAGGAATAGGAACATGTTAAGTGATATGACGAGAACTCAATCAGCACAAAGTAGAATTCAAGAGTTCTGTTGGTCAAAGGACTCACTTTCTTCAACAAATAAATTGCAAAGCAAAAGAGGGTAAACTTACAAAGATTGAAAAAGACTAAAAAAAACCTATCAACCAAGTACAAGGTATCTGCTCTACTTGGTGACTCCTATAACAGACTGATTATAAAAGAACATTTGAGACTACTATGGAAATCTAAACACTAGATACTTGAGGTTATTAAAGAATCACTGTTACCTTATTTGGTGTGGTAATAGTATTATAAATACATTTTCAAAACAGGAATCCATATCATATAGAGATATAGTGAAGTATTTACATATGAAATGAAATATGTCTGGGATTTGCTTAATATAGTCCAAAGGGAGAAGGATGTCTGATAATAGTGGCATAAAGAAGTAGGGTGAGTACTCTCACAAAACATTAAAAACCATGTAAAAATATTAAAAATAACTACATGAAAACACTAGAAAATAATCAAAGGTAGGCAGAGGGGTTCCTAGAGTGTGTATGGTTTAAAGCCACAGAAAAAGGCCCACAATACTCCTTTTCTGAAAGTCAGTGCCAAATGTACCATCTTCTCAAGAGCATCCAGGCCTTACCTAATTCCCAATCCATAATCTAAGTGCACCAATAAGAAGAGACAGAGTTAGCCAAAGGAACAGAGCAGTAGCCGAAAAGTATGCTGTTTTCCTTCTACAAAGATGCTTATGACACTGGGCAGCACCAGGTGCCTCTTCTTTGCCTCTTCCTATAGCACTCTCTCTCCCCTACTCAGTCAATCGTCCTGCAGATATGCCCTTTGGATACAATTAAAAGGGAAACATTACCATGATGAAAAATTACCAAGCTGGGCCCCCCCTGGTGGCGCAGCGGTTGAGCGCTGGGCTGTGAAGCTGCCTGCAGCCTCTGTAGCACCAGATCGATCCCCGGCCACCTGCGAGGGTCCCACATGGTGAGACAGACCTCTCCTGCTGCGCCCACTGCTCCCCTCAGCAGTGTATTTCATCAGTCTGCCTGTTATGTTCCCCGCTCTGGCTCTGGTGAATTCTCTCACCCTCCCATGCTTCTGACTGTACCCAGTGCTTGTATGAATAAATAAATAAATATTTGAAAAAAAAAAAAAACAAATTACCAAGCACTCAGTGGCTTACAAGGGTCTGAGAGGATGAGAGGCACAATGTTCAGGGTAGATGTATTTATAAAGTAATCTCTACATTTCATCAATTCTATTGCCTACAAACTAACAATCTTCAACTCTGAGACAAGTATTAAATTTACTACATCCAGTGTCCCCCTAAATGTGGACCCTGTGATTCAAGCTGGACTAATCTGAATCATTTACCAGTTTTATATGATCTATTTTGATATCTCCCTGTCATTCAAAATAGCTTGGTACTGAACAATGAGAGCAAAACAAAGGAATCTTATGGTCCCTTAATGGCTTGTTTGAAATCCTGATGGGCATCAAGGAAAGGGGTAAGGGTGCTGTTGCTTGTCATAATCAAATACTGGCTTTGATAAAAAAATGTTGTTAAAACAGTCTTCAACATGGTGCTTCTTACCAATAATCATTGTAGTGAATAGGTCTCTATATAAGAAATTAAACAGGAAAGGTTCATACCAGGCCTCAACTCCCACAATCGCAGTCACTATGTAGACAAAAGAAATAGTCTGGAAGGCAAATGCAGACAATGCATACAGAGACATTAATAGTTGGAAAGATCAGAAGGTCAATAATGCAGTGTAAGTCTAGTTAAACAGTTTTAGTAAAAGCAGTTTTGCAATATGCTTAAATTTAATATGAAGGCAAGACTTCCTGCCTTTAAAAATATTTTTTTCCAGCCAACAATGCCATAAAACAGCTAACTTCTAGACAATGCAAGCAACTGGTCCTCATTTGGAACACTTTAAGGTACTTTATAAGTTGATAAAGTCTTAAGATGATCCAATTTGCCTACCCAATCACTTTCATCAACCACATTCCCATTTCTGATTTTTATTGGGGCCTTAGATACAAATGGGGGAAAAGACAACATAAAAAGTTGGGATTTAAAAGCAGAGAAAGTTAATAGCAAGTCTAAGTAAGAAAGCAAATCTCTACTCACTGAAACATTGCCAATGAAGAACAAATAAAGCCAAAAATTTAATGATAGGTGCACACCTTTCCTTACAAAAATCAATAGTTCAAATGACTGAACATTTATTAACATTAAGAAACTTCTTTATTGGTGTAATAGTGGCATAGTGATTGTGTTTTTTAAAAGGAGCTCTTACCATGTAGAGCTATACAGTAAAATGCTTATCACACAATGCCAGGAATTTCCTTTAAAATGATTGGGGGAGGCTGTGGGTGACAAAGGCACACACGATAAGTAGATAAGTCATGCGTCGGTAATTGCCGAAGCTAAGTAATAGGGACATAAAGGGTTCATTACTCTATTCTCTCTACTTTTATATGTGCTTGACATTTTTTCATAAATGAGTAAAAAAAAAAATGAAAAAGAAATTATTTTAAAAGCACACATCAGTTTTAACCAAAAAAGCATTAAAGGCGATAAAGACAGACAAAAACTCTCCCCAAATTCATGACAATGTTGAAAATTTGAGGCAAAACATATACTTACCACCTGGCTAATATCATATCCCCATGGCAGGAAAAGAATTCCTGTGTTATACTTTTCCCAGTGGGATAGGATGAAAGAAAACAAAACTACCCACAGCAGGATATAAAGAACAAAAACACTGACACCAGACGGTCCTCGTCCAAAGATGGAATACACAGTTACAACAAAGTACACACATGACCAGCTATCCAGGCCATGGTCAAAAAGCTCCCCTAAGGGGGTGCTGGAATTCGTTCTGCGGGCTTGCTTTCCATCCACACCATCTGCAAGAAAAACACATCACCACAGGAAAGGTCAACATCTGCACTAGTATGGAGAAAGTCTCCTTTCATAAACTGGAGAAAACAGCTCATGTTACAGGAATGTGAATTAACAAAAATATTCAGTAGTTGTTCATTTAACCACTCCTTGGTCTGGGATCCAAAAACACTCTGTACTGCCACCATAGCAACTATTTCATCTTGTTTCATGCTATAGTCACTTCTTTACAGATCTACCACCTCTATAGTTTTAGACGTTTTCAGACAAGGCTTTGCACATAGTAGGTATTCCATAAATATAATTAAAAGTTATTCAAATAGAACGAAAAGTTATTCAAACAGTGCACTGCATAATTCTTCTTGTAGTGAAGATTACAAGAAAGAAGACAAAAGGTGATAATGACGGCTATAATGTCTCAGACACCACAGAAGAGTACAGAAAGGGGGCAGATCTTCTTCAGAGTAAGAGTCTAGCATGGCCTTCCAGACAAGATGAAATCTAAGTAGGGTCGTAATGCATGACTGGAGTCCAGTGGGTGAGAGAGAAAGGTATGCCATTTCAAGGAGGGAGCACTATCGGCAGAAACCCTGAGATGGGAAAGCACACCCGTGTCCAGAGAAGGCCCATAGTCATGAAACTGCTAGAATCTAGTGCTTAACAAGGGCAATACAAAGAGACTGACAGGGAGGTTTGAATCAGTTTAATAAAAGTTTTAGGGGGTGTGAGCAGCTCCCAAAAGTATCTAAGTGGGGCACGACAGGAGTGCAAGCAAGGCAGTGCTTCGGGAAGATCCACCTGGACGATGGGGTAGGGAGCAACACTGATTAGAGGAAGTCAGACTGAGCCGGAAATGCAGCAGGAGTGAAAAGGTGGAGGCAAATGAGAGAGTAAGTAAATAAAAATGGTAATGCAGCAAAGGATGAGACGTGAAGCCAAGGGACAAGAAAGTCATCTCTGGGGCCTCCACGGAGGCGCAGCGGGTTAAGCACAGAGCTGTGAAGCTGTCCATAGCCTCTGCAGCGCGGCTTCGATTCCCGGCCCACCAGGGAGATTCCCAAATGGTGCAGCAGACCGCTCCTGTCGCGCCCGCTGCTCCCCTCAGCAGTGTATTTCAGTCATCTGCCTGTTCTGTTCCCCACTCTGTCTCTGGTGAATCCTCTCACCCTTCCATGCCTCTGGCCTGTACCCCAGCTCTTGTATAACAATAAATAAATCTTGGGGGGGGGGAATAACATTAAAAAAAAAAAAAAAGGTCATCTCTGAAGTCTCCAGACTGCATAACCAAGACAGTAGTGGTGCTAACAGAAAAAGGAAAAGTCAGAAGAAGCAAAACAGAAAATATGCTGAGCATAATTTCAGAAGCTAAAATGGAAGTGTTGACAGGATATTCACATGGTAATATCAAATAAACTAAGGGTACTTACCGGCAACTCAGAAGATAAGTAAAGGCTAGGTAAAAACACGGAAATCATCTCAATAGTGTTAAGAATCAAGAAAATCAAGGTAATGGGGAAAAGGAAAAAGCTAAGGGTAAAGTCCAGTGCAGCACCTTCATTTAGAGGCAGAAACAGAGAAGCCAGGGAGGGAGGGAGATAGTAAAACCAAGTTAAAAAGCAGAGTTTGAATTATAAAAACTTCTCCACACATAAGTCTTGTTAACTAGGTGTATCAAAATTAGGTTAACTATAAAGATTCAGATATGGGAATTAAAAGCCCCTTATAATTACTGTGTTTACCTGCTCACTATAGTACTATCGCCAAGCTCAGTATGCGGCCAAAAGGGCCTTTAAAAATATAAGTATTATTAAAACATATTAGTATATTAAATATACTAATATATATTAATATATTAAAAATAGACTATTACAAAACGAAGAATCCAAACTCCTGCCCAAATACTTCAGAGTCTGCTATATAGCTTGAAAACTTTTCTTCCTTTAAGTAACTAAAGTATTTCCTAAAAGTCTTTCTCTCACTATAGCTAGCTTAATTGACTACTTTCAGGACAACAGTTATTACAGATACTGAATTCATGAATTACTTATTAATTTTTGTACATGTTCTCACTGAACCCATTCTAGCTGTACAAGTCTCGGGTCTCAGTAAGTTTTCAGAAAAAGAATTTTAAGAAAGGGAACTCAAGGCATATTCTAAATATTCTCAGCACTCCAGAAGGGCCTAGAGTGGCACCCTATAATCAAGCACATTAACATTTGTGCAGCAAAATGTAAGAATAGTCACATTAGTAGAAGGTTCTTCGGCCTTGCTGCTTAAAGTCAGTGTTCGAGGACCACCCTCACCTTTTCTCTATTCCTCCCACAGTTCTTGGCAACCAAATCCTGTAACAGGATTTTAAAACCTGCTTATTTTTCATAACAACGGCACAAAAGGCTTTACCTAAATATGTAACTTTATACTAAGCTTCTCCCTAATTCTTCTAAACTTTACTCTCTTTCTTCCCCAAACTCCTGCAGTTCTACACATCTGCCATGTCAGCATTTACTCATGTGCTGGATTATACTGGTTTTATGAATGTAAGTCATTTTCATCTGAAGAGATCCATGCACCTTTCAGTCAGGGTCTATTATTTCACCTTCACTTAAAAACTGCGCACTACCTACCTCTCATGTTATGCACTATTCGAGATGCTACACAAGTGAACAAAACAGATTACTCGCTGCCTAAGAACTTAGATTTGAGAGCAGACAGACAATAAGTAAATTAAGTAATACATAAGGGGTCATGTGGTTTAAGTGTTATGGAGAAAGATAAAAGGACAGGAGAAAAGGAGAATGCAGAACAAAGCATGTAAGTAATCCCCCCAAAAACACTGCTGGCAGAACACACAGCTCAGCCTAGCACAGATGCCCTGAAGTTCACTGCCTCACAAATCAGAATTACTCAATTCCTTATTTGTTCTCCCACTGCACTCTATTATAAACTCTCTCTCAGTATTTGCGATTGTTTGATATGTCAATATTCTCAAACAAGGCAAAAATGATGTCTCATTCCAGGGGGTGGCAAATACTTTTTATAAAGAGGCAGTTGGTAAAGTTCAGGTATTTGTGCCATGTAAGTCTCCGATGCAATTACTGACCTGACTTTGTTGCAGGAAAGCAGCCACAGATCACGTGTAAAGGAATGAGCACAGCTGTATTCCAATAAAATTTTACTAACCCAAACTAGGTAACAGGCCAGATTTGGGCCCCAGTGGTAGCTTTTCAACTCCTATCTTTTTTGAATCCCAACCAATGAATGACAATATTTTTCAGAGAAACTCAAAAACATGTACATTAAACTCAACAGGATATTAACAATCTGTAGTTAAATTAAGTTTAGGAGAAAATGCTAATTTAGTAGATGGCAATCCTTGCTGAGACTCACCAGGCTTTGACCAAAATGATAACTGCTAATTTCTTACCGAGTGTGTAGGCTATGAAGTTGAGGATGCCCACCACAATCCAAACCCAGTCAGGGACGTGCTTGTGACCTGGTGCTGCAAAGGAAAGCACCTCAGATTTTAATACAGTTTAAGTTCGTCATTCTTACCACAGAACATACTGCTAATGAGAAATGTCCCTACTTGTTAAATAGAAGTGAAAGTACCTTACAATATATTTTGAAGGCAGAACTAGATCAATATTAAAATATATCAGCAAATTGACAAAAACCAAAGAAGTATCACTCTAACCTCTCATAACAAATAGGCACTTATCTTGAGCTTTAGTCATAACACAAGGTTGCATATCTCTACTTGAAATTTATTTATGTGCCTAGAATGAAAAAAAATAACATTTTGGGACTTTAACAAATGCTTAACCTGATCCATGCTGTTTATGATTACACTGCAAACATGCACTGAGCCTTCAAGTTATAGCCTTACATTATATCACTAATCAGCTAAACAAAAAACCTTCTGATTGCCTCATCAGGATGATTTTAGCATCTGGATGATTTTAGCATCAGAATCATTCTGAAATACCGGGACCTCACTTGTCCCCCTTAAAATAGAACAACTAACAATCAGGTCTGGGTTCTGGTGCTGGCTCTGGAGTATATAGTATTCCATTTCCCAAATATGCTCGAAATAGATGGTACATCTGGTTCTTCCAGTTGTATTAGATATATATGTGATATTTATATATTTTTAGTTCTCTTTAGTTCTCTTAATATTTACATATTTTTAGTTCTCTACATAAATAATCTTAGTCAGAGAAAGTAACATTTCTAGTTATAAAGATAAACTTTTGAGGATGTCCTGAGATTAAAGTACAAATTAAATACACTTACTATCAAAATCATGCTTAATAAAGTTTAATCTTACTCATTCATGTGGAACCTTATAATCTTCAATTTTTTTTTACATGTAAAGAAGCTATGGCTACAAATTTCAGTTAATAAAGTTAGGCACATGCATAGTTTCAACAGTCAGAATTTCTATAAATATCAAAAATCATAAGGGTTTGCAACTCCAAATTTTCCTACAAAAACAATGTCGTCAACGATTGTTCCTTTCTCCAAGTCAGTCCATAAAAGTCTGCTGACTGCACAACATAGGTGAATTATAATACTAAAACTCCTGACTACATCATTTATAAGTATTCTTATTGGAAAATATATTCTCTAACTTAGAATGTAAAAAATACTTATCCACCTCGATCTTTCAAAACTCCTCATAACAACAAATTGTGAAAACAATTTAGATTTCATATCCAATTCAACATTTTATATGCCCTTAAAATATTTGAAACCTTTCACAAACACAAGCATCTTAAAAGAACCAAAAATAATCTTATCTCATTTTTCTCTAGACATTTAAAATTTTATATTAAAGTAAAAATCCTACCTGAAGCATAAAAGTCAGGATCAAAGTATGCCATAAGTACGAAATTGAATACAACCAGCAGAAAGCCAGAAAAGGTTATCAGATTTGGAGCCAGCCATGTAGGAAATACCTATTTTTTTCCAAAATAATTAGAAAATAATTAATTTTATTAGAAAATAATTAGAAAATAATAATTTCTCTGTCCATTACATACCACAACATGCAAGCTTAAATCATAATAAAAAATATAAATTTGAAAAATCTTATACAGTGTTATATACATTAAAATGTAAACCACAATCTAGCTGATAAAAATACAGATTTATTTTCCTTTCTGTTTTCTATATTTTAAATAATTCTACAATCAACATACTTTTATAATCATAGTGTTATCTTTTATTTTAGAAAAATTTTAAAGGCATTTTACAAAAATGATAAATTCCAGAGTATAAACTTAGATTTCAACAATGAGACAAAAAGATAAGTGACCAAGGGAAGGAAGGTGGGAGGGGTAGCTCCTCTAGATACACTATCGAACTGATACATCTGCAACACTCCACAAAGTAGTTTAAATATTTAAAACTTACTAAAACTTAAGTTCATGCCTATTAAATCACCTTACCTTGACTATAGTGTTCCAAAATGGATGCATGACATACAGGGAGAGTGGGTTGGTATCCACTGCGCTGTACTGTTAAGAAATGAAACATTCATAGTTAATCCTTGCATACTAGCAAGTACAACAATATTTCTCAAATGAAGGTAGCACAGAATAACTTGGAGAATGTGTGTTTATATGATGCCAACTGAATAACTGAAAGAGCAATATAAATGGGCAAAGACAAACGTAGCCAGATTTTTTAAATCAACTTTTATAATATTATAATACTTCAATAGAAAAATTTATATTGCATGAAAGTTCTACTTTACAATGAAACATCAGTAACGAACACACTGTGTGCATTCAAACACTGACCATCCTGATTTTCTCAACCTCCTTCAGCTAATAGGAATCTAGTTGTTAGAGCCCCTGAGACCATCACTAATGTACTTACTAACTGCGTCACCTTGGGTGAATTACTTATCCTCAAGGCCTTTGTTTCAACTATAACATGAGGTGATAACCTTTACCTCAAAGGACTGCTGTAAGAATTAGCTAAGTTCATAGTATACATGAAGTGCTTAGGCCAACACCAGTAAGTGCTAAGTAAGGGTGATATAACAGGAAATAGTGTCTCTGCCCCAGTTCCTGGCACAGAGCTCCTTCTTGTAACTTGCTAAGTGGTAAATGCATTCTCTTGTTCTAATATGTTTTGTTGCCATCCCTGACACAGGACTCCTAAAACCCTTACTCCACAGAAACAGATTTTCCTGCCTTGGGACCCTACCAGACCTCCATGTGCCTCTTCAGCTGGCTGTTCACCTGTGTCCTTTATCATATCCTTTAATAACCTGGTCAATGTTACTGTTCGAGTCCTGTGAGATGCTCCAGCAGATTAATGGAACCCAAGGTGAGAACTTCAGCTTGTGACCTGCACCTTAAGTGCATGTGCAGCAGGGAGCAGTCCTGCAGGATCAAGCCTGGGGTCTGCCACTATCTTCAGGAAGATAAATGCAGGATGCCCAGCTGGTGTCCCAGAGAATTGCCTTTTAAGGGGAAAAATATCTCCATATTTGGTGACCAAGTGAAGTGTTTTGTGTAATACAGGAGACTCACAGAGAAGAAACACAGAAGGAAGAAATTTTCCTTTACAACAAGCATTAAATATTATTAGTAAATGTGTTTTGAGAGTCAAGATAATGACAGATCCCTTTACAGCAAAATGGATTGCATAAAAAAAAAAGTATTATGTAATATAGTCAAGTTCATTCTCCAATGACTGAGCTATTTAGAAAAAATTTAAAGAAAATTTTAACAAAGATCAGTATATAAATATGTACAACGTTAAGAATCACATCAAAAGTTATTCATCAGACACACACCCACTGGCGTACCTGTCACGTAGAAAGCACTCCACTACGTATGGGGAAGGAGAGATGCAAAACTGATAAGGGACAACTCCCTTCTCAAGGATTGGGATGGTTACCTAATTCATCCAAGTGACATTTAAGCGACATTATGCTAGTCAAATATTTTAAAAGTTTTGACTGTTTTGTGTATAAAAATAAGTATTTGGATATCTATTATAGTTTTTTAAATCATGATTAAAAATTAGATTTTCTTCCTGAATGTTTTATGAATATGCAGTATCATCAATACTTTTTTTTTTAATATTTATTTTTATTTATTTATTTATACAAGCACTGGGTACAGTCAGAAGCGCGGGAGGGTGAAAGAATTCACCAGAACCTATCTTCTCAATACTTAAAGTGTTTCAAGACTTAAAGATGTGATGAACAAAAAACCAAACTGAACGTACTGGTAGCAAAGAGAGTCAACTAATAAGGCAAATGCTGATTCAACATACTCCAATTCTCCAACCAATTCTGACTGAAAAGGGATGACTTACTTAAATCTTGGGGTGTAGTTAGAAAATGGTGACAGAAAATCACCTCTGCAGGCTGGAGTTAGAGCTATGCAGCTGCATCCAGACGCTCACTGCCGAGGTTTACTTAAATGAGGATCACTGTTCTTACTAAAATCAACTTTTACTCGAGTTTACAAAGGTTTTCCGTACAATAGATGCCGCTACATGTGAACTTTTGCAGAATGAAGGAGACAGGAATTGCCTGAATTTAAGTCTTCAGACCTGGGACTGATAAAAAGCCCTAATGGCTGCCAATGAATGACAAGGTGGGAGCGCCCTGGTCTCTTCCACTTTCCTAAAGCCCACCCAGAAACGCGTGATATAGCAGCAGGTCATACAAACTGGAAAACCACACGTTTCAAGTCCATCCTCTACTCCCAGTGCAAAGGTTGTAAGAAGTCCAAATTCAGAAGAAAATAATTTAAGATACCACATGAATACATACATAATGTATTTGTAATGCAATATGCAAATTACAATAGTCTTAACATCTTATTCAAATGTTTGCTAAGTGAGTTTCATACCATAGGTTTTCACACTTTGAACTTAGATCTCTGAAAGGTCCTTAACTGATACCATTTTTATTTTAAAAGCTTCTATTTTAAAATTCTGAGGTTTTATATCTAAATCTCAACTTCAGGAGACCAGAGAAATGATTGGACTATACAACAAAATAAAAGAATGTCAAGTTTGCCTAACTGGATTTTTTACATTGAATAACAGTTGATGAGCTCATGTATAGCAAGAAAATTTAATAGGAGATTACAAAAGACAGCAAACAATAAACCTAAAGAACACTCTGTCCTCTAGCCTTACACACCTGAGTCTTTTTCTAGGTTACATTTCACATGGAATAAACAAAGAAACTTGAAACTGTCCTGTGAATCAATAGGAGAAGAGCAGAATGATTCAAACCTTTCACATGCATGAAAAAAATAAAATATAAACTTTGAAAGGTGTTACACTACATTTAGTTTATTTGCTGATGCTTGCTAAATACATCTTTATTTTCCACTGGAATGTTGTTCTAGAATAAACCAGAATATCTAACCAGGTAGATATCCATAACACACTTCACAGCCTCCTATGGCTTGGTTGGCTGTATAATCTGCAGGCCTGGCTAAAATAGCAGCTGAAGAAATGCTTGAGCACCACAGCCTGAACAGTCTAAGGCAAAATCTCAGAATCACAAGAGAACTCAGAGGATGCCTTGATTCTCCCATGCCTGAGCCTCGTCCATGAGGACAGGTAAATAATTATCTGGCCTCATTTGATTCTGGTTTAAAAAAAAAAAAAGCTCATTACTTCCAGAAGCAATCCAATCCAATCTTAAAACACCTTTTCTAAACAAAATCTTTCCTTGCCCCATGTTTTCTATCCTGTCTTCTTCTGCCTAACAAATTACACAAAGGTCTAATTTTTCTTCCAAACAATAGTTCTTCAAATATTTGAGGATAGTTCTATGACAACCAAATCTTCTCTTCAGCTAGTCAACCATCCCATGTCCCTTTTGCTGACAGAGATGCGTCAGTCCCTGTCATCACCTAGGTCTAGACCAGAGGGTGAAAAGTTTCTTCTGGAAAAAGCTCAACAGTAAATACTTGGGGCTTTGCAGGCCATACGGTCTCTCCCTAACACAGCAGGTAACCTGGGAGTTTTGTTTGATAACCTGTGCTGCAATTTGTTGTTAATACCTACACAAGGAAATTTCAAGTGAAGCATCAGTAGAAAGGTGAACCCTTCCTCAGCAACCACTTTCTCTGATACTTAGCCTATTATTAATTTCCTGTGACAAAATCACACTGCAGATTTCACACAAACGCACAGTCATCTAAATCCCTCAGGCCTTTCTTACATGGACAGCTAACGTGCTAATATGAGGCTAGTCATTGGAACCCAAATGTCAGACTCTTCATTCACCATCTTAACATTTCGTTTTGCACAAGTCAACTCACCTTCCCATCCCCTCCATATCTCTTCAGATTCAGATTCAGTTACCCAAGGTGATAGCATTGCCTCTCCAAACTCTCAGCATGTAAATCTGCCATGCCAATACCTTCACCTGAGTCTTTGTAAATCATTGATCAAGGAAGAACTTCTGAATATACTAGCAAGAATGATATTAGTACACTTAATAATTTTCATTTCAGTATAGAATTCTATACTGTTACCTCTTTGGCAATCAGTTGCTCTTGCCTACGAGAAAAGATTTTCATTAAAGTCTCCGCGAAATCCAGAATCACCTTAGATAATACTTTCCCCGACTTTCTCAGAAATTTTCAAACCTTTTCTTTCCCCCCTCACTCTAGTACAAGAGAGTTCATTCTTCATTCAACAAACATTTATGATTGAGTGCCTATGATTTTACTAGAAAATTATGCTGGTCAAAGAAGACGGGTAGAGAATGCCAAATGAGACCAAACGTTTCCTGTGTTCACCAAGTCAACCATCTAATGTGAGATGGGTGGTAAGTTAAGAAAACAAGAAATAACCACAAGCTATGATAATTCTGTGGCAAAAATAAGAAGGTTGTTGTGTAAGAGGACAAGGAGGCAGTGAGAGAGCCTCATTGTAGCAGTCGGAGAAAGGTTCTCTAAGGACAGGACCCTTCCACTGAGTCCTAGAAGATGAGACGACTATCAGGTAAAGCATATGTGAGAGGCAGCGCCGAGTCAAAGAAAGGAGGCACTAAAGGGAACATGCTGCAATAGATTCCATTTATGTGACGTTCAGAAACAGACACGATATGGCAAAAGATGTCATCCCAGTAATTAGGTGATTGAATCAGGGACTTTTAAGGTGCTAGAAATAATTATGTCGACCTGGATGTGGTTACATGCTTCTATACCTATGTAACTACTCAGTTACACACTTAAAAGTCTATGCAATTATGTATCATTTATACCAAAAAAAAAAAAAATGGGAGAGAAAATAAGCAACATAAGTAGGCAGTGTGTGGATACAGGTGCTGGAGGGAGGGGAGTCCATGTGCAAAGACCACAAAGCTAGAACTACTTGAAAGACTGGAGGAAGGTCAACGTAGCTAGAGCTTAGTAAGCAAGGAAAAGTGTATGAAATGAGATTACAAGATGTGGGCAGATACCACCCCGGCAGGACCAGAGAAAGTCTGATTTTAGTCTAAGCCCAATGCATGTCCTAATTT